ATTCTGTGGGTTTACATTTGCCAAGTGCTTTGAAAAGTGCCTGGAACAGAATAAGCATCAGTTAAGTGTAAATAAAACAAATTACCCATGGAGTTGTTCAAAGTGGAATAACCTCACACATACGCTCACTGCAGGAAAAGAAGAATGGATGGAAGTTTAAAAAATAAAAATTTTTTATTTAAAGACAGGATCTCACTATGTTGCCGAGGCTGGTCTTAAATTTCTGGGCTCAAGCAACCCTCCCTCAGCCTCCCCAGATGTTGGGATTACAGAGATGAGCCATCACCCCGGCCACATTTTTAACTTGAAAGATACAAACCTGCAACTATAGGCAGCAGGAAAGGCAAGTTACCAAAGGTGCTGGAAAAGTAAAGCAGCTCGGCGGGGCGCAGTGGCTCAAGCCTGTAATTCTAGCACTTTGGGAGGCCAAGGCAGGTGGATCACAAGGTCATGAGATCAAGACCATCCCGGTCAACATGGTGAAACCCCGTCTCTACTAAAAATACAAAAAAAATTACCTGGACATGGTGGCGCATGCCTGTAATCCCAGCTACTCAGGAGGCTGAGGCAGGAGAATTGCCCGAACCCAGGAGGTGAAGGTTGCAGTGAGCCGAGATTGTGCCATTGCACTCCAGCCTGGGTAACAAGAGTGAAACTCCGTCTCAAAAAAAAAAAAAAAAAAAGTAAAGCAGGTCATAAATGTGGGACATGGTCTGTTGACTGCAGACACTTTTCCATAGTGACCTCCTGGATACAAAGTCACACAACTCACTTTCCTACTAAACTGAGATGTTTGCTTTGACCAACAGTGACACCTATAGGCCAACACTGTAAAGACAAATATCTGAATGTGGGCCAGATTTCCAGAACCCTGGAATTGCCAGGCTGTAAGGAATCTCAACAAGCAAACAGCAAACATTGAATAGTTGTTGGATCTATGTTTCTTATCTTTTCTTTTCTTTTGGAGACAGAGACTCACTCTGTTCCCAGGCTGGAGTTCAGTGGCATGATCTAGGCTCAGTGTAACCTCCACCACCCTGGTTCAAGTGATTCTCCTATCTCAGCCTTTCAAGTAGCTGGGACTACAGGTGCCCACCAGCATGCCCCACTAATTTTTGTAGTTTTAGTAGGGACAGGTTTTCACCATGGTGGCCAGGATGGTATCCATCTCTTTCCCTCGTTATTGATCCACCCACCTCGGCCTCCCAAAGTGCTGGGATTACAGGTGTGAGCCACTGCTTCCAGCTCTATGTTTCTATTTTCAAACCTAATCTACCTTGGGGAGTAAATGGTCTCTGCAATAATGCATAACATGGGGAACCCCATTCTCCATAACAACTGGGCCGGGCACAGTGGCTCATACCTGTAATCCCAGTGCTTTGGGAAGCCAAGGTAGGTAGATCACTTGAGGCTAGGAGTTCAAAACCAGCTCGGCCAATATGGCAAAACCTTGTCTTTACTAAAAATACAGTAATTAGCCAGGCATGGTGGTGTGCACCTGTAATCCCAGCTACTTGGCAAGCTGAGGCATGAGGATCACTTGAACCCAGGAGGCAGAGGTTGCAGTGAGCCAAGACAGCACCACTTCACTCCAGCCTAAGTGACAGACTCTTAAAATACACACAGACACACACACACACACACACAGACACACACAGACACTAAAAATTTGTTAAGACATTGCTTGAAATAAGCTATAGAATTTTGCTAGGAACCATAAAAATTTGATCAAAATACATATCATTGATGCTTTTAAGACCTGAGTAGTATACATGAGTTTTTCCTAACTTATAAATTTGAGTCCAATAAAAAATTCCAAAGAAATTTTCTTTTTAAAAACCTGGAAAATGTTTTTAATTTTATTTAAGAAAATAATTAAAATATAAAAGCTGAAAACAAATGTGGAAAACATCTTAATAACAGTAGCCAACATTTACTGAGCCCTTACCAGGGTACCTACCAGGCAGTGTTAACTTTTATAATTTTGCTCTTTAATCCTAATAATGGTGTGAGACAGATGTTATTAGCATCCGCATACAATGGAAATTTACTGTTTTAGCTTAGCAGCATCTATGTTTCTTACCCACGATAACAACTCTAATTTCTTTTAGGGGAATTATCTGTCCTTGATTTCAGCATTAGGACTATTAATACAGGTGTTTTGCTCTTCCCTGGCCAAGGTGCAGGTAAATTACCTTAAAAGTAAATGATCCATTCTAGGTGAATTGCCTGGTCCTTTCCTGCAGTTTTAATTTTGAGAAACAAAAAGCCTAAAAACTATTGAAGTTCACTCATTCTAGCAGTGGCATTTCTACAAGACAGTTGATTTTTACCTGCCATCTAGCTAGGTCCCCAAAGGTAAGGAGATAAACCCAGGAAATGTCAGCAGAATTCCATCTCTACTTGCAGACTAAAGGATAAAAACAGGAAGTGATGTTAGCAGAATCCACAGAGCCACAGCAGAGGCACCATCTAACAGGAGACGTAGACACAGAAAAAAGAATAAGCTTTCCGGCGAGATGCCTCTAGCAAAGGGTCTCCTTCATGCCTCTCCAGAAGAGAAAACATGAGAAGCTCCTGGTGATGAGCCAATTTCTTCTTCATGGATGTGAAATGACCAGGATGCTACAAAGTCACCATGCTCTTTCACCATGCCTAAAGTTGTTGAGTGTTGGCTGCTCTACTCCGTCAGCCCAGCCTACAGGACAAGCAAAGCTTACAGAAGAATGTTCCTTAGAGGAAGCAGCACTAAAAGTACCCTGAATCAGGATGAATAGGAAACTAACTATTCCAATAAACACATTTTGGTTACATTTAAAAAAAAAAAAAGACAGTAACTACCATGGGCTGGCAGGGAAGGAGTGGAAAAATTAATACTCTGACTTTTTCTTTCTGCTCTGATTTTCTACCACTGGCCAAACACAATCAGAAGCCAGAGAATAAAGCAAGCCCAGATGACACAGACCACAGAGATCAGCCCCAAGGACACCCTGCAGGCAAATGTGGGACAGTGGATCTGGAGGGGCAAATTGGATCTGGGCTTTCCCATACATCCCATGTCAGCTAAAGACATAATTGGTTTCCACAGCTTGCAACAAAGAAACCAGACTGATACTCTGCAGCTTTCAGCAAAGAAACCAAATTGATACTCCGCAGCTTGCAACAAGGAAACCACACTGATATAACCCACATTACAGACAAGAAAATGAAGTTCAAAGAGATTAGGTTACTTCCTGCAGGTCACATAAATACTAAATGTAGGAGTCTAAAACAATTTAAATAGAAGATATTTAAAAGATCACAAGAAGTAAATATTTTCCCTGGAGTTAGTAATTGCCCTTTTTATTGTTTAATTTGCTTTATGTTTTTCTCTGATTGCAAAATACAACATAAAACTCACAGTTTTAACCATTTTAAAATGTGCAATCCAGTAGCATTTAGTTAATTTATAGAGCTGTGCAGTGACCACCACTATCTAATGGAATCCTATAGAGCCACACAAGAGGGGACACCTGACAGATGTAGTCATAGAAAAAGTAATAAGCTTGCCCTCAGTCTGCATGTGGAAATGGCATTCCATCGATCTATATACACATGTACATATGCCAATTACTGAATCAGGATACACAGCTAGAAACAGATCCTGTTATACATAAGAATGCAGTGTATTATCAAAGAGGCATCAGTGCGGAAACGACAACTCGGTAGAAGCCTAGTAGCTAAAGAAAATGGTCTAGGGTTGTATAAAAAAAAAATCCAGATGTACATTTTTTTTTTTTGAGACAGGATCTCTATATCACCCAGGCTGGAATGCAGTAGTACAATCTGAAACCTCGGCCTCCTGGCAATTCTCCTGCTGCACCCTTCTGAGTAGCTGGGATTACAGGCACGTTGCACCACACCTGGCTAATTTTTGTATTTTTTGGTAGAGACAGGGTTTCACCATATCAGCCAAGCTGGTCTCAAACTCCTAGCCTCTAGTGATCCACCCACTTCAGCCTCTCAAAGTGCTGAGATTATAAGCATGAGCCACTGCACCCAGCCTCCAGATACACTTATAATTCTGCACAGGCAGTTTTGGCCTCAAGACTCCTCCAGTAGGTGGCAGACTTCTGCACAGGAACAAAATCTCTACACCACTAATCTCTCCCAAGTTGGCACAGTCTTCATGAGCAAAAGCCATGACTGTGATGAATGCCTGTTGTCACTTGAAGCTCTGCAACTTATTCCACATGAATACTGAACTATATCTCAAGCATATAAGGGAACGCATCTCCCTTTCATTCACACGACATCCAATACTTGCCACAGGTGGGTAATGTCAAGCAATACTTACCCCCCGGACCCTCTGCTTGCTCAGGAGACACTTGTTATCTCCCGCAAAGTCTTTTGTTTTCTCCTCTGGTCAGTATTTTCCCAAATTCCTACCCTGATATGTACTACGTTTTCTAATTACAAAATAATCATTAACTTTAAAGAAAACATAATAAAAATCCATCCAACCCATCTTTTAGTAAATATGGCTATGTTGTAACAATTTTATTTTGATTCTTTAAAAATGAGTCTCTTGATTTAATCAGGGCTTTGCAGTCATGGAGGATTAGTCAGTGTCACAGTCATAATGATGTACTTATTCAGGGAAAATTTTAATTTTCTTTGTCTTCTTCAAAAACAGCTGCCAGAGCACCTCAAATTAAGCCATGGTCATCGAAAACATCTTTACTGAAACTTGATTCCTTGGGCCAAAGGAAGGTCCTTACTGTAGTTGATAGTACTAGTGGGAAAAAATGAACAGATTTAATGATGGTACACACATAACAGAAGAGTTTCATGCCCACTTTTAAAATGTAGTGGATCTGTATATATTAATAAAGTGAGATCTCCGAGTTATAACTTGTTAAAGAAAAACCTTTAAGATAAAAGACAATGTTAGTACGGATCCCATTTAATGAAAGAAAAAGAGAGAGAGAGAGAAACATAAAAATCTGGAAAGACATATGTCATCTTTTTAAATTTTTATTCATTTTTTTTTGAGACAGGGTTTGACTCTGTCGCCCAGACTAAAGTGCAGTGGTGCGATCTTGGCTCGCCACAACCTCTGCCTCCCAGGCTCAACTGATTCTCCTGTCTCAGCCTCCCCAGTAGCTGGGATTACAGGTGCACGCCACCACCCTTGGCTAATTTTTGTATTTTTAGCAGAGACGAGGTTTCACCATGTTGACCAGGCTGGGCTCAAACTCCGGACCTCAAACGATCCACCTGCCACAGCCTCCCAAAGAGCTGGGATTACAAGAGTGAACCACTACGCCTGGCCCATACATGTTATTCATAGTTTTTCTTTTGAAGGGCACAAGAATGTGGGAGTTATAACTTACGTCTATATGTCTCTCAATAACTTATATTGAATTATCAGAGAAAACACAGATATTCCCATTTGATAGAAATACATAAAGAAAATATAATTTTGAAATAAAATCTTTTCTATTAACTAGTCACCCGGTCTTTCTCATAAGAAAATAATCTCTATTAAAATGGGTTCCAGAAAAATCACAGCTGAAAATTTGCCTTTCCAGCCTTCAAATGCACAAGCAAAGTAAAAAGAGACATAACTGACTTCAAAGAATGTGAAGCCGGTAAAAAGCCTGCATGTTTGAAATAAAACAAGCCTCAGGTAACAGCACAGCGCCTCTGAAATTCCTGGCATAAACACAGTCGCAGAGGCTCTAGGGAACCAAAGCTGAGCACCTGCCTGAGGTTCCAGAGCTAGTGACAGCAGTAAATGGAGCTGGGCTGGTGTCTCTTGGTTCCTAACCCAGTGTTCTTTTTCCAAGACAACACCCCATGGGTCTTCCCCAACAAACTCTTTTATGCAGTTAAATAAAAGCTATTTCTACCCAAGGTGGGCAAGGAGGGAGTAGGGGGAGACCATAAAAAAGTAGAAGAAACAAGTGCTAGTCAAAATCTCCCAGCAGGCTCCCTATCCAGCTCCGCACATGCTGGGTGAATGAGCTAATCCACTTTGAAGGACTGTGCTCACCATTCTGAGAGCTGGTACCTCACTACCCTGCCTGCTAGCCAGGCCTACAGGGCCCTGCCTGCCTCTGTTTTCTGCTGCTTCTACAGTCTGCAAGAGTACTGAGTGCATCCAAGAAGAAAATGAAAACAATAGCTTCTTCTACTTTCTCCTACTGTTGACCCCACGTGTCCTGCTCCTGGACAGAAACCACCCATGAGACCATTTCATCGTTGGGTGCTGGGCACTAGCTGAAGCAGGGCAAGAAGGCTGGAAAAATAGTATCAAATAGATTCAGAGGAGACAGCTGTGGAATGCTGGAAAAAACAAAGACAGCACAGAAAACAGGAGAGTGTAAAAGCCCGTTCCCAAAGGCTTTAAGCCCAAACCCGTCTTCCCAAAGCCTTTTCTTACCAAGTAGACCTTCTCATGTACTGTTTCCAGGCATCACTGCCAGACTCCCTGCCACCACCAGTGTGCTTTTCTCCTCCTAGAGAAATACAAAATAATACAGCTTTTGAGCAGTTTCCTTGTGGACTCCTAGTTGCTATTGCTGAAAAAAAGATACCAAAATGACACCGGAGCTACCCGATTATTTACATTCACCCCACAGTATCTCCACTGCAAAAAATAAATGAAAGACAGCCCAAAACAAACAGAAAAAAGGAATTAAGAGGGAAAATAAAATGTAAGGAATTAAGAGGAAATGGAAACAGATCAGAAAGAAACTGAATAACAAATCTAGCAGGCTCACTGAGCACTTTCATACAATGCTTATCATTATGAATTTGTACATTACTGTTTACTTTACACATGTGTATTTTACAATTATTTGTATTCATTCATTCATTTCTTTTCCAACCTGCTTATTGAGTTCAGGATCATGGGCAGCTGGAATCCATCCCAGCAGCTCAGGTACAAAGCAGAAACCACCTCAACACGGTACACTCACACACACCCCACACTCACTCAGACTGGGACTATTTCAACATGCTGATTGACCAAATGTGCACAGCTTTGGGATGTGGGAGGACACTGGAATACTCAGACTCACACAGACATAGGGAGAACATGCAACTTCCACACTGATAGTGGCCCTGGCTGAGAATCGGTTGTTTTATTTGTTTTTTTCTCATCATTATATAGAGGACCTGCTGTAGAGCAGGCTGCCTTGCAGGGTTGCTGGCATCTGGAAATTTGGCTGGTAAACAGCTCTCTACAATAACATAGAACTTTCCTTAAATGGTAAGGGCAGCCCCCTGAGTCTAAATTGTTTTTGCACAAACAATGTGGCTTTTAAAAAAATACCTGCTTTTCTACTGAGAGTCTGGAATTTCGGTAAGTGCTAGGAAGAGGGTGTCTACATGACCAGCCCCCAAGAAAAGCTGTAGGCCCTGAGTCTAATGAGCTTTGCTGGTAGACAACAATTCACATGTGTTGTCACAACTCATTGCTGGAGGAATTCAGCACATCCTGTGTGACTTCCCTGGGAGAACACTCTTGGAATTTGTGCCTGGCTTCCTATGGACCCCACCCCCATGTAATAACATCGTATTATAGAGTGGGAGTATATAGGGAAAGAGAAGAGTTTGCAAAGTTTCATTTATCATAATAAAGGGTCAATACATAATGTCTAAAACTGTCAAGGAGATAGCAGTGAAAGCACACTATTTAGAAAAACTAACATCAATTCAAAGGTAAATTTACCCTTTTCTTTTAGAAAAAAGAATCTCAGTGTGGCCTCTGAGAAAGGAGGAGAAGTATGGGCAAAACTACTTTTTCCATTATAAGACTTTTTCAAAACTTTTATTTATTTAGAGACAGGATCACGTTTTACTCTGTCACCCAGGTTAGAGTGTAGTGGTGGGATCATGGCTCACTGCAGGCTCACACTCCTGGGATTAAGCAAGCCTCGTACCTCAGACGAGTACCTGGGAGTACAGGTGTGCACCCACACCTGGCTAGGTTTTTTTATTTCTTGTAGAGACAGGTTCCTACTATGTTGCCCAGGTTCATCTCAAACTCCTGGGCTTAAGCAGTTACAGGAATGAGCCACCAAGCCCAGTCCAAAACTTTATTTTTAGGAAGACAGGGTCTCCATCCGTTACCCAGGCTTGAATGCAGTGGCACAATCTTGGCTCACTGCAAACCCTGCCTCCCAGACCCAAGAGATCCTCCCACCTCAGCCTCCCAAGTAGCTGGGACTACAAGCACACACCACCATGCTTAGCTAATTTTTGTATTTTTTTGTAGAGACGGGCTTTTGCCATGTTGCCCAAGCTGGTCTCGAGGTCCTGAGGTAAAGCAATCTGCCCACCTCTGCCTCCCAAAGTGCTGGGATTTCAGGCGTAAACCACTATGACTGGCCACCAAAACTTTTAAAATTAACTATGAAAGCTTAAATGAAGAATAGTCAACTGACTGAGTGCAGTGGCTCATGCCTGTAATTTCAACACTTGGGGAGGCCAAGGCAGGACGATGGCCTGAGCCCAGGAGTTTGAGGCCAACCAGAGCAGCATACTAAGGGCCTGTTTTTACCACACACACACACACACACACACACACAATTAATTAGCTGGCTGTGGAGGCACATGCCATCTCAGCTATTCAGGAGGCTGAAGCAAGAGGATTGCTTGAACCTTGGAGCTGGAGGCTGCAGTGAACTATGATCACGCCACTGCACACTAGCATGAGCAACAGAGTAAGCCCCCACTCAAAAAAGAAGAAGGAGTAGTCAATTGGAGAGAGCAGGCCTGGGTTGGAAACAGGAATTAAATTAGTGCAAGGAGAAGATAGACACTCATGCATTTAGGCAACTGCACAGTGTTGCACAGGGTTAATAGGTGACTTGAAAACACAGTCTTTTGTCAAAGTCCGTGCACCAAACAGTAATTGTAGTATATGGTCTAAAAATATAACATAATGCCGCTAATGATGTAAACTTTTACAAGTATTAATGCATGTTTATTTTGCTTCTACACGTTATTTTCATTTTATTTTTTCAGACAGAGTGTCACTCTTGTTGCCCAGGCTGGCATGCAGTGGCACAATCTTAGCTCACCACAACCTCTTGCCTCCCTGGTTTAAGTGATTCTCCTGCCTCAGCCTCCCAAGTGAAGGCATGCTTCACCACATCCAGCTAAATTTTTTTGAATTTTTAGTAGAGATGGGGTTTCTCAATGTTGGCCAGGCTGGTCTTGAGCTCTCAACCTGAGGTGATCCACCTGCCTTGACCTCCCAAAGTGCTAGGATTACAGGCATGAGACACCATGCCTAGCCTGCTTCTTTATTTAAAAAAAACAAAAAAACAAAAAAACAAGCAATCTATTTTATTGTACTGAGGATCATTCTTAATAAGTGATACTTAATATATGATGGTTAGGGAGAGCTTTTTAGGAAAAACTACTACCAAGTTTCAGCAGTAATAATGCATGGCTTATTAAGAGGAGACAGGAGCAGGTCCAGTGAAAGAAACAATTCAGTATTCTATCTAGTGAAAAAGAGTACATTTAACATTTATATGCCTACTTTGCAAATAAAAAACAATATTTCATGTAAAATTTTCTGGCTTTGAAGCAGGGATTCTTAACCTTTTTTGGGTCTGGAAACTTCTCCTCAGAAAACAAATGCCACCTTTCAGGTTGAGGCCTCTTCTCCAACCTGATGCTTCCTCTGAGGAGATGATGCAAGACTCTATGTGATAACTTTGAATACAGAATGAAAGCTTTCTCAGCATGTTAGGTCACATAAGGTTATTTCAGACTATAAGGACTGTTTCAGTTTCTTGGTCAAACTTTTCTAAAAGCTGCCACTGGATTTTCTTTGCTGCCCAACATGGAAAACAAGACTCTATTCTCTACGTACCAAAGGCACCTCCAATCTCAGCCCCACTTGTTGGAATGTTGACATTTACAATGCCACAGTCTGATCCTTTAGGTCTGGTAAAAAGAAAGGCATGGTGAGAACAATGAACAGGAAATTAAAAACAAACAAAAATAAATTAAAAATCTAAATCTAAGCTCATAGGCTTTCAATACTGAAAAACTGATTTTCAACTATACTGTTGTTTTTTAAGTCCACTCATCACATAAATCAGACTTATATAAATTTTCAAAACAGTCAAAGTTGTACCCGAGCCAGCGGAAGATTCTGCCCAGATCTTTGGTAAAGATGCTACTTGAAAGTCCCTGTTTTACTTCATTATTCCATGCAAAGACCTCTTCTTCATTCTAAAAGGAGAGACGTTGGAAGCTGTTAGATGTTACAGTATTCAGGTCAAAGTTCACTGACATTAATCTCATTTCCTGAGATGTACCAGTATAATTTTAGTGTACAAAAGGAAACCAAAGAGTCAACAGTATACTCTTACAATTCAGATCATTGATAATAAGTAAAACCTTTTGGGATTTTTTTCCCATAATTATAATTTGAGAAACAAAGATTAGCACATTCTTCCTCTCATTCAATCTATTATATATAATAGCTAATATCTAGTGAGCTCTTCGAGGAAATAACTAAATAACTCATCTAAGCACTTAACATGCATTTAGTTATTTAATCCTCATCCTATAACACAGGTTTTCTACTATCTCCCAATTTACAGAGAGGGCAACTGAGGCCTAGAGAGGCTACTTTGCTCAAGAGCTCACGCAGTCTCATAATGTACACAAACACATTACAAAACACAAAATTATATTCTTTAGTCCCCACATGTGAAACAATGACAGGTCATTTAAAGCAATAAATAAAGAAATGCAATCATGTAATTGCAACAAGATGCTATTCTCACTATTCATTAACTGTTAATAATGGCACATTCAAATCTTGATTAAATCTCTATAGTATCAAAATTAATCCTAAATATTTACTGGCAAGGCTAGGGCCTGTCCTAAGCTAGGGCATTAGATCTTTTAATTCATTCACCTCTGTTGATTTTTGGAGTTTTATTTGTTTGTTTGTTTTAGAGACAGGATCTTATCCCACCTTAGCCTCTCGAATAGCTAGGATTACAGGCACACACTATCACAACTGGCTAATTTTTTTTTTTAAGACAGAGTTTTGCTCTTGTTGCCTGGGCTGGAGTGCAATGGCATGATCTTGGTTCACTGCAATTTTTGCCTCCTGGTTTCAAGAGATTCTCTTGCCTCAGCCTCCCGAGTACCTGGGATTACAGCCACATGCCACAATGCTTGGCTAATTTGGTATTTTTAGTACAGACAGGGTTTCTCCATGTTGGTCAGGCTGGTCTCCAACTCCCGACCTCAGGTGATCCGTCTGCCTCGGCCTCCCAAAGTTCTGGGATTACAGGCATGAGCCACTGGGCCCGGCCAATTTTTTCATTTTTTATAGAGACCAGGTCTTACTGTGTTGGCCAGGCTGGTCCTGAGCACTTGACCTCAAGAGATCCTCCTAAAGCACTGAGATTACAAGCATGAGCCACTGTGTGCGTCCAGTGTCTTCACCTAGTAAAACCTCCACAGTTTAAGACCAAGACATGAGAACAGGGAAAATAAAATAAAACTCTGCAGCCTGTCCTCTGATGCAGTTTATAACCACAGGTCTTTTTTTTTTTTTTTGAGATGGAGTCTCGCTCTGTCACCCAGAATGGAGTGCAATGGTGCATCTCGGCTTACTGGAACGTCCCCCTCCCGGGGTCAAGCAATGCTCCTGCCTCAGCCTCCCAGGTAACTGGGATTACAGGCACTCACCGCCACACCTGGCTAATTTTTGTATTTTTTAGTAGAGACAGGGTTTCGCCACATTAGCCACTCTGGTCTCAAACTCCCAACCTCAGGTGATCCGCCCACCTCAGCTTTTCAAAGTGCTGGGATTACAGGTGTGAGCCACCACACCCAGCCCCCACATCTTCTCATTTTGTCTGCTGACATGTTCACAGCACTCAGACTATCAAACTGTCCAGTACCAGGGTTCAGGAGAAGCTGCCTTTATGGCCCACACAGCTTGGGATTAATATGACATAGGAGATGAGGACCACACACTCCATAAACTCCAATGCTAGTCTACTACCCTATCTGGTTTCCCAGGCAGCTAACTTGGCATGGGATAGAGTTTTAAAGTGTTTATCTCATATTTTATCCTGAACCTTCATATAGCTACTATTCAGATTACTTTCTGAAACCCTCTTAAAGGCTCATCAAGTGATATTTAATTCACCATCAATTTCCTCTTATTATTTATTTCAACATTAGACTAGAGAACAGATTGCATTTTTACCTTGAATTTAAAGACATAGAGAATCGGAGCAAAAGTCTCTGTGTGTGCAATGGATGCATCATGGCCAAGACCCGTCACAATTGTCGGTTCTACATAATTTCCAGGGCGATCCATAACCTAAAACAGAGAATTGAAATAAAAAGAATGGAAGCATTTCGTTTTCTAGTACTTGGGGTCAGAGGACACAATCTTTGCCTACACTCACAAAGAAAAAATTAGCATCATTTATAGGTGAATTATTTCTCCAAAATAATTTCCTGTCATGAATGAAGATTCTTTCTTCTTGGTATTGATTCTAACTTAGTTGGTTAGAGAAAAATGTAAATAAGGAGTCAGGCAGGGATGGAGAGCCATGCCATGTGACACAACCACGTTATCTTGAACAAACATTGTTGCAAGTGGTTATTTTAATATTTACATAATTTAAATATCTATTGTGTGTTATAGATTGAATTGTATTCCCCCCAAAATTGACATCTGGAATCCCTAATATTCAGTGTGACTATATTTGGAGATAGGCCCTTGAAGGAGGAAGGTTAAACAAGGTCATATGGGTGGGGTCCTAATCCAACAGGACTAGTGTCCTTTTGGTTTTGTTTGCTTTTTTTTTGAGATAAAGTCTTGCTCTTGGTTCACTACAACCTCCATCTCCCGGGTTCAAGCCATCCTCCCACCTAAGCCTCCCAAGTAGCTGGGACTACAGGCATGCACCACCACGTCCATCTAATTTTTTTCTTTTTTTTGTATTTTTGGTAGAGTCCAGGTTTCACCATTTTGGCAAGGCTGGTCTTGAACTCCTAACCTCAAATGATCTACCTGTCTCAGCTTTCCAGAGTGCTGTGATTACAGGTGTGAGCCACCATGCCTGGCCACAAACAAATCTTTATATGTGTGGGGTTGTTTTTGATTTGGTTTTTTGATTTTTGAGACAGGGTCTTGCTTTATTGCCCACGTTGCGGTACAATGATGTCATCATGACTCATTGCAGCCTCAAGTGATCCTCCCACCTCAGCCTCACAAGTAGTTAGCACTACACGTGCAAGCAACCCCACTCGGCTTTTTTTTTTTTGGGTAGAGACAGGGTCTATGATGTCCAGGAGGGTCTTAAACTCCTGGCCTCAAGCAATTCTCCCACCACAGCCTCCAAACTGCTGAGATTACAGGTGCAAGCTACTGCACCCAGCAATATGTGTTAATTTGTTTTAATACTTACAGTATGTATTTTTTTATTCCTTGCCTTAATGACTTTTTAAGATTACCAATAAATAGATTCTAATTGCTCTGAATACAAAGTCTCCGACTGTGCTATGAAAAGGAATTCTCCTTTCCATACAAATATTTAGGGACCCAATTCAAAAGCAACCATGACTCAGTTTCTTCTATGTCCTTCCAGAAATGTCCCATGCATTTTTTTCTGTTGCTTTTAAAATATGGAATGCTTCATGAATTTGCATATCATCCTTGTGCATAGGCCATCTGCTAATCTTCTCTGTAACATTCCAATTTTAGTATATGTGCTGTCAAAGCAAGCACTGTTGTCATTCTTTAAAACATGTATTTCTGGCCAGGTGTGGTGGCTCACACCTGTAATCCCAGCACTTTGGGAGGCTAAGGCAGGCAGATCATGAGGTGAGGAGTTCCAGACCAGCCTGGCCAACATGGTGAAACACCTTCTCTACTAAAAGTACAAAAATTAGCTGGGTGCGGTGGCAGGAGCCTGTAATCCCAACTACTTGGGAGGCTGAGACAGGAGAATCATGTCTCACGGGACTCCAGTCTGGGCAAGATAGTGAGACTCAGTCACAAAAAAACAAACAAGCAAACAAAACCATGTATTTCTGGCCAGTCATGGTGGCTCATGCCTGTAATCCCAATACTTTGGGAGGCTGAGGTGGGTGAATCACCCGAGTTCAGGAGTTCAAGACCAGCCTGGGCAACATGGCAAAACCCCATTTCTACCAAAAATAGAAACAGTGGTCAGGGGTGGTGATGTCACCTGTAGTCCCAGCTACTAAGGAGGCTGAAGTGGGAGGATTGCTTTAGTGCAGGAGGCAGAGGTTGCAGTGATCCAAGATCAAGCACCACTGCACTCCAGCATGGGCAGCAGAAGAAGAACCTGTCACAAAAACAAACAGGGTCATGTGTGGTGGCTCATGCCTGTAATACCAACACATGGGGAGGGCAAGGTGGGTAGATCACTTGAGGCCAGGAGTTGGAGACCAGCCTGGCTAACATGGGAAACGCCATCTCTACCAAAAAATGCAAAAATTAGCTGGGTATGGGGACATGCGCCTGTAATCCAGCCACTTGGGAGGCTGAAGCAGGAGAATCACTTGAACCCGAGAAGCAGAAGTTGCAGTGAACTGAGATCATGCCACAGAACTCCAGCTTGGGTGACACAGTGATACTCTGCCTCAAAAGCAAAAAACAAACAAAAACATGTATTTCCACTTAAAATAAAAACAGGAAAAGAAGGATGTCAAATGGGGTCACTTTCCCAATATGCCCAGAGCCCTGCTTGTGTCTAAGGAAAAAGGTTAAAAAGCTGTTAGACTGATCTCAGAGCATCCCTTACCTTGCCCCCATAGACCACTGTGCCACCTTCTTTCTTTGCTTCTTCCACTGCTCCAAGAAACATGCCCACTGCCTGTTTAGTGTGGAGTGGCCCATAGAGAACATTAGCTGGGGAGAGAAAAGGAAGGCTGGCTCATCATTTTGCTCTTTATGGCATCATTTTATTATTAGATCAGATTTCTCAATGAATGACCAATCCTTTCCTATATGCTCTCAGTTGAGAACATAAGTCAGCATTCTTTTTCCATAAAGAACCAGATGGTAAATATTTTATGCTTTGGAGGATGTACGTGGTCTCCATCACAATACTCAACTGTGTCATTGTAGTGCAAAAGCAGCCACAAATTACATGCAAATAAGTAGGTATGGCTATGTGCCATGAAACCTGCTTTACAGAAACAGGCAGGACCAAGTCTGTTTGCCAATCTCTACTTTAAAGGAATGGATATCAATTAATCAAAGCACTGTACTCAAAAATATAGGATCAGTTTACTCATTACAGTGTGACCATTCTCTAAGGAACCATCACAGTCAGCAATTGGTGCATAATTCAAGGGGGAAGAGAATGATGCTGTCCTATGTTATGGCTGCTGGAGACTAGAGCACTGACAGTGACCCAGTGACAGAGGAAGAAGGAAGCTGTAGGTAGGCCTCTATGAGGAGGAGGCATGTTAGAAAAGCCATTTCCACCCTGGGTGAAGAATGTTTCCAGGAGACAGCACAGCACAGCAGGACAGAGCCTGGCACGGCTGAAACACTGAAAGGAGGTTGGAGAGGATGGAACTCTGAAAGCAAGTGGGAAAATGGTCACAGGATGGCTGGTGAGAAGGCAAGCAGGGCAGGAGGCAGACAGCAGACCATCAAGGATCGGGAGCCTGAGAAAAAGAAGCAATACTCTAGGTTTTAATCTAAAAGCAGGCCTGGCTCAATGGCTCACACCTGTAATCCTAGCACTTTGGGAGGCCAAGGGAGGCAGATCATTTCAGGTCAGGAGTTTGAGACCAGCCTGCCCAACAAAATGAAACGCTGTCTCCACTAAAAATAGAAAAATCAGTCGGGCATGGTGACACACACCTGTGATCACAGCTACTTAGGAGGCTAAGGCAGGAGAATTGCTTGAACCCAAGAGACAGAGGTTGCAGTGAGCTGAGATCACACCACTGCATTCCAGCTTGAGCAGCAGAGTAAAACCACATCCCAAAATAACGAAAACAAATCTAAAAGCAATGAGAAGTATTTTATGCAGGAGAGTGAATTATCTAAAAATCACTCTGTAGCAATACATGCAGAAGGGTCAGTTAGGGGACTCTTAAAGCCATCCACAAGAGGGATAGGGTTGGCTTGGACTAGGGTAATAGTAATGAGAGAGAAGCTCACTAAATCTCATCCCATCTAAATAACCTCTCCTAGTCTCACTCACCAGCCCACATGAAGCACCCAGAGTCAAAACCTAGGAGGAGACACGATACCCCAAAGCCTAATAATCTGTTCCATGTGCCTTCAGGCCTCTCTGGGAAGGGAAAGAAACTCCAAAACTCAGATCAGAAACATTTGTAAACAACAGCTATCAAAAACGGATCTTTGGAAAACAGAAGGAGATACTCACAGTCCCATGGGTTCCCAACTCGGATCTGTGAATAGGCCTTTTTCAGTCTGTTTACGACCTCATCGTGGATGCTTTCATGCACAAACTAAGCAAAAAAAGAGGTATTTGAGGGCACAGTACGATGAATGTACACAATTTTAAACAATGAATAATATTATTGAAAGTTATTGAAATATGGTAATCTCTAAAAACAAGCAAATCAAAGCACATTTTATTTATAATCATATTATTTCTCATTTTAATATTAACTATATAAAGTTTAAAATTTCCTTTTAGGTAGATGTTAGAATAAAATCATAAGCCATGTTTTGTTTTTGTGGTTTTTTTTGAGACAGAGTCTCACTCTGTCACCCAAGCTAAAGAAGTGCAGTGGTGCAATCTCACTTCATTGCAACCTCCACCTCCCAGGTTCAAGTGATTCTCATACCTCAGCCTTCCAAGTGGCTGGGATTACAGGCACCCACTACCATGCCTGGCTAATTTTTTGTATTTTTAGTAGAGATGGGCTTTCGCCATGTTGGCCAGGTTGGTCTGGAACTCCTGACCTCAGTGATCCATCCACCTCGGCCTCCCAAAGTGCTGGGATTATAGGCATAAGCCACTGCACCCTGTCCATAAGCCATGTCTTTATCAAGTTTCCAAGGATGTATTTGGCTAAACTTCACAAATACATTAAAGAAGGCCTCAAGTACATCTGTCCCATACTGTAACTCTAAGTCTCAGTGAATGCAGAGCACAGTGGTAACTAACTGTGCTTGGCAACTACAAACACTTAGCTCCAGGCCACAAAGGTCTCTAGAAGAGGCCTTAATTAGGTGAGGATAACCCTTGCACTCTCTGGGTAGTTGTGAGGTCCATGCTATGCTCCTAGTGGCAGAGCTGAACTTGCCAAACCATCTATTCTCTGAGATAGTCTCCATGTGATGAATGAATTGACATTTCGAGAACTAGTCATGAAGCAGCCCACAGTATTGGAATTTTTATATATATGTATACACACAAACATATACGCTGCTAACTCTAAGGAAATCTATTTGAACAATGGCTAATATTATCTATTAATATTTAACACTAATATAAAGGACATCTGTTAATATTTGCTCCAAAACACACACAAAAAATAAAACTTGGCTGAATAGTGAAATATTTGGCTTTCATGTCAATTCATATTTTACCATGTAATGAAGGGTATAACCATTTGGAGTACATCGTTTTCTCTTAGCTTTAATATAATCTTTAATGGCAATTTAATGTGTATGATGAACAAATTTAATAAACTGTAACGTTACAAATATAGTATCCAATTTTTTAAGACTGTCAGCTACGTAAAAATAAAGATTTATTTTCATTTGTGCAAAACACCTGAAAAAAGTATAAAAATTGTGAGAGGCAAAAAAAAAAAAAAAAAAGAAGAAAATTGTGAGAGGCTGGGCACAGTGGCTGACACCTATAATCCCAGCACTTTGGGAGGCCAAGGCAGGCAGATTACCTGGGGTCAGGAGTTTCAGACCAGCCTGGTAAACATGGCAAAATTTTGTCTCTTCTAAAAATACAAAAATTAGCCAGGCATGGTGGTGGGCACCTGGAGTCCCAGCTACGTGGGAGGCTGAGGCAGGAGAATTGCTTGAACTTGGGAGGTGAAGGTTGTGGTGAGCTGAGATCATGCCACTGCACTGTACCCTTGCCAACAGAGAAAGATTCCATCTCGAGAGAAAAAAAAAGAGAAAAGTGTGAGAAAGGTAAATTTCTTTTTTTTTTTTTGAGACGGAGTTTTGCTCTTGTTTACCCGGGCTGGAGTGCAATGGCGCAATCTCAGCTCACCGAAACCTTTGCCTCCTGGGTTCAGGCAATTCTCCTGCCTCAGCCTCCTGAGTAGCTGGGATTACAGGCACGCGCCAAGATGCCCAGCTAATTTTTTGTATTTTTAGTGGAGATAGGGTTTCACCTTGTTGACCAGGATGGTCTCAATCCCTTGACCTCATGAGCCACCATGCCCGGCGGTAAAGATAAATTTCGTATATCTTTTAGCTTATTTGAATCAATTTAGATGTCAGTCTTATAAAGAATTTGTTCACACTCATTGTGAATCAGAGCAAAAGCCCAAAGCCAATTCCTTAATAATTCAACTGAAGTCCTTTTTTATTACTAAAGGAAAACTCAACAATAAAAATTGGCTTAAGTTCAAAAGAGCTAAAAATAATTTTTTTAAATTGTAAATGCAGCCAAATTTTGTACCTAACTAAAACTTGGTCAGGGCGGGGCATGGCAGCTCCTGCCTATAATCCCAGCACTCTGGGAGGCCAAGGTGGGTGGATCATTCACCTTGAACTCCTGAGGTTAGGAGTTCAAGACCAGCCTGGCCAACATGGTGAAACCTCATCTCTACTAAAAATACAAAAATTAGCCAGGAATGGTGGTACACACCTATAATCCCAGCTACTCAGGAGGCTGAGGCAGGAGAATTACTTGAACCCAGGAGGTGGAGGTTACAGTGAGCAATATCGCACCACTACACTCCAGCCTGGTGATAGAGAAAAACTCTGTCTCAAAAAACAAAAAAAAAACTTGCTGAGTTATTGTATAGTCTTTTCGTACCATAAAGTCATGAAAATCAAAGTTGTAACACATACTAAACTGAAATCCAGCTCAATCTTAAGTATAGAGATTAAACTTCCCAAATCCCACACTGAAGCTAAACCGTATCTCCCCTTATATACACTTAATGTTAATCTGTCGTCTCTATATATATGTATGCAGACTACATATGTATATAGAGAAGTCTCGGGTATACAGAATCATATGCTTTTCAATGAATCATGTCATTTCAAGTCAAAGCTAAGACTAGACTTCAGGCTAAAAATTAAAATGTTTATTGATTGATTGGTTGAGACAGGATGTTGGCCTGTTTCCAGGGCTGGAGAACAGTGGTGCAGTCACGGCTCATTGCAGCCTCCTTGTCCTGGGCTCTACCAGTCCCCCTGCCTCAGCCTCCCAAGTATATGTGGCTGGGACTACAAGCATAAGCCATCATGCCTGGCTAATGTTTTTTAACTTTTTGTAGAGACAGGGTATCGCTATGTTGCCCAAGCTGGTCTCGAACTACTGGGCTCAAGCAATCATCCTGCCTTGGCCTCCCAAAATGCTGGAATTACGTGTTTGAGCCACCGTGCCCAGCCTAAAATGCTTTACTACTTAAAATGTTTTTACAAAAGAGCAAGACTCTATTTTTAGCTAATAGTTTAATAATTTTTAACATTTTTACCTTGTTTTATTCTCTAAGTTACATTGGACTTTTTCCACATTGTTCTGGGAATAGGACTGAAAATAGTTCTCATCTCCTAGTCCAACTCCAATCAACTGGTGGTGGAACCCCTATTAGCTTGGGGTAGAAAAAAGCCAAAGTCCCTGATTGACTAACAACATCTGCCAACTGGGCCACATATTTGTCAGCCGCATCTAGAGAGCACGTTGTTATAGCAGTATTGCTGACACCTCCCTAACAGCAGACCTCATTAACAAGTAGTGTTTAAGAGCAAGACAAGCTCACGGGCCTATGCAGACATACTCACCAGTCGCCTCGCAGTGGTACACCTCTGGCCAGCTGTTCCCACAGCAGCGAAGAGAGCTGATGGAACAACTAAATTGAGGTCTGCATCTTCGAAGGCTTAGGAAAGCACAAACACACCCATCAGTGAAGTAAAACAGGTAGACAGGTATTTGTTAGCTGGTATAAAACAATGTGGGTTTGCTTTCTTTTTTTCTTGAGATGGAGTTTTACTCTTGTCACCCAGGGTGGAGTACAATGGTGTGATCTTAGCTCACCACAGCCTTCCACTCCCAGATTCAAGCGATTCTCCTGCCTCAGCCTCCCGAGTGGCTAGGAATACAGGCATGTGCCAATATGCTCACCTAATTTTTGTCATTTTGGTAGAAATGGGGTTTCACCATGTTGGTCAGGTCAGTCTCAAACTCCTGACCTCAAGTGATCTACCCACATTGGCCTCCCAACGTGCTGGGATTACAGGCATGAGCCACAACGCCCAGCCAACAATGTTTCTATAAAGTGCAGTAAGAGAATGTCAGAACTATGGTTGTACAGTAAGCATATTAACGTCACAGAGACATATACACACATCAGGGGGAAAGGCACACTCTTTTTCCAAGGAAGACTATGAGCTCTGTAATCTTTACCCAGCTATAGAGGGGTAAATTGAGGTTCCCACTCCTTTGGCCTCTTCATCTTTTATTTATTAGGGGTTTTTTCGTGTATTCTTTTTTTTTTTTTTTTTTTGATATGGGGTCTCACTCTGTCGCCCAGGCTGGAGAGAGTAGCACTGACCTTGTGGGCTCAGTCAATCTTCCCACGTCAGCCTCCCAGTGGCTAGGACTATAGGTGCGCACCACCACACCTAGGTAATTTTTGTATTTTTTCTAGGGATTGGGTTTCACCATGTTGTCCAGGCTGGTCTCAAATTCATTCTCCTTGGCCTTCCAAAGTGCTGGGATTACAGGTGTGAGCCACCACACCCAGCCTTTTTTAACTTTTGAAGTCTCGGTTTCCTCATCTAAAAAATGGGCAATAATGCCTAGGGTCATAATGGATGGTAGTAGGCAGTTAAGGAAGAGCTGTGCTCTGAGGTCTGGCTGCCGAGATACAAGTAGTAGCATTTGTCATTTGCTATCCTGTTACTTCAGGTATGTAATCATTTTAAGTCTCAGAATACAACCTTCAAATTAGATTAACAGCAGTATTTACTTCATAGGATTGTTGTAGGGATTAAATAAAATAATGCATATAAAACAGCTGAACACAGTACCTGGCAGACACTAGTGCTCACTAAATGCAAACTTTGTTTTTTACTGAAGTCTCTCTTTAAAAGTTCATCCAGAGGCTGGGCACAGTGGCTCACGCCTGTAATCCAAGCACTTTGGGAGGCCAAGGCAGGTGGATCACCTAAGGTCAGGAGTTCGAGACCAGCCTGGTCAGCTTAGTGAAACCCCATCTCTACTAAAAATACAAAAATTACCCAGGTGTGGTGGCGTGTGCCTGTAATCCCAGCTACTTGGGAGGCTGAGGCAAGAGAATAGCTTGAACCTGGAAGGTGGAGGTTGCAGTGAGCCAAGATCATGCCATCGCACTTCAGCCTGGGCGATAAAGTGAGACTCCAACTCAAAAAAAAAAAAAAGTTTATCCAGAACAAACCCTTCACCATCTACTACTTTTTTTTTTTTTTTTGGGACAGAGTCTTGCTGTGTCGACAGGCGCCAGGCTGGACTGCAGTGGCGTAGTTTCGGCTCACTGAAACCTCCGCCTCCTACGTTCAAGCAATTCACCTGCCTCAGCCTCCCGAGTAGCTGGGACTACAGGCGTGCACCACCACGCCCAGCTAATTTTTTTGTATTTTTAGTAGAGACAGGGTTTCACTATGTTGGCCCGGATGGTATTGATCTCTTGAAATCATGATACGCCCATCTTAGCCTCCCAAAGTGCTGGGTTTATAGGCGTGAGCCACCGTTCCTGGCTCACCATCTACTTTTTATGTCTTACAAATACTTCTTATGCGTGTCATCTACAAATATCTAAGCATTTTCGTGACAAATTCAGACAGCTGAAAAAGAGCATTAAGTAGTCTCTAAGCCTATAGGTGATTTTTTAAAATGCCTTAAGGACATGTTTCTTCCCAATATAAAAGCACTCAATATTCCACTAAAGAAAAAATAATGTTTTGAAATCTAAAGAAATGATCAAGTCACATAAGAGTTACTTAAGTTATTCTACAGAAATATAGCCAGTTTTCAGCCAACAGAAGAAGAAAAAATAAGAAATAATGCCACACTCCAATGGCAATGGAAGCCTTATTCACAGGTTCTAGATCCCAGGTAACATGTTCTAAACATAATACCTTTCCTTCCTAGTTACCTCTGCCTTCAAACCAAGCTTGTATCCTATCTCCCCAGTAAAATTCCTAAACACAGGACCTAGGTCTCAGGCATACACAACATGGAAGAAATGAGATCCTAAATGAGACAAGTTCCATATATTCAGGATGGCGATTGTAGAAACTATGAACAGAAAACAAACAAAAACGAAAGGGCAGCCTTACCAATAATAGCATTATTTCCTCCAAGTTCCAACAAACTTCTCCCTTTAAAAAAATTACACATACAAATGAATGGCTCATTCTGTATTTACTACACACTGCTGTATAGCCTAACCCCAACTGTTAAATTATACAGCCTGTCCAATTAATATTTTATAGAGCCTATCCCAATCATAAAGCTATCTCAATTACACCCTATCCCAATTATTTTTCAACTTATTTTCTCAGTTTAAAGTAGCATTCCTATTGTATCAATATCAAATGTCCTGATTTTGGTAACTACTGTGGTTATGCAAGAGAAAGTGCACAATCTTAGGAAATACACCAAAATATTTAGTAATAAAGGGAAGCAACATCTTCAACTTACTCCAAACAGTTCAACAATAATATGCACTCACAGAATGTGTGTGTGTGTGTGTGTGTGTGTGTGTGTGTGAATAGATGTTGCTGAAGTGTATGCATAGATGTTGCTGGAGAGAGAGAAATGATCAGTCAAATGGAACAAAATGTACGCAATTAGGGTATACGGGGATTCCTTAGGTTGGTCTTATAATTTTAGGTTTGAAACTGTACAAGAAAGTCTACAGGCAAACCAAACCACCCTGAATGCGTCCAATCTTGTCTGAAACTGCTTAAGAAAAAAAGTAAAATGGGGCAGTCACTATAGAAAACGGCATGGCAATTATCCCCAAAAAATTAAACAGAACCTAGCAAACATGGTAAGACCCTGTCTCTACAAAAATTAAAACAAATTAGCTGGGCATGGTAGTGCCTGCCTGTAGTCCCAGCTACTCGGGAGGCTGAAGCCCAGGAATTTGAGACAACTGTGAGCCGCGATTGCACCACTGCACTCCAGCCTGGGCCAACAGAATGAGACTGTCTCAAATAAATGAATGAATGAATTACTACATGATCAAGCAATTTCATTTCTGTGTATAAGCAGGGACTCCATATTTATTTGTACACCAATATTCATAGTAGCATTATTCACAATAGCCGTAAGGTGACAGCAACCCAAGTGTGCATCAGCTGATGAATTAGTCAAATAAATGTGGTATATAAATATAATAGATAAAATATCATGCAGCCTTATTTTATTTTATTAATTTTTTATTTTTTCTGAGACAGGGTCTGACTCTGCTGCCCAGACTGTGGTTTGGTGGCATAATCGTGGCTTACTGCAACCTCAACCTCCTAGGCTCAAGCAGTTCCCCACCTCAGCCTCCCAAGTAGCTGGACCACCATGCCCAACTCATTCTTGTACTTTTTTTGGCAGAGACACGGTCTTGCCATGTTGCCCATGCTGGGCTCAAACTCCTGGGCTCAGATCCCTCCTGCCCTGGCCTCCCAAAGTGCTAGGATTACAGGCATGAGCCACCATGCCCAGCTTATTATGTAGCCTTAAAAATGAAATCCTATTACATGCTACGAGATGGTTGTACTTTGTACACATTATGGTAAGTGAAATAAGGTAGTTCCTAAAGGACGAATACTTATGATTCCACTCACATGGAAGATGTCAAAATCAATGAAACGAAGAGAAGGGTAGCTACCAAGTGCTGGGTATAGGGGAAGAAGGGATTAGTGTTTACAGGGTATGGAGTTTCAGTTTTGCAAGATGAAAAATGTCTAAAGATAGGCTGTACAATAATGTGAATGTACTTGACACTACTGAACTATGTACCATCTTAACCATTTTTAAGTAAATTTTATGTTGTGCGGACTCCTCACAATAAGAAAGAGAGGAAGGAAGGAAGGAAATATGAAAGAAAGAAAGGAGGGAGGGATGGAGGGAGGAACAGAAGGAAGGAAGGAAAGAAGGAAGAAAGTGTGGACAGAAGGAAGGAGGGAAAGGGAGAGGGAGGAAGAATAAAAAGGAGGAGAAAGAGGAGGAACGAAGGGAGGAAGTTGGAGAGGGAGGGAGGAAGGGAGGAAGGGAGGGAGCAGACAGGCAACCTATGGCCCATAAGGCCACGACAAATCTCCCTCTTAGAATTTGATAGTGTCTTCTAATTTTTTGTCTGTGCATTTATATTTAGTTGAGATTATATTATTTCATTTGCCGTTATTTTCTGATGTCTTACACCTTTCTCCTAAGTTATGAAAAGAAAAATCACTCCATAGTATTCCATTATAATGACATACCAAATTTTATTTAGCTATTTCTTCAGTGTTGAATATATTTGTTGATTATCTAGTTAGGACAGGACTCTTGAGGGACACACACGAGTCTGAAGTCGGACCCCACTACTACATCTGCTATGCAAAGACACGCAAAATGTATCAAAGACCTAAATATAAGAGCGAAAACTATAAAACCCTTAGAAAAAAAAATAGGAATAAGCTTTCATGACCTTAGGTTAGGCGATGGTTTCTTAGAAACAATAACTAAAGCACAAGCAACAACAATTAAAAGGCAAATTAGATTTTATCAAAATTAGAGCCTTTTGTGCTTCAAAGGACATCAGGAAAAAGTGAAAACAACCTACAGAATGGCAGAAAATGTTTGGAAGTCATTGGATAAGGAACTTGTATATGGAATACGCAAAGAACCCTTAAAATTTAAGAATATAAAAGACAACCCAATTAAAAACAGGCTCCGGATTTGAATAGAAATCTTAAATGGCCAATTAGACATGAAGAGATTCTCAATATCATTAGTCCCTAGCAGATTTCGTCTTCTCTGCTTTCTCCCTTTTTCCTTCCTCAAGGCAGTAGTTAGTTCTTAGCTAAATAGTAGCAGTAGAATTATAATTTTAAAAATATATCTGCCAGTCTTAACTTATAGCTGCTTTTCTTGGGAGAGTTGGTGGTTAGGAGTGCAGTTAGAGAGCACCTGATGGAGAGATGTAGAAAGTATAGATCCCTCCTCTTCTGCCAAACATCACTTGCAGCCAGGCAGGCAGGAGAAGCGGACATCAGGCATAAAAGCTTCTGTTTCCTTCCTTTTCTTCTTTACACCTAGCATAGTGCTATGCTGTAGCCACCAAGCTGTCGTTAATTCAATGATTGCAGCAGAGACTAGAGTTGGTGTAGCATTTGCTGGGTTTTGGTAATAACAGCCACATGTCTTCATAATGAATATTCACTTGAGGCCAGGCACAGTGGTTCATGCCTGTAATACTAGCACTTTGGGAGGCCGAGGTGGGTGGATCACAAGGTCAGGAGTTTGAGATAAGGTGAAACCCCGTCTCTACTAAAAATACAAAAATTAGGCAGGTGTGATACACACCTGTAGTCCCAGCTACTCGGGATGCTGAGGCAGAAGAATTGCTTGAACTCAATAGGTGAAGAAGAATTGCAGTGATCCGAGATCGTGCCACTGCCCCCGGCCTGGGCAACAGAGCAAGACTCGGTCTCAAAAAAAAAAAAAAAAAAAAAAATATATATATATATATATATATATATATATATATTCACTTGATGCTTACCTGTTTCAGAGCAATGAAAATGAGAACATACTCTCCTATTGTCACATATGCTACTGATATCACAAATGAATAAAAGTTATTCACATGAAAGCTGATTTTAAAGTGCACTTAAGGAAATTTATGCTCAAAATATCAGTAAAAAACATATGTCTAAGGCCAGGCACAGTGGCTCATGCCTGTAATCCCAGCACTTTTGGAGGCTGAGGCAGGCGAATCACCAGAGGTAAGGAGTTCGAGACCAGCCTGGCCAACGTAGTGAAACCCCATCTCTACTAAAAACACAAAAATGAGTTGAGTGTGGTGGTACACACCTGTAGTTTCAGCTACTTGTAAAGTTGAGGCAGAAGAATCACTTGAACCCAGGAGGCAGAGGTTGCAGTGAGCAGAGATTGCGCCACTGCACTCCAGCCTGAATGACAGAGCAAGACTGTCTCAAAAAAAAAAAAAAAAGAAAAAAAACAAATGGTATTCATGGCCTGCTATATAACTTTTCTAGAATATAAGTTGGTAATGTCTATCAAGAGTCCTGACCTAAATAGATAATCAATAAATATATTCAACACTGGAGAAACAGCTAAATAAAATTTGATCATCATGATGGAATACTACAGAGTAATTTTTCTTTTCATGACTCTTAATAACTTAGGGGAAAGGTATTAAGACACCAGAAAATAAAATAAAATGGAAATAATATAATCTCAACTAAATATAAATGCCCAGAAAAAAGACTGGAAGACACTATCAAATTGTAAGGAAGGACTTTTGTGGTGGCCTTATGGACCATAGGTTTCTTTCTTTCTCTCTTTTCAATTGTGAGGGGAAATCCAAACAACGTAAAATTTACTTAAAAATGGTTAAGATGGTACATAGTTCAGTAGTGTCAAGTACATTCACATTATTGTACAGCCTATCTTTAGAACTTTTGCATCTTGCAAAACTGAAACTCCATACCCTGTAAACACTAATCCCTCCTTCCCCTACACCCAGCCCTTTGTAGCCACCCTGCTCTCTATTTCATTGATTTTGACAAGTTTCATATGAGTAGAGTCATAAGTACTCACCCTTTAGGGACTACCTTATTTCACCTACCATAATGTGTACAAAGTACAACCATCTTGTAGCATGTAATAGAATTTTTTTTTAAGGCTGCATAATAAGCCGGGCTTGGTGGCTCATGCCTGAAATCCTAGCACTTTGGGAGGCCAAGGTGGGAAGATCTGAGCCCAGGAGTTAGAGCCCAGCATGGGCAACATGGCAAGACCCTGTCTCTAACAAAAAAAGTACAAGAATCAGCTGGGCATGGTGGTCCATCTAAATGGAAGACTGAGGTGTGGGAACTGCTTGAGCCCAGGAGGTTGAGGTTGTAGTGAGCCATAATCATGCCCACTACACCCCAGCTGGGCAGCAGAGTCAGACCATGTCTCAGAAAAATAAATAAATAAACATGAATAAAATAAAGATTTTAAAAGGCTGCATGATATTTCATTTTGAAAAGTCTACTCTTTCCCCATTGAAATATCTTGTCACCCTTGACACAACTGACCATAAATGCAAGGATTTATTTCTGGACCTTCAATTCTACTCCATTGATCTTTATGTCTATCCTTATGCTGGTGCCACACAGGCTTGATTACCACAGTTTAGCAGTAAATTTGTTAACTGAGAAGTGAGAGTCCTTCCATTTTTTTCTTTTTCAAGATTGTTTTGGCTTTTTAGGGTCCTTCGCATTATCATATGAATTTTAGGATTAACTTGTCAATTGTTACAAAACAAAAACCTGGAATTTTTACAGGACCTGCATTGAATCTGTAGATCACATGGGCCATATTGATTATCTTAACAATATTCAATCTTCTAAAAAACGAAAAGGGAATATCTATTCATTTATTTAGGTCATCTTTAATTTATTTTGATGATTTGCAGTGCTCTGTGCGGCAGACTTAGACTTCCTTTGTTCAATGTATTCCTAAGTGTTTTATTCCTTTTGATGTTACTATAAATTGAATTGTCTTCTGAATTTCATTTTTGGATTGTTCATTGTTAATGCATAGAAAAACAATTGATTTTTCTACATCAATCTTGTGCTCTACAACCTTGCTGACCTGTTTTATTAGGTCAGCAAGGTTGTAGAGCACAAGATTGATGTACAAAAATCTATGTTGCCAATGCCTACATAGTTAAATGGCTGAAGTCTCGTCTCATGCTGGGGTTAAAGTCTAAAATTCAGCCCAACAGCCAAAAATTCATAGCCAATATTATCCTTGAAAACCTTGGAAGTCATCCATAAAGCACAGTACAGTATACGAAGCTATGTCTATACAGCCTTTTTTAACCATGTATCCATGAAATATGCATGAGAGAAGAGCGGATTTAAGCCTTTTATTCCATACTCACTGTAAGTTCTGTATTCAGTGCTCCTGTTTAAATGATGACATTTTTCTTCTTTAATTTGCCAAACAGGACCAGTAGAATTTGATAAATATTTTACTATACCCATTTACAGAGAAAATGATTTCCTTTAATAAATTTTAATATGTAAATTTAGGACCTCCCTAACATTCAAATGCTAATAACTGTACCCTTTTCTTTTACTTAGATATTCAAATAAACAAGACCACTGTCTCCATGGACAAGGTTGAGGGGAAAGCAAAAACTCAACTTTTAGATTTCGCCTCCATATTTGAGAGAATTAACATCCTCATTAGAAAACCAACACTTACCAAACCTCTCCTGCACCATCAGGGCCACCTGTTTTCCCACCTGAGTGCTCCCAGTGAAGGACAGCAGGTTCACTCGTTCATCTTTGGCCATTGCTGTGCTGCAGGGGAACAGACATGGTCAGTCACCCAAGCAGAGAACCCAGGAATGGCAACAAATGGTACCCAGCACTGAAGTTCCCTTGGAAAAGCAGTCCCTCAAAGCTAAAGGAAAGTCTATCCCAGGGGAGCAATGGAAGGTCTTCAAGGAAAAGGGACAAAAATTTTTCATAAATAAGGCAGAACAGGCTAACCTGCTGTGAGCGTTTGAATAGAAATCACTTAGAGGAAACTATTAGAGAAGAAAGTCTTTCCTGCTATGATCTTAGCATTTCCTTGCTGAGCATTCCAGTTTTACAGACTTTTAACTGCTGTATAATCCTTTTAAGAACTAAAACTTGGGCAGGACAAGCCTGGGCAACATGGTGAAACCTCGTCTCTACTAAAAAATACTAACATTAGCATGCGCCTGTAGTCCCAGCTACTTGGGAGGCTGCTTGGAGGCTGAGATGGAAGGATCACTTGAACCTGGGAGGCAGAGGTTTCAGTGAGCCTAGATCATGCCAGTGTACCCCGGACTAGGTGACAAGAGACCTTGTCTCAAAAAAAGTAAATAAATAAATAATTAAAAATTAAAGCTTGGCCAGGCGCAGTGTCTCATAACTGTAATCCCAGTACTTGGGGAGGCCAAGGCAGGTGGATCAACGAAGGTCAGGAGTTTGAGACCAGACTCACCAAAATGGTGAAAGCCCATCTCTACTAAATATAAAAAATTAGCCGGGTATGGGTACAGGTGCCTGTAGTCCCAGCTACTTGGGAGGCTGAAGCAGGAGAATCACTTGAACCCAGAAGGCAGAGGTTGCAGCAAGCCAAGATTGTGCCATTGCACTCCAGCCTGGACAACAAGAGTGAAACTATGTCTCAAAAAAAAAAAAAAATACTAAAATTAAATTTAAAATTAAGACTTAAAAACCTATAGGGAAATATCCTAAAGCAGGGGATCCCCAAGCCCCAGGATGCTGACCAGTACCAGTCTGTGGCCTATTAGAAACCAGGCTGCACAGCAGAAGGTGAGCAAGTCGGTGGGCCAGTAGGCATTACTGCCTGAGCTCCACCTCCTGTCAGATCAGCAGCAGCATTACATTTTCATAGGAGGGTGAACCCTATTGTCAACTGCGCATGCAAGGGATCTGGATTGCGTGCTCCTGATGAGAATCTAATGCCTGATGATCTAAGGTGGGATGATTTCATCCTAAAACCATCCCCTTGCTGTGGGCCATGGAAAAATTGCCTTCCACAAAACCAGTCCTAGTACCTGGTGCCAAAAAGGTTGGAGACTTCTATCTTAAAGTATTCCTCATGGAAGCTGACTTATAAAGGCTATACTAGGATTTCCAGTTGCTTCTAAGGAATGCAGATCAGACACTACTGATTTGATCCTCTTTGTTCCAAGTTCAGTGCTTCAAAGGGTCCAATGTGAGCCAAGTAGGGCAGCCACAGTATCAGTCCAATGTAGGGCTGAACAGCTTGGCTCAATTACCTAGGTCAGTCTTCCCAGGTTCAACCCAGCAAGCATGAGCACTAATACTCAAAGTGGCTGCTACTTAACATGCTCCTGTACATACTACCATAATTATCTGAGCAATTGCAAGGTCAACATGAAGGACTAGACACCCAGAATGCAAAAATACAGTCAAAGGCCGAAAGACTCATGTTTTACATGACACTTAGATAAGATTTCACTCTGCATTGCACATGTAGGAGCTTTATTTTCTAAAATGTTCTCATCAATATGAAAAATAGAGTAATGTATTGCTCCTTTTTGAGATTGCCAGGAAGTACAATAGTACGTTAAAAGTGTTGGAAGAAGAGACTAACACTTTAGCCACACCAGTGTGGGTTGTAAGACTTGACTCCTAGAAAACTCACCTAACGAAAGTCTAAGCTGGTAAGAACAACCTCAGCTTTCATCCCTGTTCAGCGCAGTTATAGTCCATGTCATCTTAATATCATGCCATGTAAAAGCAGCAAGACATAAAAGGCCGCATATTGTATGACTACATTTATACAAAGTGTCTCAAATAGGCAAATCCGTACAGACAGAAAAGTCTTTAGTAGCTGTCAGGGCATGAGGGGAGGGGGAATGGGAAGAGATGGCCAATGGATATTGGATTTCTTTCTAGGCTGATCAAAATGTTCTGGAATAAGATAATGGTGACAGCAGCGCAATACTCTGAATATTCTAAAAACCACTACATTGTACACTTGAAAAAAGAAATGTTATGGTATGTGCATTGTGAATTATATGGCAACTAAAAAGGAAAAACACAATTTTATTAAAAAGAAGCTGTGTTCCTAGGGTTCCCTTTTTCTGTCAGCTGAGAAACTCAGACAGTAGGCTAGGTTCTTGGCGGGCAGTGAGACCCCAGAGTACAATTCCATAGCTTTCTCTGTAAGTAAACACCTTGATAAACCAAGTGTCAGGAAGTCACAGACTGCCCACCATTATAGCAGTTTGTTATTTCAGGATATAAACACCTTATAGATAGTACGTCTAGGCAATTAGAAAGACAATTCATATTCATCCTCCAATAGAGCTTAGATATTAAGAAAATAAGAACCCAACAAAGTTTTAATAATGATGATTTCAGAAAACCATTCTCATATCCTTGGTTATAGTGAGTTTCCTATTCTAGTAAAGATGATTCTAGTTGGTCAACCTGAGGTCCTTCAACAGAAGGATGCTCTCAGCCTAGTAACCTACCCAATATCTGCTCCACCACAAGTCAAGGAACAAATTGCCCCAGGCAGCCTGTTGTCCTCCAAAACCTTGGCTATTATCCTAGAAAGGAAAAAAACAATTATTGAAGCAATCATTTGATTTAAGTCATTTTTTAAAAAACAAGAATAAATTCCAACCACTTGACTCTCCTTTTTTCAACGTTCTCTCACATCCCTCAAACATACTACTCTCTTGCTTTTTCAGCCCCCTTTTCAATTGCTAAGTCACTGTTCCTAAATGGCCTTCTAACATTAAGAATCCTCTTATACCAGACTCTGCCCTCAAACATTCAGAGGTGGATTTCTCCTCACATATTGAAAATGATGTTTTTTAAAAACTATTAGAATTATCATTATTATTATTATTTTGTCCTAAAAGAATCTTGAGGCCAGGTGTGGTGGCTCATACCTGGTAATCTCAGTCCTTTGGGAGGCCGAGGCAGGTGGATTAGTTGAGCTCCAGAGTTCGAGACCAATCTGGCCAACATGGTGAAACCCCATCTCTATTAAAAATATAAAAATTAGCTGGGCATGATGCTGGGAGCCTGTAATTTCACCTACTCAGGAGGCTGAGATAGGAGAATTGCTTAAACCCAGGAGGGGAAGGTGGCAGGGAGTTGGAGGTTGCAGTGAAGCAAGATCATGCCACTGCACTCCAGCCTAGGAGAAAGAGCCAGATTCCATCTCAAAAAAAAAAAAAAAAAATCTTGAGAAGAAGAAAAAAACATAAAACATAAATAGAAGACATAAAGCATTTTTCATGTAGCTCAACTTATCATTGTTTTCAAGTATTTTCTGCCAAACTATGAGAATACATCTGGTTCAAGACAGCAGATTCATCATCACTGGGCCTTTTTTTTTTTTTTTTGTCTTTCACAAATCTATTAAAACAATGATTAAAAAGGAAAATAAAAAGGAAATGAAAAAAATTGCAAAAAAAAGAGAACAAAAAAAGAAAGGAAATGAAAATGATAAAGGAAATTAGAGGTAGTCCCCACCAGCAAATATATTTAAACACATCTCTGCAAAGCAGAGTTAGAGAAGTTGTAAACTACAAACTGGGAAAGGGGAAAGGATCCTCAAAACCTAAATAAATCCACAGACACAAAAGAGGGAGCTGCGGCCACCACGTAGAACCTTGAAGAAGCTTGGGGCTAGTTCCCACCAAACCACATCAGTCAGAAAATATCAGTACCCTGCAGGCTAAAGAATTGTGGACAAGCAGACTTTGTTCCCGTGTTAAAATAAGAAATACAGTTACATGCTACTTAAATCTGATTTTGAGTTGTAAAAAAAAAAGACTAAAATAATTCTGGTTTCTCTGAAATAGAATTCCATTCATTTTGAGTTTCCAGAGGACCAATAGAGCAAAGGTTCTTTTCAGCAACCATCTTGACTTACTGGCTACTTTCCAATTTGTTTAAATTTCAAAAAGACCCAAATTCCATACTCCCTCTCATAGAAAAGATACCATTATCACACCTAAGTAAGTTCCCCCAAAATACTCTTTTTTTTTTTTTTTTTTTTTTGAGACGGAGTTTCGCTCTTGTTACCCAGGCTGGAGTGCAATGGCGCAATCTCGGCTCACCGCAACCTCCGCCCCCTGGGTTCAGGCAATTCTCCTGCCTCAGCCTCCTGAGTAGCTGGGATTACAGGCACGCACCACCATGCCCAGCTAATTTTTTGTAATTTTTAGTAGAGACGGGGTTTCACCATGTTGACCAGGATGGTCTCGATCTGTTGACCTCGTGATCCACCCGCCTCGGCCTCCCAAAGTGCTGGGATTACAGGCTTGAGCCACCGCGCCCGGCCCCCCAAAATACTCTTTACAGCTGTTTTCTTCCCTCCAGTGTAGGATCCAATCAGTGATCCTTGATTGGATCCTGGACTGCGGCTCTCATGTTCACGACCAGGTTTCAGGCTGCACAATTCTTTCCAGAGACTTTGGGTATATATATTGTCTGCACAAGTAGGCTGTACACTCTTTAAGGGCAAGGCTTTTGTTTTGTGCCTATAGGTAAAGGTTAACAAGCCTCTGTCCCTGAGGCATGAGAATCTAACTCTAGGTTAAACTCTAACTCTGTTATGCAAGTTACCTGATAAGTGTCAGCGTGCCATCAATGTTTCTTAGACAACCAGCCTATGGTCAAAATGACCCTTGCCTGGTCACTTGCATCTGAACTGGGATAACTACCAGTGAGCTATTAATGGGAATACCATGCTTTTTGGCTTTTCCTGAGTGCAGTGACACTTGTAACTGAATGGCCCTGTGGCCCCGGAAAGCTACAATTGTTACAAGATATTTTGGTTTCTGTGGGGCTTTAAGCCAGGGTAATCCTACACCTGTGCAATGTGGCTCTCACTTCCTTGTACCTGTGTGACTGTGACGAGAACACTGATTGAAGAGGAATACCTGATGCCATACTGCTGACAAGCTATGTTCCTGTCCTACATCCTTCTGAATACACAGAGGAACCATATGTGGGCTGTGCTCATCTTAGGAATCTGAACATTCAGTTGAATTTATGAAGACCTCCTTGTGGCACTGCATCACCGTTGGTTAATTCCAGCAAAATTTGGCATCATTTACTTATTATCTTCCATTACAAAAGCAGATAACATTTTCAATGCTGTGAAAACTATCAACCAGCATATATTTAACTCCTACAGGTTTCAAACCATTTAAAGCAAAAAAAAAAAAAAAAGGCTTAAAGCAAATACAAAAAAATACAATGAACAGTATTTTAGCCAGCTACTTCCTAACAATTGTTAAGTCAATTTTACTATTTCCACATTAATTATTCTACTGTTTTTCAAAAAACAAATGTTTATTTTCAGGCCCGGGCAGTGACTCACGCCTGTAATCCCAGCACTGTGGAAGGCCAAGGCAGGCAGATAACTTGAGGCCAGTAGTTCAAGACCAGGATGGACAACATGGTGAAAACCCATGTCTATAAAAGTTAGCCAGGTATGGTAGATCCACCTGTAACCCCAGCTACTCGGGAGGTTGAGGCAGGAGAATCCCTTGAACCAGGAGGCAGAGGTCGGAGTGAGCTGAGATTACAGCCTGGGTGACAGAGCAAGACTCTGTCTTAAAAAAGAAAAATTAGCCAGGAGTGGTGGCACATGCCTGTAACCCCAGCTACTCAGTAGGCTAAGGCACAAGAATCTCTTGAACCCAGAAGTAAGAAGCTACAGTAAGCTGAGATGGCCCCACTGCACTCCAGCCTGGGTGACAGAGACTGTGTCTCAAAATTAAAAATTAAAAAATTAATACATACTACCCTTGCTCTTTTCCAGCCCATTTTCCAATTCCTAAGGCACTATTCTAAATAATCTTCTAGGCTGGGGAGGAGGGGTGGTTCACACTTGTAATCCAAGGGAGGATTTGGGAGGCTGAGGCGGATGGATCACGAAGTCAGGAGATTAAGACCATCCTGGCCAACATGGTGAAACCTCATATTTACTACAAATACAAAAATTTGCTGGGTGTGGTGGCTCACGCCTGTAATCCTAGCTACTCAGGAGACTGAGGCAGGAGTATCACCTGAATCAGGGAGTCAGAGGTTGTAGTGAGCCAAGATCACACCACTGCACTCCAGCCTGGTTACAGAGCGAAACTCTGTTAAAAAATAATAATAATCTTCTAATATGAAGAGCCCTCTTACCCACAAACTCCACCCCAATCTCTCTACTAACAACTCTGAAATCAAAATGCAGACCATGCACGCAATGCAACATCAAAGGTACATCCTAATCCTACATGGGGAGGCACCCTAACTCTATATATCCTCCAAATTCCAGAATAATAAATCAGTCTCATTGCTTTGATGACTTAATCAGAGCTACCAGGTTCTCAAATATAAATGAGTAAAGCACTGATAATTTTTTAACCAAAAGATGAACATTTTAGTGTTAGATGAATCAGGAGATAAGTATAATATTCAGTTTTATTAACACTCTATTAAGCAAAAGCAATAAAAGTATTAGCTGGATAGAAATCTATTCTTAGCCAGGCACGGTGGCTCACGCCTGTAATCCCAGCACTCGGGAAGGCCAAGGCAGGAGGATCACCTGAGGTCAGCAGTTCGAGACCAGCCTGGCCAACATGGTGAAACCCCATCACTACTAAAGGTACACAAATTAGCCAGGCATGATGGTATGCGCCTGTGATCCCAGCTACCCAGGAGGCTGAGGCAGGAGAATCACTGGAACCCAGGAGACAGAGGCTGCAGTGAGCCAAGACTGAGCCACTGAATTCCAGCCTGGGTGACAGGGCAAGACTCCATCTCAAAAAAAAAAAATGTATATATATCTTCTCAAAACCATTAACTTGTTGAATAGTGAGAAAATATGGCTTCTGAATTGCAAAAATATTTCCTTCCCACTGAAGATGGTTTTATTTTCCAAGTGACAAAACAATGTCTGTAAGAGTTCAATAAATGTCAATATCTGGCATGTTTCCAAAGAGTTAAATTAAATTAAATGACATGGCACTGAAAGCGCTCTATATAAAAATGATACTACAAGCAAAGGAAAAAGAGGTTATCCAAATTCCATGCTTAAATAAATGTGATTCTTTGACCTCAGATTAAAAAGTCAGGGCCTATCAATCACCCTTTCAATATTATTCCATATTCAAGAAAAAGAAAGCCACACGTACTTACTTTGTGACAGCCACACTAATCAGGGAAGTTGTTGGAGCTCCTTTCCTTAAAAAGGTTTAAAAAAAAAAACTTAGTTGATGGAAACCATAAATATCTTTTATTATGAAACAGAAGCAAAAGTATTTGTGAGAAAAAGCTCTGTCCAGTTAGACAACCGACAAATGAGTCTAGTAACCGAAACAGAAATCTGTCCTTCACCTTGGTATCTTTGAGACCTATGGAACAAAACTTTGATAACATAAAATAGCACCAAGCAATTCTGAATCAGCTTCCTGCACTGATCACAGGAATCATTAGGTTAACCTCAGCTAATTATGGGAACTGAGTGAAGCAGAAATCTACCAACATACAGCATTAACTAAACTTTCCTTGGAAAACTCAGAGAGCTGAGGAAAACTATGCAATGAGCCTTTTTGGATTAGAGGATCAGAGGCATAATGAATATCAGTATGCTGCTAAACAGGGTTTCCTTTCACAACATGGTGCAAAATTATTAGTCCTCTCAAATATGTCCTATTTTACAGTTAGTTTTTGAATACATTCAACTGAGTACCACACATTTAAAATGAATTAATAATTAGTGGAACAGATGCATGCAAAATGAGCCAAAGACAATTGTCCTGATTTTTCTTATTTAATTTCTTCCACAGAACACAAAAGGAAAAAACAAGTAACTGTTTGCCATCTATAATATACAGACATTTTTACTATCAAATATTTTGTAGAGTTGAAAAATTTAAGACATCAACAGGAACACTGACCAAGTGCCTAGAATTACTTGGGAGTTCACTCTCAAAGTTTTATTAGCCAGGCGCGGTGGCTCATGCCTATAATCCCAACACTTTGGGAGGCCAAGATGTGTGATCACCTGAGATCAGGAGTTTGAAACCAGCCTGGCCAACATGGTGAAACCCTGTTTCTACTAAAAATACAAAAACACAAAAAATTAGCCAAGCATGGTGGTACATACCTGTAATCCCAGCTACCCAGGAGGCTGAGGCAGGAAAATTGCTTGAACCTGGGAGGTGGAGGTTGCAGTGAGCTAATACTGTGCCATTACATTCCAGTGCAATGGGTGACAAGAGTGAAACTTCATCTCAAAAAAATTTTTTTAATTAAGTTTTATCGAAGAAGGCAGGTGATGCACACCTATAATCCCAGTTACTCAAGAGGTTGAGGTAGTAGTATCTGGAAATGGCTATTTTATCACTCACTACTAGATAGGAAAGTGAGCGGGTCTTACCAGAGGCAGACATTTCCACAGATCAAGGCGATGGCGTTGTTCCAGCCATACACTGCCACAGGGAAATTGAATGCCGTGATGATTCCAACCAGGCCTACAGGATTCCACTGCTCGATCAGAGCGTGGCCAGGTCCTGCGGACAGGAAAAGGATGGAACATGCCAAAGCATGTTAATTTAATGCCCATCAGGTTAATAAGAACAAATGTACAGCAGATCAGAGAAGATTCCAGACGCCTTATAGTGGGATATTGGTACATTAACAAATGTAAAACTAAAGTGGTTATTACTGCAACTACCTTATAAATCACGATATTCATTATGCCTCTGATCCTCATAGGAACTCTGCATAGATCAGAGCAGTATAAGTGCACCTGAGAGACAAGGACACTTTCCAGAGTTGATGGGTGCCCTAGGTGGTATGATCACAAAGGGCAGAACATGACCAGGGCACAGGGGCATAGGCCTATGTTCGCTCTTTGTTTTGAGTCAGTCTCACTGTGTTGCCCAGGCTGGAGTGGAGTGGGGCAATCTCAGCTCACTTCCATGGGCACCTCCCAAGTTCAAGCAATTATGGAGCCCCAGCCTTCTGGGTAGCTGGGATTACCGGCATGTGCCACCACACGCCACTACTTTTTGTATTTTTAGTAGAGAAGGGGTTTCACCATGTTGGCCAGGCTGGTCTCAAACTCCTGATCTCAAGTGATCCGCCTGCCTTGGCCTCCCAAAATGCTGGGATTACAGGGGTGAGCCACTGTGCCTGGCCTTCCATATTCTCTATTGCCTGATGAAGCCCTGGGCCACCTTCTCTGAATTCAAGACAAGGTGTTTCATTTATTGGTGGAAGATGGGAAGGGGGAGTTCTAATAGTTATATATATGTTGAATGAATGAATTGCACAAATCTTTACATTCACTATAAGAAAACTAAAAATACGGGAGCAGTGTGAAGAAGAAGAGGCGAGAACAACCCCCGGAGTGACCAAAGCCCACGCGCCGCTGCATCCCATGCCCAGCACAGATGTCCCGCTATTGTCACCACCGTGCCCAAGAGAAAGCCTGAAGGGGATGCTAAAGCAGATAAAGCCAAGGTGAAGGAGAAAAGATCCTCGAGGTAGTCCGCTAAACCTGCTCCTCCAAAGCCAGAGCCCAAGCCTAAAAAGGCACCTGCAAAGAAGGGAGAGAAGGTACCCAAAGGGAAAAAGGGAAAAGCTGATGCTGGCAAGGAAGGGAATACGCAGAAAATGGAGATGCCAAAACAGACCAGGCACAGAAAGCCGAAGGTGCTGGAGATGCCAAGTGAAGTGTGTGCATTTTTGATAACTGTGTACTTCTGGTGACTGTACAATTTGAAATACTATTTTTTATCAAGTTTTATAAAAATGCAGAATTTTGTTTTACTTTTTTTTCCTTTTAAGCTGTGTTGTTAGCACACAGAACACTTCATTGTTGTTTTGGAGGAAAGGGCATATGTCACTAATAGAATGTCTCCAAAGCTGGACCGATGTGGGGAAACACTTTTCCCTTCTAGTTTTGAGAGACTTCCTCTTGGCTCCCAGGAGGAAGGATTCCCTGACTTTGACAGACATGGCCACCTTGGCATACAAAAGCCTTGTGGTATGGAAAAACAAATTCGTTTTTATGTCCTCTTCTTCCTTTCCGTCTTTCAGCATAGACTTAACTCCCTTAAGCCCAGGCATCTGTTGGGACCTGACCCCCAGTCATTGGTTACCAGTGTGTCAGGCAATCTGGACTTGCCAGTGATGTCACTGAGATGGCACCTGTTGAAAGAACAGTGATTCTGTTTCCAGATTGTGGATCTTCAGATAAATTCTGCCATTTTCATTTCACTTCCTGAAAGTCAGGGTTGGCTTGTGAAAAGTTGTTAAACAACATGCTAAATATGAAATGTCAATCCTCACTCTAAACTTTCCCTGTTCAGAGCATCAGATGAAGACTTCATTGGGTTTTATAGTGGCTTTCTGATTTTTGGTAGTCCATCAAAGAAGGGAGTTTGAAAGTTGTTGTATACTGTTAACGATTGTCTGCCCATGTCCTGCCTGAAATACCATGATTGCTTATGGAAAGTATCTTTAATAAAGCTGGATACAGTTTGGAAAAAAAAAAAAAAACCAGAAAACTAAAAATACAAATAAGCTGGGAGCAGTGGGTCATGCCTATAATCTCTAGCACTTCAGGTGACTGGCACGGGAGAATCACTTGAGCTCAGTTTGAGATGGATCAACATGGCAAGACTCCTGGCTCCACGAAAAATACATAAATACAGCACTTTGGGAGGCCGAGGCAGGTGGATCACGAGGTCAAAAGATTGAGACCATCCTGGTCAACAAGGTGAAACCCTGTATCTCCTAAAAATACAAAAATTAGCTGGGCATGGTGGTGTGCACCTATAGTCCCAGCTACTCGGGAGGCTGAGGCAGGAGAATTGCTTGAACCCAGGAGGCGGAGGTTGCAGTGAGTTGAGATAGTGCCATTGCATTCCAGTATGGGTAACAACAGCAAAACTCCATCTCAAAATAAATAAATAAATAAATAAATAAATACAAAATAAGCTGGGTGTAAACTGGGCGTGATGGCTCATGCCTGTAATCACAGCACTTTGGGAGGTCAAGACAGGTGGATCACGAGGTCAGGAGATTGAGACCATCCTGGCCAACATGGTGAAAGCCCGTCTCTTTAAAAAAAAATAGCTGGGTGTGATTGGTGTATGCCTGTAGTCTCAGCTACTTGGGAGGCTGCAGTGGGAGAACTGCTTAAGCTCAAGAAGTTGAGGCTGAAGTGTTCTGTGATTGCACCACTGCACTCCAGCCTGGACAACAGAGTAAGACTCTGTCTAAAAAAGAAAAAAAAAAGAAGAAAAGAAAGTAAGGAAGAGACGAGATTAGATAAGTCAAGACGAGACGAGAAGAAAAACAAAAATATTATATTTTAAATACAAACTTTAAAGTCACCCATAATCCCACAAGGGGCTTATTTTAATTAAAGGCAGCTGGAGCAGTGCAGAGCCGTACCATAGGAATACAGTGGTTGACAAATCCTGGTTAAAAACACAGATCAACTGGAAAGGCAGCTGTCCCAGCCAACAATCTTTCTGGCCACACTCACACTGCTAGCTAGGATGAGGGACCATACTAGATGCAGCACCTCACTCCCAGGCCCTTCTTAGTCTAGGCACCCGAATCCTTAGAGATGAAGTGCTGGCACAGCCTCTTCCTGGCAGGGCCTGCCTCCTCCTCTCCTGCCCTCCCCTCTCTGCCCTGATGTCACCCCCTTGCTTATAACGCTTTGGAGTTTGGCTCCCTACTATAGCTATCCTCAGAATAAAGTCCAACCTCCTCGTCAGAAAAAGTCCCTTCCTGAGGTTCTCTGTCTACTCCACCAGACCTACCATTGTACCCTCCAGCTTGCTGAGGTCCTGAAACAAGCCACACTCTCCCAGCTTTCACACAGGTTACTTCCTTGTTTAAAACAACTTCCCACCCCAGCCCTCCACCCCTCTTCCTCTTTGTCCCACTTGGGACCTTACCTCCGCTAACCTTCTCTTGGAGGCATACCCCAACAGCATTCACAAAGCCAGGTTAGGGGCTCCCAGCTACATGCCAACCATCCTACCGTCTACTCCCTCATATTGCTTACCATGCTGGATTATGCTGGATATAATCACCTGTTTACTTATCTCCCACTCTAAGGTCTAATTTATAAACTGATAAATCCCTTGAGAACAGGGATTGTGCCTTACAGATCTAATATCACCTAGTAGATTACCCAGCACCTGATAGATGCTCAGTAAGCATTTACTGAATTAATAAAGTCAAAGTTACCCCAAAGCCTCTACATAGATGAGTAAACTAGTTAAAAAAAAAAGTGCAAGCTAGGTGTCGTGGTTCATGCCTGTAATCCCAACACTTTGGGTGGCCAAGGCAGGCAGATACTTGCATCAAGGAGGTCTAGGCCAGCCTGGGCAACATAATACGACCTCGTCTCTACAAGAAAAATTTTAAAATTAGCTGGGCATGGTGGTGTGTTGCCTATAGTCCCAGCTACTCAGGAGGCTGAAGTGGAAAGATTGCTTGAGTCCAGGAGGTCCAGGTTGCAAGGGGCCATAATAACACCACAGCACTCCAGTCTGGGTGACAGAGATCCTGTCTCAATAAACAAGCAAAAATGTGCAAGCAATTGAGAATTATTGTAATTGTCAGGTAGGCATCATAGTAGGTTCAAATAAGTTACCTGCCTGCACATGTACATGTCCCCAAATTGGAGGTTTACTAACATTTTGTAGCTGGAAAAAAACTCTTGAAAGTGTTCGGTGACATAAAATTACTATTGGATAATGGGAATCATTGTTAGATATCTAATTAAAGACATGAACTGTGCATTAAAAAGACTCCTCCAACTCTTTCTACAAGTAGGGAATTTACTCGAAATTCCAAGAAAGAGAGAAAAATACGATTTTTTGAAAATTATTTCTTTCCTGATTATAAATGTAACTGAATAACCATCATAGAAATTTTAGAAAATACAGAAAAATAGAAGAAAATCCACTACTAAAAATTCTGCCACAGAGAGAACCACTGCTACCACTTTAGCATACACTTCTATCCCAGCATTGCCAACGCAAACACACAGTCACGTGTTTTGCCCCATCCACAGTGCAAACATCACAAATCACATACACTTTTAACCTCACTGTCTGTTTCTTACTCTTGCTGTCATCTTATTATCTTCATTGTTACAACCTCAGAGAATAAAGTTGGTTCTTACAGAACAGCTTGTAATAGCAAAAGACTGAAAACAACCCTACACATACATCATTTGGGAGGTGACTAAGTAAATTAGTCTCTTTATAACAAAATAGCCACAGACACAGATGAAGGAAGCCTCTTACTAGACGAATATGAAAACAATTTCCAGCCAGGCATAGTGGTTCACACCTATAATTCTAACACTACGGGAGGCTGAGGCAATTAGATCACCTGAGCCCAGGAGTTCAAGACCAGCCCGGGCAACACTGCAGAATCCCACCTCTACAAATTAAAAAAAAAAAAAAAAAAAAAAGGAAATCAGCCAGGCATGGTGGTATGCACCCACAGCCCCAGACGCTCAGGAGGCTGAGGTGGGAGAATCGCCTGATCCTGGGGACACTGAAATGCAGTGAACTGTGATCATACGACTACACTCTAGCCTGGGCAACAGAGGAAGATCCTGTCTCAAAAAAAGAAAACAAACCAAAAAAACAACTTCTAAAATATATTATGGAATACAAAAGTATAAAACAGAATGTATAGCTTGCTACATATTTGCCTGTATGTGAATAAAATCTACAAGGGCCTAGCAAGGTGACTCAGGCCTGTAATCCCAGCTACTCAGGAGGCTGAGGAGGGCGAATCACATGAGTCCAGAAGATGGAGACCAGCCTGAACAACATAACAAGATCCTACAAAAAATTTAAAAAGACACACAAGAAATTAAAAGCATTAATTACTTACATGGGGTACTATGGCTTAGCCACAAGGGGTAGGAGAGAAACTTTTCATCTTTTACCCTTTTATTGTTTCTAATTTTCTGGTTTGAATCTATTGCCTCTTCAAAAATCATAATTTAAACACAAGTAAACACAACCTTCCTGTAAAAGTGTGGGGTTAGGGGAAGACAACATTCACAAACATTACTTTTAGTATTGCTAATAGTCTACCAAAATTGGCTTAGATTTTTTTCCCCTTGATTTGACACCTAGGTCATTTCTAATGTTTTTTATTGATGCCACAATGCACCTCTTTACACATAACTTGTCTTATTTCAGATTATTTACTTAGATTCTTAAAACTGAGCTCTTTAAAGTTACAGCTCATTGACTATATTTCCAAGTTGTTTCACAGAGGAGTTAAAAGTGTCTTACTCATGGACTTGCTAACATTAAGTTTTATCTTTAAAACAAAAAAGTTCTTGATCTAATGTTTTGATCTATTTTAATTTGCATTTCTTTGAAAGATTGAGGGTATTTTCACATATTTATGCCATTTGAAATTTCTCTTTTGCACAGTCCATAGCCAGAGTATTTTTTTGGAGCTCTATATATTGGAGTACAAAACTCAGCTTAACTGACTTCATTGCTTACTTTCAGAAGGCAAGATAGGTCCTCCAATCATCCGTGATAAACCAACAGCATAGTCACAGATATCCACATACTCCTGAACTTCTCCCACACCTTCCACTAAGATTTTTCCCATCTCCAAAGACACCTAAAAATATAAAATGACAAGCAGAATTTTTCCAACAGAATTCACATTTTAAACATTAAGAAAGGGGATCAGACTGAGATGATTAAAGAAAAAAAATAAAAATGAAAGGAGAAAGCAAAACATATTTTGTGGATGTAATACATTAAAGAAAGTCTGTTGTTTTTTTTTTTTGAGATGGAGTTTCGCTCTTGTTACCCACGCTGGAGTGCAATGGTGCGATCTCGGCTCACCGCAAGCTCCGCCTCCTGGGTTCAGGCAATTCTCCTGCCTCAGCCTCCTGAGTAGCTGGGATTACGGGCACACGCCACCATGCCCAGCTGATTTTTTCTACTTTTAGTAGAGACGGGGTTTCACCATGTTGACCAGGATGGTCTTGATCTCTTGACCTCGTGATCCACCCGCCTCAGCCTCCCAAAGTGCTGGGATTACAGGCTTGAGCCACCGCGCCCAGCTATAAGAAAGTCTGTTTCTATCTTTATTATTTTTTTGAGACTGAGTCTCATCTCTGTCACCCAGGCTGGAAGGCAGTGAAAAGATCTCGGCTCACTGCAACCTCTGCCTCCTGGTTCAAGCGATTCTCCTGTCTCAACTTCCCGAGTAGATGGGATTACAGGCATGTGACACCACACCTGGCTAAGAGACAGGGTATCACCATGTTAGCCACGCTGGTCTCAAACTCTGACCTCAGGTGATCCACCCACCTCAGCCTCCCAGGATTACAGGCCTGAGCCACCACACCCAGCCTGTTTTTTTGTTCTTGGTTTTTTTGTTTTTTTGTTTCTTTGAGACAGAGTTTTGCTCTTGTCACGTAGCTGGAGTGCAATGGCGTGATCTCAGTTCACTGCAACCTCCAACTCCTGGGTCCAAGCACTGCCTCAGCCTCCCGAGTAGCTGGGATTACAGCCGCCTGCCACCATGTCCAGCTAATTTTTTTTTTTTGTATTTTCAGTAGAGATACGGTTTCACCATGTTGGCCAGGCTGGTCTCGAACTGCTGACTCAGGTGATCCCCCTGCCTCAGCCTCCCAAAGTCTTGGGATTACAAGCATGAGCCATGATGCCTGGCCTGTTCTTATTTTTCTAAAGAATTTTGAAACACAAGAATTGTCTTCACTTCTTCCTGTCCATCTTGTTAATCGTTCTTCTAAAGCAAGAATTTTCTTTTTTTTTTGAGACCAAGTTTCACTCTGTTGCCCAGGCTGAAGTACAATGGCACGATCTTGGTTCACTGCAACCTCGTCTCCTGGGTTCAAGCGATTTTCCTGCTTCAGACTCCCAAGTAGCTGGGATTACAGGCACACGCCATCACACCCAGCCTAAAGAAAGAATTTTAAAAATATATAAACTACAGCTAGGTGCAGTGGCTAATGCCTGTAATCCCAGCACTTTGGGAGACCCTGGCGGGTGTAACACCTGATCGGGAGTTCAAGACCAGCCTGGCCAACATGGTAAAACCCCGTCTCTACTAAAAATGCAAAAATTAGCCAGGCATGGTGGCACAAGCCTGTAATCCCAGCTACTCAGGAGGATGAGGCAGGAGAATCACTTTAACTGAGGAGGCAGAGGTTGTAGTGAACCAAGATCATGCCACTGCATTCCAGCCTAGGTGACAGAGTGAGACTTTGTCTCTAAATAAACAAAATATGTAAACTACTTTTCTTAAAAACTCATCTGGCCACTGCACTCCAGCCTGGATGCCAGAGTGAGACTCAGTCTCTAAATGCATAAATAAATAAACATATATATAAACTACTTTTTAAAAAAACTCATCTGTCCACTGAACTCCAGCCTGGGTGAGAGAGTGATACCTTGTCTGAAATAAATAAATAAATAAATGAATAAATGAATGAATGAATGAATGAATAAAACAAAATACTTTTCATTTTTTTTTTTTTTGAGATGGAGTTTTGCTGTTGTTACCCAGGCTGGAGTGCAATGGCACCATCTCGGCTCACCGCAACCTCCGCCTTCTGGGTTCAAGCAATTCTCCTGCCTCAGCCTCCCGAGTAGCTGGGACTACAGGTGCACACCACCATACCCAGCTAATTTTTGTATTTTTAGTAGAGATGGGGTTTCACCATGTTGACCAGAATGGTCTCAATCTCTTGACCTCGTGATCCACCAGCCTCAGCCTCCCAAAGTGCTGGGATTATAGGCGTCAGCCACCACGCCTGGCCAAAATACTTTTCTTAGTAACTCATCTGGCCAAGTGTAGTGGCTCACACCTATAATCCCAGTGCTTTGGGAGGCTGAGGTGGACCAATCACCTGGGGTTAGGAGTTCAAGACCAGCCTGGCCAACATGGTGAAACCCCATCTCTACTTAAAAATACAAAAAATTGTGCTTGCTTCGGCAGCACATATACTAAAATTGGAACGATACAGAGAAGATTAGCATGGCCCCTGCGCAAGGATGACACGCAAATTCGTGAAGCGTTCCATATTAAAAAAAAAAAATACAAAAAATTAGCCAGGCATGGTGGCGTGTACCTGTAATCCCAACTACTTGGGAGGCTGAGGCAGGGGAATTGCTGGAACCTGGGAGATGGAGGCTACAGTGAGCAAAGAGTGCACCACAGCACTCCAGACTGAGTGACAGCAAGACTCAATCTCAAAACAAAACAAAACAAAAAAAAACTTCACAATCTTATAAATAGAAAAGCATGACAGCCTTTTTCTCCACTCAAAGGATTATGTACATACTACAAATATACTTTACCAAGCTTCCTAGTACTTGGATCTTCTCCCGCAAGGCATCGCCAATCTGTCTTACTATTTCTCCTCGTTTTGGAGCAGGAATCTAAGAAAAGAATGCAATTTTTGTGTCTGATTCAAAGCATAAATTCATGTCTCTAATACAGTATTAGATGTGTGCTGTAAAAGAACAAAGTGCAATCACATCAAAGAAGACTTTTGATCACATCAAGACTGTGATATGGCCAGGCACCAGGGTTAAAATAAGAAACAAGGGCCGGGCGCGGTGGCTCACACCTGTAATCCCAGCACTTTGGGAGGACGAGGCGGGTGGATCACGAGGTCAAGAGATCGACACCATCCTGGTCAACATGGTGAAACCCCGTCTCTACTAAAAAATACAAAAAATTAGCTGGGCATGGTGGCGCATGCCTGTAATCCCAGCTACTCAGGAGGCTGAGGCACGAGAATTGCCTGAACCCAGAAGGCAGAGGTTGTGGTGAGCCGAGATGGTACCATTGCACTCCAGTCTGGGTAACAAGAGCGAAACTCCATCTCAAAAAAATAAAAATAATTAAAAAATTAGCCAGATGTGGTGGTGGGCACCCGTAATCCCAGCTACTCAGGAGGCTGAGACAGGAGAATCTCTTGAACCCCGGAGGCAGAGATTGCAGGGAGCGGAGATCATGATGTTGCACTCCAGCCTGAGTGACAAAAGCGAGACTCCGTCTCAAAAAAAAAAAAAAAAAAGAAGGAACCTTCCTTGAGGCAAGAGCCAATCAAACCCTCCCCCTAACTCCCACTGCTCCTAATCACAGCACTGCTCACACTTGCCTCACAGAGCTTGACTGTGAGCTCAAGGCTCTTCCTTGCTCTCTCTTCTCCCCAAGTGTATCACCACATCTTAGCACAGCTTTTCTGGATGGTCATTTTGCAATCTATTCACATTTAAAACATTTCTACTCTTTGACTAAGCAGTTCCGCTTACAGAAACTGAGCTTATATGTAAGTGTGCCCAAGTATAGGTACAATGATATTCATTGTAGTGAATGAATAGTAAAGAAAAACAGGAACCATCCAACTGTCCATCAGCACATAATTGGTTAATTATAGAACAGCCATAGAATAAGGTAGATTTTTATGGGAAAACATTGGAAAGCTGTAATAGGATAATAGAAAACACATATGGTAAGTAAACTTTTGCTTAAATTTGGAGGAACATATACCAAGCTGTTCACAATGGTTTTTTTCTGGGGAGTGAAATTATAACAGATTTTCATCCACAATTTATATGTTTGCAATGTCTGTCATTTTCACAACACATGCACTTTTTTGGAAACAGGAAACAAAAACCTGTAGCATTAAATCATCAGCACACGACCTATACATATCCTGGCACATGCTGTGGGTTTAATGATGTTTCAATTGAATTTAGTCAGCACATTCATAAGTTTAGTCAAGTTGGTTAATTTCAACTCAGAATGTCCATTATACATGGTCTTTTACCTCCCATTCTGGACATGTTTTATTCAGTCACTTTCAACAAATAATTATTGCACACGTTCTATGTGCCAGATACTGTGCTAATCCCTGGAAATTGTATTGCAAATGGGGCAGTTACAATTCTTGCCCTCTACAGAGCTGACAGTCCATGGGGATGATAAAGGCAAGAAACAGGCCATTACAATCTAATGTGGTAAATGCCGTGAAAAGAGCTAGATTTCCCAAGAGGAACACCCTGAAGTAGGCTTTTTCCAGTTCAGAGTTTAGTAGGGCTAAGACTTAAAGCATGATGGGTGCTTCCCAAGTGAAGAGGTAGGCAAAGTAGAGGAAAAGCACAGGGTTAGAGGAATTCAGAGCATACGCAAAGGCTGAAAAGCAAGAGAAAATGGTTTTGGAAAATTATGGCCAAGGGCGGTGGCTCACACCTATATTCCCAGCACTTTGGGAGGCCAAAGCAGGAGTTCGAGACCAGGATGGCCAACATGGTGAGACCCTGTCTCTACTAAAAATACAAAAATTAGCCAGGCATGATGCCTGTAACCTCAGCTACTCGGAAGGCTGAGGCAGGAGAATCACTTGAACCCAGGAGGCAGAAGTTGTATTTTGCCGAGATTGCACCACTGCACTCCAGCCTGGGTGACAGAGTAAGAAACCGTCTCAAAAAAAAAAAAAAAAAAAACCCCACAGTTCCCTGTCTTCAAGGACAAAGAGATTCCATCTCTTTCTCACCAGAGATGGGAGGGAAAATGAGGACACCTGGGGATGCAGGGGGCAGAATCAGCAGCTTTCTGTACTAAAACTGGCTCATGGAAGAAAGCAGCAAGTCCATTCCTGAGAAAGAAATCAATTTCTATCAAGTACCTTTCCATATGTGTCACTTTGTTTCCATTCCCCTTAAAAAAAATGTTCCATCTGAAAAATTCTAGAATTGGTTGGGCACGGTGGCTCACTCCTGTAATCCTAGCACTTTGGGAGACTGAGGCAGCTGGATCAATTGTGGTCAGGAGTTTGAAACCAGCCTGGCCAACATGGTGAAACCCTGTCTCTACTAAAAATATATTTTTTAAATTGGTAGCAAGTGCCTGTAATCCCAGCTACTTGAGAGGCTGAGGCAGGAGAATCGCTTGAACTGGGGAGTCGGAGGTTGCTGTGAGCCAAGATCATGCCACTGCACTCCAGCCTGGGCAACAAGAGCAAAACTCTGACTCAAAAAACAAAGAAAAAGAAAAATTCTAGAATTTACTCAAATTAACTACATGAAACAGTGGTTTACCCTAACACAATCAAGGTCAGCCAAACGGATGAGGGCCAAGCAGAGAAGCCTCACATGAGGGAGGATCGAGATGGGATAGCCTGTGGCCAGAAGGGAGTCCAGCTTTGGTCTGTTTTTATTGAGCCTCTCTAAGTCCCTACCCTATTGGCAGTAGCCCCATAGCACAATTAGGAAAAACTCTGCCTCTTCCCTAAATCTTGAACTCAATTACCTAACTCAAAATCAAACAGGTAGGATCCTCAGCTGACTCTGCTATTACCCAGGAAAGCAATCTGTTCCCACTTAGCACCCCCATTCTATTTATTGGGAGGTCTAAAAATCAGAAGTATGAGAAAGGATATTAGGTGCAGAGGCTGGCATGGGGGGTAAGAGGTGACTGCCAAATGAAATCCTGAATATGAAAACAGCAACAACAAAAAAAGTACAGCTCAACATTTAAGAAAGATCCCAATGTCAGCTGGCACTCCCTAGGGCAAAGACAGATTTAAAAATCAGTTCATCTTTAATCAATCAGTAAGGTGGCTCATGCCTGTAATCCCAGCACTTTGGGAAGCAAAAGCAGGCAGATGACCTGAGGTCAGGAGTTTAAGACCAACCTGGCCAATGTGGTGAAATTCTGTCTCTTCTAAAAAAAAAAAAAAAATTTAGCTGGGCATAGTAGTGCATGCCTGTCATCCCAGCTACTCAGGAAGATGAGGCAGGAGAATTGCTTAAACCTAGGAGTGTAGGTTGCAGTGAGCCAAGATCGTGCCACTGCACACCAGCCTGGACGACAGAGTGAGACTCAGTCTCAAAAAAAAAAAAAAAAGTTCAGGAAAAGACAAGACTCTGAATTCACACGAACTTTTTTTTTTTCCAATGTGTTTGTAATTACCCTGGATAAATAAACACATATAATAGACGCTTCTAGTCAAAATGTTAACTTGCAGTAGTATTCAAAACAGTATATTCAAAGAGTGAAACTTCATGTAAATTGTGTACTTTAGTTAATAACAACACATCAACTTTGGCTCATAAGTTGTAACAAAATACGGCATACTAATACAAAATGTTAATAATAGGGTTGGTGGCTCATGCCTGAAATCCCAGCACTTTGTAGGGCTGAGGTAGGCAAATCGCTTGAGCAGGAGTTTAAGACCAGCCTGGGCAACATAGCAAAACTTCATCTCTACAAAAAATACAAAACTTAGCCAGGTGTGGAGGCACATGCCTGTAGTCCTAGTTACTAAGGAGACTGAGGTAGGAGGATTTTCTGTCTTAAAAAAAAAAAAAAGGAAACTTTAGAAGAGGAATGAGTATATGTGAATTCTGTACTTTCTTCTCATTTTTCTGTAAACATAAAACTGTTCTAAAAAATAAAATTCTATTAATTTTTTAAAAAATATATATGTACAGATAGGAAGGCTGGGCACAGTGGCTCATGCTGTAATCCAAACATTTCAGGAGGCTGAGACGGGCAGATTGAGAGGTCAGTTTGCAACCAATCTGGCCAGCATGGTGAAACCCTGTTTCTATTAAAAATACAAAAATAGCTGGGTGTGGTGGCTCACGCCTATAATCCTAGCACTTTGGGAGGCCGAGGCGGGTGGATCACGAGGTCAAGAGATAGAGACCATCCTGGTCAACATGGTGAAACCCCGTCTCTACTAAAAATACAAAAATTAGCTGGGCATGGTGGTGCGCACCTGTAGTCCCAGCTACTCAGGAGGCTGAGGCAGGAGAATTGCTTGAACCCAGAAGGCGGAGGTTGTGGTGAGCCGAGATGGTGCCATTGCACTCCAGTCTGGGTTACAACAGCAAAACTCCGGTCTCAAAAAAAAAAAAATTAGCCAGGGCTGGTGATACACGCCTGTAGTCCCAGCTACTTGGGAGACTGAGGCAAGAGAATCACTTGAACCTGGAGGCAGAAGTTGCAGTGAGCCAAGATCGTGCCACTGCACTCCAGCCTGGGGGACAAAGCGAGACTCCATCTCAAAAAAGAAAAAATCAGCCCGTCATAGTGGCGAATGCTTATAATCCCAGGTACTCTTAAGGCTGAGGCAGGAGAATCACTTGAGCCTGGGAAGTGGAGGTTGCAGTGAGCCAAGATCACATCATTGCATCCAGCCTGGGCAAAAGAGTGAAACTCCATCTCAAAAAAAAAAAAAAAGCATATACATATAGGAAAACAACGATTTTAAAAATTATGCAGCTGGGCACGGTGGTTCATGTCAGTCAGTAATCCAGCACTTTGGAAGGCTGAAGAGGGCAGATCCTTTGAACTCAGGAGTTTGAGACCACCCTGGGCAATATAGTGAAACCCCATCTCTACAAAAAAATACAAAAAAACTAGCCATGTGTGGTGGTACGCTTGTGTAATCCCAGCTATGTGGGAGGCTAAAATAGGAGGATCCCCTGAGCCCAGAAGACAGAGGTTACAGTGAGCTGAGATGGAGCCACTGCACTCCAGCCTGGGTGACAGAGCCAGATTCTGTCTTGGGGAAAAAAAAAGAAAATACAATAACTTTAGGATGGTATGCAATGCAATCATCACAGGTCACAAAATTTTACACACACTGTGTATATATGTATGTATAATAATCACAACTATGAAATAAATACATAAAAGACTGGAAAGAATGCACCAAAACCTAAACCTAATAACCATTTTGCTTTGCAGAGGTTGGGTTAAGGGGACTAAATTTGATCATCTTATTTACAGTATCAATCTTTTTTTAAGGAATATTTATTACTTTTATGATCAAAAGTAAATACAAGTTAAGTTTTAATACAATAAAGGACACCATTTTGGACACTATTCTCCATCCAGGTAGGGTGAACTTTACCTAGCACACTGTTTACTTGTGGAAGTGGTATTTTTCTGCCCAAGGATACTTTTGATTGTGCATTATGGAATCCTCGGCCTTACTGATATCCATAATTAAAGTAGAGGAAAGATGTGCTCCATGCTTTACACAAAGACGTCTCTTGGCTGATAAAAAAAAAAAAGCTTTATCCAACCCAGGGCTCTCTTGGATAGGCTGCTACTCTGCAACCCACCCCATCCTCACCCAACCCCCCTTGCAATTATTGACTCAGAAAATATTGCAGCTCAGCAGTACAGGTTTTAATTCAAATGTATCGAGGCTTTCCCTGTGCCAGGCTCTCCAGTAAGCACTTTAAATGATTAACTCATTTAACCCTCACCATAACCCCAAGAGTTCTTTTTACAAGACAAAGCACATGAAGGATGGGGTAGTGGGAAGATTGGGAAATCAGGCTATTCCTGTTCTCCTTTACTCTCCCCTTCTCAGGAGCCTAGCCCCCACCTAGTCACTGTGGCCAGCCCAGCACCACTCACAGTTCCTACATTTGCTCATTTAACCAAGAGTAGAGACTCAGAGACCAAGGAGGCTGACTCTGCCTCACAGCCTGATTAGACTGTCAAGGAACATGAGCCTCGCCCTGAGAAAGGGATGCTGCCACTGCTCTTTATTTTGAGACAGAGTCTCACTCTGTCACCCTGGCTGGATGGAGTGCGGTGGTGCTATCTCACTCAGCTCACTGCAACCTCCACCTCCCAAGTACAAGCAATTCTCCTCCCTCAGCCTCCTGAATAGGATGGGATTACACATGCCACCATGTCCAGCTAATTTTTGTATTTTTACTAGAGACAGGGTTTCACCATGTTGGTCAGGCTGGTCTCGAACTCCTGACCTCAGTCAGGTGATCCACCTACCTCAGCCTCCTAAAATGCTGGCATTACAGGCCTGAGCCACCGGGTCCAGCCTGCTGTTGCTCTTTTAACCAGGAATCTGACCTATTGCTGAGATATTCCCAGATCAATCTGGCAGGGGAAGAAAGGATGAGCAAACATATTTCTAGCATAGATCTTCTATTCTTTTTCTATTTAATTATAAATTCAAGTAATGCTAGTGGAGAATAAAGAGTGTTCACAGCTCAAGTTTATACTATACGAGCACAAAGTTTTAATTCATTTAAATTTATCCATTCAATGAATGACAAGTACAGAAAAGCCACTATCCTAGAAATATGGCAAAGATGAAGAAAAAGAAATATGGCACACGTGCTTCCAAGACAGCAGGAGCCCTAGTACAATATCACAAAGAACTCACGTTTCAACTAGGAGGCACTGACCTACTTACGAGATGTTTATGTATCTCATTGCTTACAATAGGCAAAGTGACGTCTTCTGAGTTCTAGAAACAAAGGCCATACTTACATCTGCCCAGATTTTCCATGCTTCTCTTGCTTTCTTTACAGTGTCTTCATAGTCTGCCACACTGGCCTAAATTAAGAATTAGGGGGACAGAGAGGGGGAATTAAAGAGAAGTGATGATGATCTTCTAGAACACACAAATATTTTCGGGAAAGAATTGGAAAATCTCTAGGGTTCCCTAATATTTACAACTGAGAATGATCCCCACAGTCTACACTTCCAAAAACCAGCTAGAACCCAATAAAACAGGTTGGAATCCACTGTGCTTTAAAACCTTGCTTTTCAAAGCAAAATCTGTTAGCTTCATCTGGGAACACGTGAGGCATATTAGAAATGCAGAACCTTGAGCTCCAATCCAGACTTCAGAAATCAGCTTCATTCTTACAAAATCATCACGTACTTCAGAAACACTGCCTTAAATGGCCTCCTGCCTAGTCTTTCAATGGTTCACCTTTCCTATGGTTCTTTCTTTTTCTTTTCTTTTTGAGACGGAGTTTCGCTGTTGTTACCCAGACTGGAGTGCAATAATGGCAAGATCTCGGCTCACCGCAACCTCCGCCTTCTGGGTTCAAGCAATTCTCCTGCCTCAGCCTCCCAAGTAGCTGGGACTACAGGTGCACACCACCATGTCCAGCTAACTTTTGTATTTTTTAGTAGAGACGGGGTTTCACCTTGTTGACCAGAATGGTCTTGATCTCTTGACCTCCTGATCTACCCGCCTCGGCCTCCCAAAGTGCTGGGATTATAGGCGTGGGCCACCGCGCCCAACCGGCTCTTTCTTTTTCACGCTCCCCACCCAAGAGTGGACAGTGTCTCCCTGACAGTCCTAAATGTCAAACGAAAAATAAACACAGCTGGGTACAGTGGCTCACACTTGTAATCCCAGCACTTTGAGGCGGGCAGATCATTAAGTCGAGATGGAGACCATCCTGGCCAACATGGTGAAACCCCATCTCTATTAAAAAATACAAAAATGGGCTGGGTGCGGTGTTTCATGTCTGTAATTCCAGCACTTTGGGAGGCCAAGGCGGGCAGATCACAATGTCAGGAGTTTGGGACCAGCCTGGCCAATATGGTGAAGCCCCGTCTCTACTAAAAATACAAAACTTAGCTGAGCATGGTGGCAGGCACCTGTAATCACAGCTACTTGGGAGGGTGAGGTAAAAGAATCGCTTGAACCCAGGAGCCGGAGGTTGCATTGAGCTGAGATCATGCCACTGCACTCCAGCCTGGGAGACAGAGCGAGAGTCTGTCTCAAAAATAAATAAATAAAAATAAACACATTATTCTCTGCATTTGTGACTCTGTATTATTCTTTTTTTTTTTTGGAGATGAGTCTCGCTCTGTAGCCCTGGCTCAAGTGCAGTGGTGCAATCTCGGCTCACTACAACCTCTGCCTTCTGGGTCCCAGTTTAAGCAATTCTCCTGCCCCAGCCTACTGAGTAGCTGGAATTACAGGCATGCGCCACCATGATCGGCTAAATTTTTTTTTTTTTTTTTGGTATTTTTAGTGGAGATGGGGTTTCACCATGTTGGCCAGGCTGGTCTTGAACTTCTGATCTCGTAATCCAGCACCTTAGCCTCCCAAAATGCTAGTATTACAGGTGTTAGCCACCTCACCCAGCCGATTTTGTATTATTCTTGACCTGCCTAACTGGCTTCTGCCCCTAAAGAAAGCCAGCACAAACTCCTTGTGTGTAATTTGAACTCTCTCTCTCTCTCTCTTACCTGACGGACTCTTGCTATAGGCTCGTTGTTAGCAGGACAGTAAGTCGTAATAACCTTAAAACAAAAGGAAGATGATCATGTATAGAAAACATAATCCCTTCAGAACTAAGGGAATAGACCAAATAGAGGGAAGGAAAAACAAGAGAGAAAAAAATGATATAATATCCCAACTCAAAAACCTTAGGTTAACTTCTGTTACAACATAAACCCCACCCTAAAGAGGTTGTCTTTCATTTCTGACCTAAACATTGGAAACCACCTTTCTGCAAAACTCTCCCTTGACGTCTAAATATTAGGTATATAAACAAAAGCCTTAATGTAACCAGTTATTTTGCCTCTTTTTCCGTTAATAACAGACCAAACTGACTAGTTTTAGTTATTCCTTCTCTCCCTTACTCTGCCGATCCTCTGCTCTGAGATGAAATGACCAAGGCGGAAAAATCATGGGAAAAGCCTGGGTCCACACCAACTGGAGAGGTCTCAGATCAACAATGAAAGGGAAAATTAAGCCACAGCTAAAAGGGCCGTCAAGAGCCTAATGATCAGATACCACAAGGAAATCAGGATGAAACACCGAGGTTTGGGGAGGAATTAAAATCATCTGCATCTCCTACGGCCACTGATAACCAAAAGAAAGACGTGTTCCCGCTGCCCAGGCAGGTTAGTTACATAATATGTAACGTCTAACAAAGTTTGTTAACTGTTATATATCATCTTCCTATAAAAAAAAAATCTTTCTTCTAAAGAAAAATCTGGGCGATAATAACCTTACCTTTCCGTTGTATTCTATAAAACATTTTATTGAGCAGTAATGGGCGTCAGGCGCGGTGCTAAGCCCTGGGCAATGCAGAAATGCTGAAAACCAGTCCTCAAAGGCGTTCACAGCCCAACGAAAACAAGGTAGAATTTCAGCAAGTTCGAGCTTGCAAACTCCCAAGGAATTCAGGAAGGAAGATAACTTAAAACTACACTGAAGAACGTTACCTGCGTTGCATGTCACAGCTGAAGAGCTAGAGTGAAACTAAATTAAGATCAGTTGCACTGCTGAGTATGACACATTTCTCAATTCAGATCTCAGGCCTCTGCCATAAGGTTTTAAATATGCGAAAGAAGTTTAGCCCCCACAACTGCAAAATGACGTCGATTCTGCAAAGTACACAAGGATCTAAAATCTAAATTTTTGTTTTAAAGGCATCCTCCCCCCAAAAATTTTTACTGTGGCGCTTCAAAATCTCCCATCCCATACAACCGCCTCCAGGGCTAGCGGGGAGTCGGGTAGAGTCGGCCTCCCCTAGCGAACGCCGGCGGCTGCAGAGATTTCTCGGGCTCCCGCGTACCTCTCCCCGGCCTCCCCAGCTTCCATTATACACGCCCTCGTTTTCCTCTCCGAGGCCCAGCTCTTTCAGCCACGCATACTGGGGCTGATTGATCAGGAGAGTGGACATGAAGGCGGCAGGCCTGCTCCAAGGTCCGGGGAGCTTGCTGGTCTTTACGGCTTGCACACACAGCGCGCGGGGGAGGCGCCACATACTGAGCCCAGAACGCAGGGTGAGCCTGAGGCCTGGAAAGCTGCTGAAATAGAGCCCCGCCCCGCACCCGGGAGAACCCATTGGGCAGACCCGACCCCTCCCACGGGGCACGCCCCCTCCACCCCCCCCACCGCCCCGTCGGCCCCAGGTCTTCCGGAGGAGCCTGCGGGTGAACACTGCCTGGAACAATGGGAGTGCCGTAGGGAGGAGTGGGCTGCTGCCATCTGGTGAAAGACTCCAGGAGCCATGTTTTCAGCAAAATATTGGCGCTGACGTACAATGGGCGAGAGCTGGGGTTCTGAAACTGTAAAATGCATGTAATGACCTGGTAGTCGTGATAAATGCATATTCTGATTCAGTAAGTCTGGGCTGGGTTTGGAGAGCCGGCATTCCTAACCAGCTCCTTGGCGATGCTGACGCCCCTGGTCACTGGAGTAGGGAGGGTTTGTATTGGGGGGGGCGGGGGGAGGGGTGTTTGTTTTCACTGTTTTGGTAGATTACAAATTAAAGTTTTCTAATTAATGATAAATATTAGATTGTTGCATTTCCTTATAAATACCCTGCCTGGGTATATTCTTTTTTTTTTTTTTTTAAGACAGAGTTCCCCTCTTATTGCTCAACTGGAATGCAATGGCGAGATCTCCCTTCACTGCAACCTCCATCTCCGGGTTCAAGCGATTCTCCTGCCTCAGCCTCCCAAATAGCTGTGATTACAGGCGAGCACCACCACGCCCGGCTAATTTTTTGTATTTTTAGTAGAAACGGGGTTTCACCATGTTAGCCAGGCTGGTCTTGAACTCCTAACTTCAGGTGACCCACCTGCCTCAGCCTCCCAAAATGCTGGGATTACAGGTGTGAGCCACCGTACCCAGCGTCTCTTTTTTCTTGAGACAAAGTCTCACTCTATCATCCAGGCTGTAGTGCAATGGTGCAATCTCCTCTCACTGCAACCTCCACTTCCTGGGTTGAAGCAATTCTCCTGCTTCAGCCTCCCCAGTACCTGGGATTACAGGCATGCACCACCACATCTAGCTAATTTTGGTATTTTTAGTAGAGGTGGTGTTTCACCATGTTGGCCATGCTGGTCTTGAATTCCTGACCTCGTGATCTGCCCTCCTCTGCCTCCCGAAGTGCTGGGATTACAGCTGTGAACCAACATGCCCAGCCCACTTTTTCAAAATATTATTTGTCACTACTTGCCTTGCAGTGTAGGCTTCCACACTGCAGCCAAAGAGAGTCATTTTATGTTTTCATAAAAATCCTGTGTTTTCCTCCCACTGGGCCTGTGCCCTTGCTATTCTACCTGTAAAACCCTTCCTTTCTTTTTTTTTCACGGGGATTGGGGGGGCAAGCACAGGATCTCACTCTGTCACCCAGGCTAGAGTGCAGTGGCACAATCATGGCTCACTGAAGACTCAACCTCCGGGTCTCTAGTGATTCTCCCACCTCAACCTCCCAAATAGCTGGAACTACAGGCATGCCACCACACCTAGCTAATTTTTGTGGGGTTTTTGTAGAGACGGGGTTCCCCCATGTTGCCCAGGCTAGTCTGGACCCCCTTGACTCAAGGGATCCACCCACCTTAGTCTCCCAAAGTGCTTAGATTACAGGCTTGACCCACCGCTCCTGGCCCCTTTGATCTCTGCATTCAAGCCTGAGCTTTATCTTTTCCACCCGTACAATAAAAATGATTTGAACAAACACTCTGCATGTATCAAGAACCTACCAGAAACTGCAGTTAGTACTAGGCATACATGAATGATGCGTTCTTTTGTAAATACTATGTTTTCTTCCTGTTGTCAGGGCAAGGATCATCTCTGACTCATGCCTGCATTGCTCCAGTTCCTAGCATTGTTCCAGGCTTATGCGCATTTACATGAGTGTATGAACAAATGAACCAATGAAGAACACTCTTGAAGGGTAGCAGTGCCTGTCTGACATTGGTACTCTCTATCAACAACCTTGCTGCTGTCTTCCATCTACCCGCAGGACCACGGTGCTAATTTTTCTAATTTTAATTCTCAGACATTTGAACTGATTCCCATCACTTTCTACCAGCCAAAAAGATTCTTTGTCTACATATCCCAAAACCACATTCTTCCTTCTCATCTTCTCCATTCACCTCAATGAAATGAAAACACATTTACAGATGCACTAACGTTTAGGAGCAATACATTGTGTTATCAAGGAGTGTTAGCTTCCCTCTCTTCAAGTCAAGAAGAGAAGAAGTATGGTCATCCTTTTAAACTGATTCTGGCTGGCCGAGCACAGTGCCTCATACTTGTAATCCCAAAACTTTGGGAGGCTGAGGCAAGAGGATCACTTGGGTGATCAGAAATTTAAGACCAGCCTGGTCAACATGTGAAACCCTGACTACTGAAAATACAAAAATTAGCCAGGTGTGGTGATGCACATCTGTAGTCCCACCTACTTGAGAGGCTGAGCCAGGAGAATCGCTTGAACCCGGGAGGTGGAGGTTGGAGAGCACTAGATCGCACCATTGCACTCCAGCCTGGGCGACAGAGCAAGACCCTGTCTCAAAAACAAAAACAAAAACAAAAAAACAATAAGCCAATTCTGGGAAAATAGGCACCAGCAACTGCTCACATTGAAAATAGGGATTTCATCCTTCTTCTATCTCCTTTTTCAAAACTCCTGTAAGACCCAGGGCCAATGAAAGGAGTTCCTTAGAATTTCAGCTGGAGTAATTGACAGTTTCTTCCCGCGCCCGCAAAATTCAAACATAAAACCGTTAAATCTCCCGGATGAAGAGAGATGAGAGGGGGGCACGGCACTAGGAAGTTCTTGCCCTTAAAATTACGTCCCCTTGTGGACCCGGAAAGAAAACACATTCCCTCAGTGGGTGGTCAGGAGTTCAAGACCAGCCTGGCCAACATGGTCAAACCCCATCTCTACTAAAAATACAAAAATTAGCAGGGTGTGGTGGTGCATGCTTGTAATCCCAGCTACTTGGGGGGCTGAGGCATGAGAATCTCTTGAACCCAGGAGGCAGAGGCGAAACTCTGATTCAATAAGAGGAAAGCAAATTCAATAGGAGGCCTGCCATGCCACGTGGGAGACAGAATTATTACTCAAATCAATATCTGGGAGAATTCAGGGACTAGTGTTTTTCAAAGATAGTTTGGGGAAGGGACGGAGCGGCTAAGCAATGAGTTCTTGCTGCTGATTGGTTAGGGAAGCAATCTTAGGGGTGTGGAAATTGTCCTCAAGCCGCTCAACAGCTTCTGTGTGGGACCACAGAAGCGGTTGGTGGGTTCACGGTTCTCTGAAAAGATATCTCAAAATATCAATCATAGGGTCTGCAATAGTGACGTCATCTGGTAGAGTAACTGGGAAAGTTGCATACCTTGTGACCTCTGGGATGATGACTGGCAAGGGTTTTTGTCTACACCTTAAAGAATTCAGCCTCCTCTATTCTTCTACCCTGGTGGTCTCTTATTAGCTTTACAAAGGTGGTTGACTTTTGGGGAAGGGTTATTATCATTTTTTTTTTTTTTTTTTGAGACGGAGTTTCGCTCTTGTTACCCAGGCTGGAGTGCAATGGCATGATCTCGGCTCACCGCAACCTCCGCCTCCTGGGTTCAGGCAATTCTCCTGCCTCAGCCTCCCGAGTAGCTGGGATTACAGGCACGCGCCACCGTGCCCAGCTAATTTTTTGTATTTTTAGTAGAGACGGGGTTTCACCATGTTGACCAGGATGGTCTCAATATCTTGACCTCGTGATCCACCCGCCTCGGCCTCCCAAAGTGCTGGGATTACAGGCTTGAGCCACCGCGCCCGGCCCGGGTTATTATCATTTAAACTATAAACTAAACGTCGCCGGGCTCGGTGGCTCACGCCTGTAATCCCAGCACTTTGGGAGGCTGAGGCGGGTGGATCACGAGGTCAAAATATCAAGACCATCCTGGTCAACATGGTGAAACTCCGTCTCTACTAAAAATACAAAAAATTAGCTGGGCACGGTGGGGCGTGCCTATAATCCCAGCTACTCGGGAGGCTGAGGCAGGAGAATTGCCTGAACCCAGGAGGCGGAGGTTGCGGTGAGCCGAGATCGCGCCATTGCACTCCAGCCTGGGTAACAAGAGCGAAACTCCGTTTCAATAAATAAATAAACAAACAAACAAATAAATAAACTAAATGTCTCCCAAAATTAAATCAACCGGCCCGAGTCCAGGAGTAATTAGGGGCAGCTTGAAGGCTGAAAGCAAGATAGGGGTTGGCTAGATCAGATCCCTCCCACTGCTATAATGTTCTCACTGTTACAAATTTTTGCAAAGGCGGTTCCAAGATAACCTTTAAAGAATGGAGTGGGTTGAGGGAAGGGCATTCCAGGCCGAGTGAAAAGCAAATGCAGAGGCCGTTAGCTTGGAATGAATAAAGGAGCAGCACGCCAGCGGTTGGGCATGGGGACGCACCAGGACCAGTGGCCAGATGCCCAGATCACAGGACCTTGTTTACCAGGCTGAGAACTCAGTCCTTGTTTTGGGGAGGGACGCTCTTGGAAGATTCGAGCTAAGGTACAATCGTCCCTCGGTATCCGCAGGTCTTTGTTTTCAAGACCCCCCCACAGATACCAACATCCGCCATACTCAAGCCCCTTACTTTACGTGGCGGTGCACGGTGGGTCCTTCCCATCCGCAGGTTCGCCGTCTGTGGATAGGGAGTGAATACAGGGCGGACTATACTGCTTGAAAAGCTTCACTGGAAGCAATACGTAGAGTGGATTGTGGAGGAGCAAGAATGGAAAGGGGGAGGCTTGTCCAGAACATACAGGCGAGGGATGTACGGCCAAAGGCGGAATCCCAGACGACCGCAACTCGTAACATATTTATGTTTGCACGAAAATAAAGTTTGGAAGAAAAGTGTTGAGGGCCCAAGGGATTCATTTTTCCGGCGTAGTTCCAGTGCAATGGCGACGCCTCAGGCCACTGGGACAGGCAGGCCTCCGCGCGGGGGCGCCCCAGCAACCTCGCAGCCGGGCCTTCCCGCCGGAAGTGCTCTCCTGACCCGTCGCCGCGTAGACCTCCGCACCGCGCCGCGCCGCGCCGCGCCGCGGGAAGATGGCGTTGGAGGCCGGCGACATGGAAGATGGGCAGCTTTCCGACTCAGATTCCGACATGACGGTCGCACCCAGCGACAGGCCGCTGCAAGTGCCAGTGAGTGTGAAGGGAGGGTGGGTGGTCGTGGCTGGGCGCGCGAAGCCCGGGCCCCGGGGAGCGCGCGGGCGGCGATGAGGGTGAGGGTGAGTGGTGGGAGCGAGGAGCCCGGGCTGCCGGGTCATTGGCAGTAGAAGGGCTAGCAGGCGTCACCCGGGCTGGCTCACGGAGCCCGGGTTTGGGAGGCCGGGGGGTAGCGGCGGCAGCGGTTAGGCTTGCGGACCCCGACCCGGCTGCTCGCTGCGAGGCGGGGTGCGCGAACCTTGGCGACTCCTGGAGGCGGGCTTACGGCGGTCTCGCAGCGGTCTCTGGGCCATCTCACCTCCGCCCATAAACTTAGGGCTTCCCTAGCGCCGCTAGGTGACTGTAAAGGGGTAGATTTTACTAAAAATGTAGCATCTGGGGACATCGACCCTAAATAGCCTGTGATGCTCATTTTCTACCTGGACCGAAGGGAGACTGAGACCCAGGAATGAAGTTTATCGCTTACTCAGAGACCTGGTCTTCCATCTTTCCGCCGAACCTAGCTTTGTCATGAGGTACCACGGTATAGGTTTTTGCATTAGCTTCCCTGGTTTTGTTTGTTTGTTTGAGACGGAGTCTCACTCTGTGTTGGAGTGCAGTGATGCGATTTCGGCTCACTGCAACCTCCGCCTCTGGGGTTCAAGCGATTCTCCAGCCTCAGCCTCCCAAGTAGCTGGGACTACAGGCGTGCGTAGTAACCACGCCCGGCTAATTTTTTGTTTGTTTGTTGTTGTGAGATGGAGTCTCCCTCTGTCGCCCAGGCTGGAGTGCAGTGGGAGTGGTGCGAACTCAGCTCACTGCAACCTCGGCCTCTCGGGTTCAAGCGATTTTCCTGCCCCAGCCTCCCGAATAGCTGGGATTACAGGCGCCTGCCGCCACGCCAGGCTAATTTTTGTATTTTTAGTAGACACGAGGTTTCACCATGTTGGCTCGGCTGGTCTCGAACTCCTGACCTCAAGTGATTCTCCTGCCTCGGCCTCCCAAAGTTCTGGTATCATGGGCGTGAGCCACCGTGCCAGACCCAGCTACCCAGCTTTCTAAACGGGAATTTGTCTTGACTGCCTTAGGTAGGTAGCACTCTCTTTGAGAGAGCTTTGTTGCCAGGCTACATGTGTTCAAATCCTGGTGCCACCAGTGTGTGACCTACAGCAGGTTTATTTAGCCTCACCGCTTTTTGTCTCCATTTGTGGAACTGGCATGATGTACCACTGATAGGGCTTTTTTACGATTTTTTTTTTTTTGAAATGGAGTCTCCCTCTGTTGCCCAGGCTGGAGTGCAGTAGCATAGTCGCTGCCTCCCAGGTTTAAGTGATTCTCCTGCCTCAGCCTCCCAAATAGTTGGGACTGCAGGCGCTGCCACCAAGCCCAGCTAATTTTTGTATTTTCCGTAGAGACAGGTTTCACCATGTTGGCCAGGCTGGTTTCCAACTCCTGACATCAAGTAATCCACCTGCTTCGGCCTCCCAGAGTGCTGGGATTACAGGCATGAGCCCGTGCTGGGCCTATTATAAGTCTTCTATGGAGCATACTGTACACTGTAATGCCTGATAAGTGTTAACTCTGATTATTATTTGAAGATAGGAAGATAGATCATTCTAACCTCTATTTCTAGTGTAGTAGAAGTTTAGCAAATACTTGGTTTAGTGTATAATACAAAAAGCAAAGATGATTTCTTTCTTTCTTTTTTTCTTTTTCTTTTTGAGATGGAGTCTGCCCTGTCACCAGGCTGGAGTGCAGTGGCACAATCTCAGCTCACTGCAACCTACACCTCCTGGGTTCAAGCCATTCTCTGCCTTGGCTTTCTGAGTAGCTGGGATTACAGGCACACACCACCACACTCAGCGAATTTTTGTATTTTTAGTAGACACGGGGTTTCACCATGTTGGCCAGGATGGTCTTTATCTTCTGACCTGGTGATCTGCCTGCTTCTGCCTCCCAAAGTGCTGGGGTTACAGGCATGAGCTACTGTGCCTGGCCAGCAAAGATGATTTCTTTTGCATAGAAATGTCTTAGGAAATTAGTACCAAGGTATTTTGTTTTTCAGTCTCAGGCTGTTTTACATAAATTGACCCATGACTTGGTAAATAAACTTAATGCTGTACACTCTGGGGTTTTAAAGGTATCATGCCCAGCCTGGCAAGACCCCATCTTTACGAGAAATGCAAAAAATGATTAGCTGTGTATGGTGACGGTTGCCTGTAATTTCTTCAAGAGACTGAGGTGGGAGGATCACTTGAGCCTGGGAGGTTGAGGCTGCGGTGAGCCATGATTGCTCCACTGCACTCTAGCCTGGGCCACAGAACAAAACTGTCTCAAAAAAAAAAAAGTAATTATTATGTATGTCATTTTTAAACATCTGACAATAACTGAAAAGTCTGAAATCTTTTACAGGTGACAAGAGCTTTGGTAGTATTGTGGAAAGAGATCTTAGAACTAAGTGCTGCATTGTAAACATAAGAATTTGTGACTTTTAAATTGGCAAATCCATGTGGAACTTAGAAAAGTAGGGACTGTTTGGTCTCAGACTTGTCTTTGAAGATCAGTTCCATTTTGGAATGGCACAGTTGAATCTCTAAATTTTTAAAAATTAGGTAGGTGGAGTTTGTGTGTTTTGTGAAATTGATTGTATTTCTTGCAGAAAGTGCTAGGCGGGGACAGTGCTATGAGGGCCTTCCAGAACACGGCAGCTGCATGTACACCAGTATCACATTATCGAGCTGTTGAAAATGTGGATTCAAGTGAAGAGAGTTTTTCTGATTCAGATGATGATGGCTGTCTTTGGAAACGCAAACGGCAAAAATGTTTTAACCCTCCCAAACCAGAGCCTTTACTGTTTGGCCAGAGCAGTCAAAAACCACCTGTTGCTGGAGGAAAGAAGGTTAACAACATATGGGGTGCTGTGCTGCAGGAACAGAATCAAGATGCAGTCGCCACTGAACTTGGTATCTTGGGAATGGAGGGCACTATTGACAGAAGCAGACAATCTGAAACCTACAATTATTTGCTTGCTAAGAAACTTAGGAGGGAATCTCAAGAGCATACAAAAGAACTAGACAAGGAACTAGATGAATATATGCATGGTGACAAAAAAATGGGATCAAAGGAAGAGGAAAATGGGCAAGGTCATCTCAAAAGGAAACGACCTGTCAAAGACAGGCTAGGGAACAGACCAGAAATGAACTACAAAGGTCGATACGAGATCACAGAGGAAGATTCTCAAGAGAAAGTGGCTGATGAAATTTCATTCAGGTGAGCATTTGAATTACAAATAAGTACTAGACCGGATGGTTTCTATTTATAGGAAATAAAGTAAAATAGATGCCAAATACTTTAATGATCTTTTTTTTTTCTTTTTTTCTTTCCTGAGACAGAGTTTCACTCTTGTTACCCAGGCTGGAGTGCAATGGCGCGATCTCGGCTCACTGCAACCTCCGCCTCCTGGGTTCAGGCAATTCTCCTGCCTCAGCCTCCTGAGTAGCTGGGATTACAGGCACGCGCCACCATGCCCAGCTAATTTTTTGTATTTTTAGTAGAGACGGGGTTTCACCATGTCGACCAGGATGGTCTCGATCTCTTGACCTCGTGATCCACCCACCTCGGCCTCCCAAAGTGCTGGGATTACAGGCTTGAGCCACCGTGCCCGGCCTTTTTTTTTTTTTTTTTTTTTTGAGACAGGGTCTTGCTCTGTCACTGAGGCTGGAGTGCAGTTGCTCACTGCAACCTCCTGGCTCAGGGATTCTCTCACCTCAGCCTCCTAAATAGCTGGAACCACAGGCACATACCACCATGACCAGCTATTCTTTGTGTTTTTAGTAGAGGCAGGGTCTTGCCATGTTGTCCATGCTACTTTCGAACTCCAGAGCTCAAGGGATCCACCCGCCTTGGCCTCTCAAAGTATTGGGATTACAGGTATGAGCCACTGAGCCAGCCTAATTTATTTTATTTTACTATTTTTTTTTTTGAGACAGGATCTCACTCTGTTGCCCAAGCTGGAGTGCAGTGCTGCATTCACACCTCACTGCAGCCTGGAACTCTTGGGCTGGAAGGATCCTTCCACCTCAGCCTCCTGAGTAGATGCAACTACAGGCACAGGTCATCATGCCTGGCTGATAAAAAAAAAAAAAATTAGAAGGGGTTTCACTATGTTGCCCATGCTGGTGTCAAACTCTTGGGCTCAAGCAGTCCTCCCACATTGGCCTCCCAGAGTTCTGGGATTATATGCATGAGCTACTGCACTGCTCACAGATTTTTTTTTTTTTTTAAGAGATGATCTTGCTGTGGTCACTCAGCTGGAGTGCAGTAGCACAATCGTAGTTCACTGAAGCTGAACTCCTGGGCTCAAGCAGTCCTCCTGCCTCAACTTCCCAGATTGCAGGGATTATAGGTGTGAGCCACTGCATCTGACTCTTTTTGAGAATTTTTCTGTTTCTATTTTTGAAACAGTTTTGCTCTGTCGCCCAGGCTGGAGTGCAGGTGCAATCTTGGCTCACTGCAGCCTCCGCTTTGGAGTTCAAGCGATTCTCATGTCTCAGCCCCCTGAGTAGCTGGGATTATAGGTATTTGCCACCACACCCGTTTAATGTGTTTTTGGCTTTTTGTTGTTGTTGTTGTTGTTGTTTTTAATCTTTAGTAGAGATGGGTTTTCACCATGTTGACCAGGCTGTTCTCAAACTCCTAACCTCAGGTGATCCACCTGCCTTAGCCTCCCAAAGTGCTGGGAATACATGCATGAGCCACCGTGCCTGCCTATATTTTCATTTCTTTTGGGTGCATACCCAGAAGTAGAATTGCTTGGTGTATGGTAAATTTACAATTCATGTATTTTAACTCTGAGCATATCAAAAGTTCAGATTTTGAGTTAACATTTTCATTAGCTCTAAATCACTAAGGAACAATGTCACAAATTTGAAAACAGATATGGTTTAAGAGTAATGTAGCTGGTAGGAAAACAAGTATTTACTTTCCGGGAAGCCTATCTGAATACCAGTACTTGATTTTTAAAATACTGGGGAAGTTTGGAATTTGAATGCTGGAAAGGAATTTAGAGACTTTGTAAACTAAAACTTTCATTTTACAGATTAATGTTAGACCTGGAGCTAAACCCTGATCCTTGTGTTCCAAGTCTATTGCTTTTTCCATAAAAAGGCACTGCCTCCTTTTGAGGAAAAACAAAGGGTGCCAGGTCTGAATTCTCGATCTCTTGAAAGTGTGAGCTTTAACACTGGAAGAATTACTTAGGCTACCTATGTTTCTAACCTCTCAATGACAAAATGCAAACGATAGTACCTGTCTTGTAACATACTTCAGAGAATCAACTGGTGTAGTACATGTAAGGTTCTTAGGATTGTGCTTACTATAATCATAATAAGCCATCAGTAAATATTAGCTATTTCTATTTCTTTGTCCTGAGGCAGGGAGTCTATGAGGGAAAGATCCTATCCCATTTTAAAACTCCAGACATCTCTGAGTTAAGGGGACTAGCTTTTAGGCATAATAATTAAAAGCATATATGTCCATTACTTTGATAATAGTGGACTGGTTTTTACTTCTTTTGCATTTAGTCCTGCATTCATCATGCTGTATGTGCACATTTATTTTGAAATCTATTATAATCCAATAAGGCAAATAAAGAAGCCAAATATGAGAGTTGAGATGGAAACTTGAGGTTACCTTCTCCTTGTGTTACCCAAGATTAGGAATATTTACATGTCAGTGATTCCAAGATTAAATATTAAAGCTTTAGAAAAGTAAGTGTTACTAGAATCAGATTTTTATTCTAGCTGGGGGTTAAGCTGGAGAATGAGGTAGATTTCTTCAACTTTGTACAACAAACAAAGAGGTTAATTTGACTTATTTGTTTCTTATCAGGTTACAGGAACCAAAGAAAGATCTGATAGCTCGAGTAGTGAGGATTATTGGGAACAAAAAGGCAATTGAACTTCTGATGGAAACTGCTGAAGTTGAACAAAATGGTGGTCTCTTTATAATGGTAAGATTGCTTAACTGTTTTTCTTTTTGTATGGTTTATCCTGTGTTTTTGTTTTTGATTACAAATTTAACTTGGCCTTTGTTGGATCTCTGATTTATTATTCATTATTACAGCAAGTTTGAAGTTTTTAAACCATTATCAATAATGAAGACTGGGTTAAAAAAAAAAAAATCAGTGGCCGGGTGCGGTGGCTCACACCTGTAATCCCAGCACTTTGGGCTGCCAAAGTGGGCGGATCACCTGAGTTTGGGAGTTCGAGACCAGCCTGACCAACATGGAGAAACCCTGTATCTACTAAAAATACAAAATTAGCCAGGCATGGTGGCGCATACCTGTAATCCTAGCTCCTCGGGAGGCAGAGGCAGGAGAATCATTTGAACCCGGGAGGTGGAGGTTGCAGTGAGCCAAGGTCACACCATTGCACTCCAGCCTGGGGAACAAGAACAAAACTCCATCTCAAAAAAAAAATTAGTACAGTCGTTTTTACGTTTAATACTTTCCTTACCAAAAAAAAAACCAGATAAATCGTAGCCTGTTACTGTATAGTCACCAAAACATTTCTTACATGATTCATTAAAGGTAGGGTTTTTTTCTTGTTGTTGTTGTTGTTTTTAAGGAGTTTCACTGTGTCACCCAGGCTGGAGTGCAGTGGCATAATCTTGGATCACTGCAACCTCCGCCTCCTGGGTTCCAGCAATTCTCCTGCCTCTGTCTTCTGAGTAGCTAGGATCACAGACGTGCCACCACAGCCAGCTAATATTTATATATTTGTATTTTTAGTAGAGATGGGGTTTTGCCATGTTGGCCAGGCTGGTCTCGAACTCCTAAACTTAGGCCAGGTAATCCACCTGCCTCGACCTCCCAAAGTGCTGGGATTACAGGAGTGAGCCACTGTGCCTGTCCAAGGGGTTGAAATTTTAAGACAGCGGTGTCTAGGGTAGACTAGGAGCTCAGATCTTGAGAATATGGGTTTTAGAGTTTGGGTACCTTTTTTTACTTCTGGATTTACAACATATTAGTTGAAATTTGACTAAGTCGTTTGACTTCTTTTAGCTTCAGTCTCCTCAGCTGTAAAATGGGGATTATTCCTACGTTGTAAGGGTTAGAGGAGATAATGCATATAAAGTACTGACCACAGTGTCCAGCACTTAGCAATGGTAGGCAGAAGTGTTATTTTTGGTTTAAAAGGGTCCTGGGGTGGGAGAGCAATAATGGGAGGAAAGTTTGAGAAGCACTTTACTGTTTCAGAATGGCAGAAAGAGCTCCTCTGGTTAGGCCAGATCATGAGCACTGGCAGTTATAGAAGGGTTTGGCATGTCTCATTTAACTCAGCTTTCACCACAGGGTGAGGATGAAGGTTTGAACAACTTCCTTGTTTTTTGTTACTGATAAGTCTGAATAGTATAACATCACAAGGGAGTAGATCAATATTGTGCTTTAGACATAGGGAGAAAAAAACCCAGTTAGGATTGATAGCATTGGCTGAGGAAATAGCCTGTGAACATAAATTACAGAAGTCAAAACAGAGGTTAGCAACAAAACAAATAATAATCATGAATGTACTGCTATCCTGTTTGTGTCATTGTTAAAGCACTTTGATTTTCATTTAGTTGACCACAAAATTAGAGATTTCATCAATATTTTAGTACTATAATAAATTTTATATTTCAGTGAGCTAATGGAGATTTACTAAATATTGGGAAGGTACAGGTTCAAATTAACTTTCTGTTGCCCAGGCTGGAGTGCAGTGGCGCGATCTTAGCTTACTGTAACCTCCACCTCCTGGGCTCAAGCCATCCCCAACCTCAGCCTTCTGAGTAGCTGGGACTGCAGGTGCATGCCATCATGCTTGGCTAATTTTTTGTGTTTTTAGTAGAGACGGGGTTTCACCATGTTGCCCAGGCTGGTTTTGAACCTGTGAGCTCAAGCAATCTGCCCACCTTGGCCTCCCAAAGTGCTGGGATTACAGGTACTATGTCAGGCCCCCAAATTTGCTTTCTTTGGATGAGTTCTTTTTTTTTTTTTGAGACGGAGTTTTGCTGTTGTTACCCAGACTGGAGTGCAATGGCATGATCTTGGCTCACCGCAATCTCCACCTCTGGGTTCAAGCAATTCTCCTGCCTCAGCCTCCCAAGTAGCTGGGACTACAGGTGCGTACCACCATGCCCAGCTAATTTTTGTCTTTTTAGTAGAGACAGGGTTTCACCTTGTTTACCAGGATGGTCTCGATCTCTTGACCTCGTGATCCACCCGCCTCGGCCTCCCAAAGTGCTGGGATTATAGGCGTGAGCCACCGCGCCCTGCCCTGGATGAGTTCTTTCCCTGAATAGTTACTGAGTGCTTTCTCCATGCCAGGCACTGTTCTGGACAGGGGAGCTTATGTTGTGCTTGGGGGAGAGGAAGACAGTCTATAAACAATAAATATAACTTCAAGTGTGTTAAAACGTGATACATTGACCAGGCACACTTGTAATCCCAGCACTTTGGGAGGCCAAGGTGGGTAGATTGCTTTAGCCCAGGAATTTGAGACAAGCTTGGGTAACATGGTGAAATCCTGTTTCTACCAAAAAAAAAAAAAAAAAAAAAAAAAAAATGGCTGGCTTGCTGGCACAAGCATTTAGTCCCAACTATTCAGGAGGCTGAGGTGGGAGGATCACTTGAACCTGAGAGGTCAAGGCTGCAGTAAGCCAAAATCATGCCACTGCACTCCAGCTTGGGTGACAGAGTGAGACCCTGTCTCCAAAAAAAAAAAAAAAAAAAAACCCCAGTGATATATCCTGTGGGAAAAGAAAGAAATCAAATGGAGCTATAGGGAGTAGCGGAAAGGAGGACGTTGCAGTTAAACTAATGTGGTCTGGATAGACTATTAAGAAGGTGCCATTTGAACAGAGACTTGAGGTGAAGCAATGACTACTGCAGGAAGAATAGACCAAGTAGAAGCAACAGCCATTGTAGAAGTGAAGGATGCCCGGCAAGGCTAGAACTAGGGTGAAGTGAGCAGTTTACTTGCTGTAGGTGCAAAATTTGAGATTGCCTTAAAAACTCAATAATCAAAATGAATATTATTTGAATGTATTAGTTTCAAAAATCAAAATTAATGCAAAAAATCCATAATGGACAAAATTTTAACAACAGGCTTTTACCCTGTATTTGGCAAGACTGCTCTCTCCACCCTGATCTCTGCGTAGTTCCTGTCTGAACAAGGGGCCAATGTGGCAGGAGCAGAGTGCATGAGAGAGTTGAATAGGATGTAAAGTCAGAGAGGTAATTGGGCCAGGTCTAGTAGGAACCTGTTTGCCACCTGAAAGAATTTGCCTTTTACTTTAAATGAAATGGCCCCTAGAGGGTTTTGAACAGATGAGAAATACATTTCATTTTGGCTGCTGTTTTGAGAATAGACTGAATTGGGGGTAAGAGTAGAAGCAGGAAAAGCCATTCCAGGTGGGTCTGACTAGCATGGTAGCAGTGGGATGAAGGAAAAGTGGTCAGATTCTGGGTATATGTGGAAGATAGAGCCAACAGAATTTCCTAGTGAATAAGATGGAGGATGTAAGAAAAGGAAGAGTCAAGGTATGACTCCAAGGTTTTTAGCCAATTTAAAGAGCAACATCCAAAAATTCACAGTAGCTCCAAAGTCTCAAAAGTCTATTAGCATGAAGATGGAAGGATATATATAATGGATCGTTTAATGAAAAGACACAGATTACAAACCGGGCCCAGTGGCTCATGCCTCATCACTTTGGGAGGCTAAGTCAGGCATATCGCCTGAGGTCAGGAGGTTGAGACCAGCCTGGCCAACATGGTAAAACCCATCTCTACTAAAAATACAAAAATTAGCCAGGTGTGGTGGTGTTTCCATGTAATCCTTGCTGCTCAGAAGGCTGAGGCTAGAGAATCACTTGAACCAGGGAGGTTGCAGTGAGCGGAGATTGCACCACTACACTCCAGCCTGGGCAACAAGAACAAAACTCCGTCTCAAAAATATAAACCAATTTACACATCAGAATCCCATTTGGGGTTGGGGTTACAAATATATGTGGCATATAAAAAAGTAAAAAGATGGCTAGGTGTGGTGGCTCGCACCTCTAATCCTGAGACCAGCCTGGGTGACGTGGTGAAGCCTAATCTCTACAAAAAAAATACAAAAATTAGCTGGATATTGTGGCACATGCTTGTAGTCCCAGCTACTTGGGAGGCTGAGAAGGTGGGAGGATCCCTTGAGCCCAGGAGGTCGAGCTGCAGTGAGGCATGATCACACAACTGCACTTTAGCCTGGGCAACAGAGTGAGACCCTGTCAAAAAAAAGTAAAAAGATTATATATGTGAAAATATTACAGTAATTAACTATGGGTAATGGGATTACGGTGGTTTTTTTCTTTCCTTTTTTTGTTTTTTCTTTTTGATAAAAAAAAAGAAACAGGGTCTCTGTCATCCTGGTTGGAGTGCAATGACACAATCACAGGTCATTGCAGCCCTGACCTCCTCAGCTCAAGCAGTCCTCCCACCTCAGCCTCCCAAGTAGCTGGGACTATAGGCTTGAGCCACCATGCCCAGCTAATTTTTGTATATTTTGTAGAAACGGGGTTTCACCATGTTGTCCAGGCTGGTCTCAAACTCCTGGGTGCTCAAGCAATCCATATGCCTCTGAGATTACAGGTGTGAGCCACTGTACCCTACCTATTTTTTCTTTTTCTTTTCTTTTTTGAAACAAAATTTCATTCTTATTGCTCAGGCTGGAGTGTAATGGTGTGATCTTGGCTCACCGCAACCTCCACCTCCCGAGTTCTAGTAATTCTCCTGCCTCAGCCTCTCAAGTAACTGGGATTACAAGCATGTGCCACCATGCCCTGCTACTTTTGTGTTTTTAGTAGAGATGGGGTTTCTACATGTTGGTCAGAGTGGTCTCAAACTCCCAACCTTGGGTGGTCCGCCTACCTCGGCCTCCCAAAGTGCTGGGATTATAGGCGTGAGCCACCGTGCCTGGCCCTATTTTTTCTTGTAACTGGATGTTTTGCTACTTTTTTCTGTAGTGAGTTGTCCGACATGCACATGCTTAGCTGAGGTCAAACAAGACAACACTCAGCCTTGTTTCAGCTTCCTTACTATAAACAGGTGTCCTTTTCAAGGTCTGTTTAGTGCATCTTTTTCACATTTTGTGCTTTTTTTTGCTCCCCGAGGATTTTGCTGTTTAAAATGGCCCCTCCAAGGGTAGTGCTGTAGTGCTGACTAGTGTTTCTAAGAGCAAGAAGACTGTGACATGCCTTAGAGAGAAAATATGTGTTAGATAAGCTTCATTTAGGCATGAGTTACAGGCTGTTGGCCATGAATTCAATGTTAATGAATCAACAATAAGGTGTCTTTAAACCAAGATACATACAAGGTTATATTCTGAACTGTTGACAAAAATGTTTATCAGAAGCTTTCAGGAACATAACCCTGTATTTTCCAGATGTAATGTTTTAATATTAACATCAACTTTATAAAACAAACTACCATGACTAGTGAGAAGCCACTGTGTGTGTGTGTGTGTGTGTGTGTGTGTGTGTGTGTGTCTGATTTATTATATATATTTAAATCTTTGATCCCTTTGGAATATATCTTGGTATAAGACATGAGGTATAAATCCAACTTAGTATTTTCCATGGTGGCTACCCAGTAGCTCAACCACCAATTCTGTGTGTGTGTGTGTGTGTGTGTGTGTGTGTGATGGAGGTTTGCTCTTGTCAACTAGGCTGGAGTGCAGTGGCACAATATCAGCTCACTGCAACCTCCGCCTCCCGGGTTCAAGCAATTCTCTGCCTTAGCCTCCAAAGTAGCTGGGATTACGGCCATGTGCTACCACACCTGGCTGATTTTTGTATTTTTGATAGAGACAGTATTTCACCATGTTGACCAGGCTGGTCTCGAACTCCTGACCTCAGGTGATCCATCTGCCTCGGCCTCCAAAGTGCTGGGATTATAGGCATAAGCCACCTCACCCGTCCTCAAACACCAATTCTTGAATAATATATTTATCTTCTCCAACTTCAAATAGTATCTATATCATAAACTAAATACCCATATATATTTGGCCTTTTTTCCCTAGGTTTTCTATTTTGCTTCACTGATCATTCTAGTTTTATTTTGATACCACACTGTTTTAATTATTGAGACTTTATGATGTATTTTAACATCTAATAGAATATTCATGCAGGGATAGGTGGCTCACACCTGTTTTCCTAGCCCTTTGGGAGGCTGAGGTAGGCAGATAACCCGAGGTCAGGAGTTTGAGACCAGGCTGGCCAACATGGTGAAACCCCATCCCTACTAAAAATAGAGATGCAGCATAAAAATGGCTCGATCTCAGCTCACTGCAACCTCCGCCTCCCGGGTTCAGTTGATTGTCGTGCCTCATCCTCCCAAGTAGCTGGGATTACAGGCGCAAAAATTAGCTGGGCATGTTGTGAGCACATATAATCCCAGGTACTCGGGAGGCTAAGGAAGAATTGCTTGAACCCGGGGCGGGGGGGGGGGCGTGCAGAGGTTGCAGTGAGCCGAGATTGTGCCACTTTACTCCAGTCTGGACAAAAAAGTAAAACTCCATTTCAAAAAAAAAAAAAAACAAAAAAAATGCCAGGAGGCTGAGGTCAGGATTTTGAGACCAGCCTGGCCAACATAGTGAAACCCCATCTCTACTAAAACAAAAAAATTAGCCAGGTATGGTGACACGCACCTGTAGTCCTAGCTGCTGGGAGGCTGAGGCAGAAGAATTGCTTGAACCTAGAGACAGAGGTTGCATTGAGCTGAGATCGCACCACTGCCCTCCAGCCAGGGCGTCAGAGCGAGAGTCCATCTTAAAAAAAAAAAAAATTCACTGAATTAGCCAGATGGCAGATAAAAACAGAAAATCCAGTCATTTGTTAGGTCATTTGAGCTAAGTGGCCTTTTTTTTGTTACCATATAGATTTTTTTAAATCACAGAATTTTAGAGTTAAAAAAGGCCAGATACTATCTTTGACCTTCATTTTATAAATGAGGGTCAGAATCAGGACTGGACTTCAGATCTCATATTCCTTCAATACCCTTTGTTGTGTGTCTGTTAAAAGATGCCTTGACCACTTATGAGAAGAGTATATACAGTTTAACTTTTCTGTTTATTTTTGTAGAATGGTAGTCGAAGAAGAACACCAGGTGGAGTTTTTCTGAATCTCTTGAAAAACACTCCTAGTATCAGCGAAGAACAAATTAAGGTAATGATAATGTCCTCACCTCTTAAGTACTGTCATAATTTGACTTCTACTCAGCCTCTAGCTTCATTTTCTATGAATATCCATTATGTGCTCTGCCTTCAGTGGACTGATTTTGTTATTGTCTCATTCTAAGTAACCTTTGTGCCTTTTATTTATTTGTGTGTTTATTTATTTATTTCAAGGCGGAGTGTCACTTTGTCATCCAGGCTGAAGTGCAGTGGTGTGATCTCAGCTCACTGCAACCTCTGCCTCCTGGGTTCAAGCGATTCTCTGCCTCAGCCTCCCGACTAGCTGGAATTAAAGGCGCCTGCCACCATGGTTGGCTGAGTTTTGTGTTTTTAGTAGAGATGGGGTTTCACCATCTTGGCCAGGCTGGTCGTAAACTCCTAATATCATGATCCACCCACCTTAGCCTCCCAAAGTCCTGGGATTACAGGAGTGAGCCACCGTGCCTGGCCAATAATATATTTTATATACTTTCCTCCTAAGCAGGATAGGTTTCCATATTCCATTTGTTGTATCACCTCTTTTTTTTTGAGATGGAATTTCTCTGTTGTTACCCATACTGGAGTGCAATAGCACGATCTCGGCTCACCGCAACCTCCGCCTTCTGGGTTCAAGCAATTCTCCTGCCTCAGCCTCCTGAGTAGCTGGGACTATAGGCACGCACCACCATGCCCAGCTAATTTTTGTATTTTTAGTAGAGACGGGGTTTCACCATGTTGACCAGGATGGTCTCAATCTCTTGACCTCGTGATCCACCCACCTCGGCGTTATCACCTCTTTTATTCTTTTTTAAAATTATTTTTTTTATTATTATTTTTATTTTTGGAGACAGTCTTACTCTATTGCCCGAGCTGGAGTGCATCATCACAGCTCACTGCAGTCTTGACTTCCCTGGTATTAGATAACCCTCCTACCTCAGCCACCCACGTAGCTGGGACCACAGACATGCTCCACTATGGCCAGCTAATTTTTGTATTTTTTGTAGGGGTGGAGTTTCACCACGTTGGCCAAGCTGTTCTCCAACTCCTGGGTTCATGCAGTCCTTCCACCTTGGCCTCCCAAAGTGCTAGGATTATAGGTGTTAGCCACCTCACCTAGCCCTCCTTTGTTCTTTTTAACCCCACCATTTTCCTTCATGATTTAGACATTTTGAAGAGTTAAAGATGGTTAAGTCAGGTGCAATGGCTCATGTCTGTAATTCTAGCACTTTGGGAGGCCAAAGTGAGCAGATCACATGAGTTGAGGAGTTCAAGACCAACTTGGCCGAGATGGTGAAACCCTGACTCTACTTAAAATACAAAAATTAGCCAGGCCTGGTGGCAGGCGCCTATAATCCCTGCAACTCGGGAGGCTGACGCAGGAGAATCTCTTGAACCTGGGAGGCAGAGGTTGCCGTGAGCCGAGATCACGCCACTGCACTCCAGCCTAGGCAACAGAGCGAGACTATGTCTTTTTAAAAAGAAGAAGAATGTTGGGTTACTTTATTATATTCTGGTGATTATCTCCTCGTGGCTTTGTTTCATTCATTATTCTGTCTCCAGTATTATCAACTGGAAAGTTGACTCTTTAGTATTTTAAATCATTTTTTTTTTCTTTTTTGTTACCAGGAATGTCTTTTATCATTCTTCTACAGTATGGGTTTTTCAAAACTTAAAATTTGTTATCTTTTAATTTGTTAATCAGAGAACATGATTTGCACTTAGCATTTATGCAAATACTAAAGACTGAGAACTAACCTCTTGCATAGGAAAGAGGTGGTACACATCTAACACAGCCAACATGTTTGAGTAGCTCTGTATGTTTTTTTGTTTTGTTTTTTCTTTGCGTTTTCTTTATGATAACAATGGTGATAAAGGTAATAGGAATGCGTCTTTTAGCCACACTGGTTGTAACGCTAATGATGACAGATAAATAAAAGCCACTTACCTTGAGCTGGTCCGGTTAATCATATTTTGCATCTGCTCAGTGTGGTTTCTTTTTCCTTGCTTTCTGGCTGTTCACTTAACAGTCATTTTAAAAGAGTCAGCTGCTGGGCCTGGTGGCTCACGCCTATAATCCCAGCATTTTGGGAGGCTGAGGCGGGTGGATCATGAGGTCAAGAGATCAAGACCATCCTGGTCAACATGGTGAAACCCTGTCTCTAGTAAAAATACAAAAACTTAGCCGGGCATGGTGATGTGTGCCTGTAATCCCAGCTACTCAGGAGGCTGAGGGAGGAGAATTGCCTGAACCTAGGAGGCGGAGGTTGCGGTGAGCCAAGATCGCACCATTGCACTCCAGCCTGGGTAACAAGAGCGAAACTCCGTCTCAAAAAAATAAAGAAATAAAAATAAATTTAAAAAGTAAAAGAGTCAGCTATATTGACATTCCAGTAGGATATGTTATTGTTATTGCACATCTAAAATCTCTAGTAACGACTGTTTTCATCTCATTGTAACAACCTTTTCAATAATACGATTTGTAATAATGTAAGTTTCCTTAGGAACACAACTGTTGAGTGGTAGCAAAGATTATACTCTGATGTTCTCTCCTCTCCCTCAAATCTTGAAAAAGTACGTACTTAAAAGATACCTTCTAAATAACTAAACCCTGAACAAACAGTATTCACAGGCAGGAGAGAAGAAATACTGTAACATTTACTGACTGCCTCCCACAGGACCAAAGATTTATATTATGTAACTTAATCTTCACCACATTGTATCACCATGAATGTTACTTTGTTATGCAAATGAATAGTCAAAATTATATGCCTGGGATCACAGGAACACTCTGACTCCAAACCCACCTTGGGGTTATTTTCACTGTAATGCATCTTTGTAATTCAGTTACTCCAGCTCATTGGGGTAAAACTATTTTAATGCCAGAAGGTTTTCATGTTAAACTACCAGAAACTTTGCATTATAATAACAAAAAATAGAAACATTTAGAATATCTAATAGTAGGGAAACGTTGACTTATAAGGACTTTTTTTTTTGAGACGGGGTTTTGCTCTGTTGCCCAGGCAGGAGTGCAGCGGTGCGATCTTGGCTCACTGCATCCTGTGCTTCTCAGGTTCAAGCAATTCTCCCACCTCAGCCTCTTGAGTAGCTGGGATTACAGGCGACCACCACAGCCAGCTAAGTTTTGTATTTTTGTAGTTTTAGTGTTTTTAGTTTCACCATGTTGGCCAGGCTGGTCCCAAACTCCTAACCTCAGGTGATCCACCCTCCTCGGCCTCCCAAAGTGCTGGGATTATAGGCGTGAGCCACCTTGACTGGCCAAAAAACTATTTTTAAAAAGAGATGGTTTCACTCTGTCACCCAGGTCTGACTGTGTTGCTCAGGCTGGTCTTGAACTCTGGGAGTCAACTGATGTTCCTGCCTCGGCCTCTCAGAGCGCTGGGATTACAGGTGTGAGCCACTGTACCTGGCAGTTTTGTTTTGTTTTGAAGAGATAGGGTCTCCTGTTGTCACTCAGGCAGGAGTTCAATGGCACTATCATAGTTCACTGTAGCCTCAAACTCCTGGGCTCAAGTGACCCTCTTGCCTCAGCCTCCCAAATAGCTGGGACTACAGGCACATACCATTATGCTCGACTTCTTTTTTTAAATATTTTGTAGAGACAGGATCTTCCTATGTTGCCCAGTCTTGTCTCAAACTCCTGGCTTTAAGCAATCCTACTGCCTGGGGCTTCCAAAGTTCTGGGATTACAGACATGAGCCATTATGCCCGACCAGTGAAATTTTATTATACGTAATTTATTTCAGATGCCACCCAAATGACAATGTTATAATTATTCTTTCAATTGCTGTATTGCTAACAGTCACCATATGTAGAACTTAGAAGCCAGAACTTGACTGAGAGGGTTTGTTTTCCTGTTTTAAAATTCCATTTGGGTACATGACCTCATAGTTAAGTTTTGTTTTAGAAAACACAAAGTTTTCTGAAGGAAAAAAAGCATTAGTTAAAACTTTATTTGCTTTGTTCAAAGAAAAAAAATAAAGCTCAGCTAAACACTATAGAGTCAGATCCTTAACTTGGAGATTTAAGTATAGGTATAGATGGGTGAAGGGAAAATTTTCCCTCAAATTTTCTCCCTGCATTTGTGATAAAGATATTAACAACATGTTGCAACAACATTTTTTTTGTTGTTGTTACAACAACATTTTTGGGACCATTTCCCACTTTCTACTATTAAATTCATAACTCATGGGAATGAACTTTATTTTATTTATTTTTCATTTTTTGAGACAAAGCCTAGCTCTTTTGCCCAGGCTGGAGTCCAGTGGCAAGATCTCTGCTCATCCTAAGTTCAAGCGATTCTCCTGTCTCAGTCTCCCAAGTAGCTGGGATTACAGGTACCCGCCACCATACCCTGCTAATTTTTTTTTTTTTTTTTTTTTTCCAGTAGAAATAGGGTTTCACTATATTGTCCAGGCTGGTCTCAAACTCCTAACCTCAAGCAATCCACCCACCTTCGCCTCCCAAACTGCTAGGATTACAAGCATGAGTTACAGCACCCAGCCAAAGTTTGTTTTGTTTTTAATAAGGCTTGCCATATCTGGAGAGAAAAGGGTAGCTTCATAAAATTTACCCAGTGTTACCAAGCCTTAAACTACTAGAATTCTTAGCAAGATGCGTGGATGTGCTTCCATATAAAATAAAAATACTTTTACTTACGGCTTCTTCTTATTCTTTAAGTTAAAAGTAAATGAACTCTTAGAAAAAAATGCAAATCATCAAATTTTTGTGAAGGCAGTGTGATAGATTTTAAGAATATTGGCCTGGGTGTAGTGGCTCACGCCAGTAATTCCAGCACTTTGGGAAGCTGAGGCAGGTGGATCACCTGAGGCCAGGAGTTTGAGACCAGCCTGGGCAACATGGAAAAAACCCATCTCTACTAAAAATACAAAAATTAGTTGGGTATGATAGCTCACACCTGTAGTCCCAGCTACTCAGGAGGCTGAGGCATGAGAATTGCTTGAACCTAGGAGGCAGAGATTGCAGTGAGCTGAGCTCAGACCACTGCTCTCCAGCCTGGGTGACAAAGCCAGGTTCTGTCTCAAAAGGAATAAAAAACAGAAAAGAAAAAAAAAAAATGGAGGAGGGCCAGGCACGGTGGCTTACACCTGTAATCCCAGCATTTTTGGATGCTGAAGCGGGCAGATCATGACGTCAGGAGTTTGAGACCAACCTGACCAATATGGTGAAACCCCGTCTCTACTAAAAATACAAAAATCAGCTGGCCATTGTGGCACAAGCCTGTAATCTTAACTACTGTGGAGGCTGGGACAGGAGAATCACTTGAACCCGGGAGGCAGAGGTTACAGTGAGCCAAGAGCTCACTATTGCACTCTAGTCTGGGCAACAGAGTGAGACTTCGTCTCAAAAAAAAAAGGAAGAGAAATCACCAGCTACTTGTGATGCTGAGGCAGGAAGATTGCTCAGGATTAGTCCAGGAATTCGAGGCTGCAGTGAGGTATAATGATACCACTGCACCACACCTTGAGTGACAGAGCAAAGTCCCATCTCTATCAAAAACTTTAAAAAAGGCCAGGCACGGTGGCTCATCCCTATAATCCCAGCACTTTGGGAGGCCGAGGGGGGTGGATCACGAGGTCAAGAGATCGAGACCATCCTGGTCAACAAAGTGAAATCCCGTCTCTACTAAAAATACAAAAGTTAGCTGGGCATGGTGGTGCGTGCCTGTAGTCCCAGCTACTCGGGAGGCTGAGGCAGGAGAATTGCTTGAACCCAGAAGGCGGAGGTTGCAGTGAGCCGAGATCATGCCATTGCACTCCAGCCTGGGTAACAAGAGCGAAACTCCGTCTAAAAAAAAAAAAAAAAAACTTAAAAAAAAAAAGAAGAATGTTGAAGAAATCATATATGAGTTTAGATTTTATACCTTCACGTGTTAACCTCTCTTTTTTTGCCTCATTTTCCACATCTGAAAACAAGGATAGCATGACTATCTCATAAGGTTTTTGTGAGGATTAAATGAGTTAATTTGTGTGTAAAGTCCTTAGCAAAATGCCAGTGTGTAAAAGTACTCACTTGGTAAGTGGTAGCAAGCTTCATTATATTCTGAATTCACCTTTGTTTTTCTTTTACTTTTTTCTCATGTATGTATCCTCCTTTTCCATCCTCATTCTTCCTCATCTCTTTACCAAATACTTTTATTATTTCTCTTCATCAAAACACTCATATTTTGAAGTTTTCCCTTACCCCTTCATTTCAAAGATCTTTATGCCTTCCTCTGCTAATTCTGTGTGCTACTTATAACGATTTAGCTTAAATTTTAGGAGAGGGTCTCCTTTATCCCACCATCTTCCATAATGCTTTTTATACAAGAAGGGATTGGGATTTGTATTCTTTAAGAATATAACAGGGCCTGGCTTCGCTGCAGCTTTTAGGAGTCCCTGCCCAGGAGATAATAGGGTCCCAGAAGTATGTCCTGCTACACCGGCTTCTTTTTTAAACCTTTGAACCTTCTCTGTTTTATTACAGATAGATTATCTCATCTGAAAATCCAAAGTGCTTCAAAACTTTTGCTTTTTTGTTGTTGTTGTTGTGTTGTTTTGTTTTTTGAGACAGAACCTCACTCTGTGGCCCAGGTTGGAGTGCAGTGGCGCAATCTCGGCTCACTGCAACCTCCACCTCCCATATTCAAGCAGTTCTTCTGCTTCAGCCTCCTGAGTAGCTGAGACCCACAGGCATATGCCACCACGCCCAGCTAATTTTTGTACTTTTAGTAGAGACGAGATTTCACCATGTTGGCCAGGCTGGTCTCCAACTCCTGACCTCAAGTGAACCACCCACTTTTGACTTCCCAAAGTGCTAGGATTACAGGCATGAGCCACCATGCCCAGCCTTCATTTAGGAAAGTTTTAACTGTAGAGATGATAAGTTATGGTAGAATAAGCATGGCCCTAAACCTAACACTAGGCTGGGTTTAAATTGGTTTCAATCTTTATTTGCAGTGAGTACTTAATATCTTGAACTTTATCTTAATAATGAGCCTAATAATATTTGTTTATGGGCCAGTCGTGGAATAAACTTTTAATACATGGTAGTTCTTATTTACTAAAGTTGTTCCTGTATTATAGGACATCTTCTACATTGAAAATCAAAAGGAATATGAAAATAAAAAAGCTGCCAGGAAGAGGAGAACACAAGTGTTGGGGAAAAAGATGAAACAAGCTATTAAAAGTCTAAATTTTCAAGAAGATGATGATACATCACGAGAAACTTTTGCAAGTGACACAAATGAGGCCCTGGCATCTCTTGATGAGTCACAGGAAGGACATGGAGAAGCCAAGTTGGATGCAGAGGAAGCCATTGAAGTTGATCATTCTCATGATTTGGACATCTTTTAAGTACATTTTCAACAGTATGAGGACTAAGCCTTTCTATAATAACATTGTAATAAACCATTTTTACTGAGATTGCAACATTTTGCACTGAAAAACATGAGAATCTGGAGGAAAGATAATTGTTTTCTTGTTTTAAATAAAGTATGTGGGGAAAGGAATGCAACTGATAGAAACATTTAAAGGTATCTCATGTCTGACAAAATACTTAAGAGTATATAGCACAGGATTTAATTTCTTAATCTGTTGCATGTGCTAATTATTATGACTTAATAGTTGATAATCAGTTTTATCTAGGTCATAACATACTATTCAAAAGTTTGTTTGCTTTTTCAAGTTTATCTCTGCATTGAATTATGCTTTGGCTTTAAAACAGTCCATGAAAATCATAACAGGACATATAAATTATTAAGCTGTTACAAGTGCATTCAGATTTGCTTTTTCTGTGTTCTAAGAACTCAGGCAATTTTAAGGATAAAGACTAAAATTGGCCAGGCTTGGTGGCTCACACCTGTAATCTCAGCACTTTGGGAGGCTGAGGTCAGGAATTCAAGATCAGCTAGACCAACATGGTGAAACCCCATCTGTACTAAAAATACAAAAATTAGCTGGGCGTGATTATGCATGCCTATAATCCCAGCTACTCGGGAGACTGAGGCAGGAGAATCACTTGAAACTGGGAGGCAGAGATTGCAGTTAGCTGAGATCCAGCCTGGGTGACAGAGCAAGACTCCATCACACACACAAAAAAAGACTAAAATTAAGATATTTGGACTGATGGTTCTTCCTACTCATTTGTTTGTCCAGAAGTAAGTAAATGTCAGAAGTTTTTCAGATAATTATTTGTTCTTTTTGTTTTTTGTTTAAGTCAGAGTCTCAATCTGTCGCCTAGGCTAGAATGCAGTGGCAGTCTCGGCTTACTGCAGCTTCCATCTCTCAGGTTCAAGTGATCACGAGCCTTAGGCTCCTGAGAGCTGGGATCACAGGCATGCACCACCAAGCCCAGCTAATTTTTGTATTTTTAGTAGAGACTGTTTTCGCCATGTTGACCAGGCTGATCTCGAACTCCTGGCCTCATCCTCCCAAAGTGCTGGGATTACAGGCGTGAGCCACTACGCCCAGCCTATTTGTTCTTAAATTTAACGTGTTTTTTGACTTCTTAATTAATTTTGTTATATACTAAATGTGATCTCCTGTGTATTACCACATACACTAAAAAAATTTTCAAACTGGGCGCCATGGCACAGTTTGATAAAAATCCCAACATTTTGAAAGGACAAGAGAGGAAGATTGCTTCAACCCAGGAGTTCCAGACCAAAATGGGCAACATAGTGAGACCATGTCTCTAATTTAAAAAGGAAAAAGAAAGGAAGCATTCCCAGTGGCAGCCTGCCTAAGACTTTTACCTTATGTTAAGGAAGTTAAGTCCTTAAAAGGTCACATAGGCTGGGCACGGTGGCTCATTCCTGTAATCCCAGCACTTTGGGAGGTTGAGACAGGTGAATCACTTGAGGTCAGGAGTTCAAAACTAGCCTGGCTAATTTGGTGAAACCCCATCTCTACTAAAAATACAATAACCAGGCATGGTGGTGCATGCCTATAATCTCAGCTACTTAGGAGGCTGAGGCAGGAGAATTGCTTGAACCCGGGATGCGAAGGTTGCAGTGAGCCAAGATTGTGCCACTGCACTCCAGCCTGGGTGACAACAAAACTCCATCTCTAAAATAATAAAATGTCACATGTGCATGAAGTTTTAAATTACCCTTTCTTAATGAAGAAAATAAAGGTAGTTTAGACATTCCAAGAGTTAACTAGCTTACCGAATATATTAAGCAGAAATTTTGTATATTAAGCAAAAATGTAAAACTCAGTAATTACAAACTATTCCTTACAATTAATGTAATTGAAGTCTTTCAGTAGTTCTGAGAATATGGTCATTGAAGTTGGATCTAAGGAAAGTGGTTATCGTTTGCTTTTTATTTATAAAGAATGCAAAAATAAAATTAGATTTTTGGCAGTCCTTAATGAGCTTCAAGTGACTATTTTTAAATCTTAAATGTTCTTTCATTAAATTGCTTTAACCAAGAAAAGAAAAATATTTTTAAAAGGTAACTGGATATTGACCCTAACTAAGATAATTTATGGGAGGTGATTTCAGAGATAGTACATAAGAGCGATAATTATTCTGAATACTTAAATGCCACATACTAATGTAAATATTGCCAATTTTTCTAGAGAAAGTTATGGCTTTTAAAAGGCATTGATGCCTGAAACTACTTTATCTTCATCAAGATTGTCTTTTTCCCCACACCTTCCTGGTTCATTTTATCAATAGCTTTTTCTCTTTTTGAGACAGAGTTTTGCTCTTGTTTCCCAGGTTGTGGTACAATGGCATGATTTTGGTTCACTGGAACCTCTGCCTCCTGGGTTCAAGTGATTCTCCTGCCTCAGCCTCCAGAGTAGCTGGAATTAAGGTATGCACCATTAGAATAATCCCAGAATATTGTATAAAAGAGGTTTAGTCAAAAAGACCAACGCCCATGTCCTCACCAGACTCCTCAGATTCTTCTTTCTTTGCTTCCACTTTCTTCTCAACTGAAGCAGCTGCATTGGGGGCAGGGGGGGGGGGGGCAGGACTTCCAGCTGGTGCAGGTCCACCAGCCCTTTCATTGCAGATGGGGCTTCCAATGTTGACATTGGCCAGGGCCTTTGCAAACATGCCAGGTCAGAAAGCGTCAACATTTACACCAGCTGCTTTAATGAGGGCATTAATCTTATCCTCCGTGACTGTCACCTCATCATCATGCAGAATCAGGGCCGAGTAGATGCAGGTGAGCTCAGAGACGAAGGCCATGGCAGGGGCATGTGTGAAGCTAGTGCTGCTGGGCATGGTGCGAATCGCTGGATGATGTGAGGGCCTCATCATAATGTGGCCTTAGCTTTCTCGAAAGGACCAAGCACCTTGGCAGCAGCTTAGGAAAGGACAGTTATTAAGCTTCTTTAAAAATTTACCAGCTGGGCACAGTGGCTCACGCCTGTACTTCTAACACTGGGAGACTGAGACGGGTTGATTGCCTGAGCTCAGGAGTTCAAGACTAGCCTAGGCAACAAAGTGAAGCTCTGTCTCTACTGAAATACAAAATATCAGCCGGGCATAGCAGCATGTGCCTGTGGTTCCAGCTACTCAGGAGGCCGAGACAGAATTGCTTGAATCCAGGAGGCGGAGTTTACAGTGAACAAAGGTCATGTCAGTGCACTCCAGACTGGGCAATAGAGCAAGACTCTATCTCCAAAAACAAAATAAAAATGTATCTAAGATGACTGACTTTTCTGAACCCTTCTGGCTATCCAAAATCAAGATGTGCAAACCGTTCACAGGTATGTATTCATTTAGCTTATGCTGTCATCAAACCAGCATATCTTGCAGTAATCCTTCCTGCTTAGCCTAATATTAATATTTTTCCTACTTGCTGGCAGGTAGAATTTATACTAATAACCCTCCACCTCTCTGTTTTAGTAGTTAAGTGTTTATCTTCCCTGGTAACCTTTATTAAAATCCATTTTCACAATCTAAAATATTCTGCAATATGAAAAATCCTAGGGGATAAAATAGGCTGGATTTGTTTGGGTTAAACAAATCAGATTTACACTCTTGAGCTTCGTGTAATAGGTGGTAAAATAAATACAACATGTAACAATTGTGCCATATATAGTGATGTTGAGCATTTTTTCATGTACTTGCTGACCTTCACATGTGTTCTTTTAAGACATGTGTACTAAATTCTTTTTCTTTCTTTTTTTTTTTTTTGAGATGGAGTCTCGCTCTGTTGCCAGGCTGGAGTGCAGTGGCGCAATCTCAGCTCATGCAACCTCCACCTCCCAGGTTCAAGCGATTCTTCCACTTCAGCCTAACGAGTAGCTGGGACTACAGGCACGTGCCACCATGCCCAGCTAATTTTTGTATTTTTAGTAGAGACAAGATGGTCTTAATATTGGCCAGGATGGTCTTAATCTCTTGACCTCGTGACCTACCCGTCTCAGTCTCCCAAAGCACTTTTCTTCCTACTTTACTTTTTTTTTGAGACAGAGTCTTTATCACCCAGGCTGGAGTGCAGTGGCATGATCTTGGCTCACTGCAGCTTCCACCTCCTGGTTCAAGTGATCCTCCTGCCTCAGCCTCTCAAGTAGCTGGGACCACAAGTACACAACGCCACACCCAGCTTATTTATTTATTTATTTATTTATTTGAGATGGAGTTTCGCCCTTGTTACCCAGGCTGGAGTGCAATGGCGCGATCTCAGCTCACTGCAACCTCCGCCTCCTAGGTTCAAGCAATTCTCCTGCCTCAGCCTCCTGAGTAGCTGGGATTACAGGCACGCGCCACCACGCCCAGCTAATTTTTTGCATTTTTTTAGTAGAGACAGGGTTTCACCATGTTGACCAGGATGGTCTCGATCTCTTGACCTCGTGATCCACCCACCTTGGCCTCCCAAAGTGCTGGGATTACAGGCTTGAGCCACCGCGCCTGGCCCTTATTTATTTTTTTTTGAGATGGAACCTTGCTGTGTCGCCCAGGCTGGAGTGCAGTAGCACCATCTCTGTTCATCGCAACCTCAACTTCCCAGGTTCAAGCAATCATCTGAGATTACAGGAGTGTACCACCATGCCTGGCTAATTTTTGTGTTATTAGTAGAGATGGTGTATTACCATTTTGGCCAGGCTGGTCTTGAACTCCTGACCTCAAGTGAGCAACCCACATCAGCCTCCCAAAGTGCTGGGATTACAAGCGTGAGCCACTGCACCCAGCCAAATTTATTTTTTGTAGAGAAAAATAAATTTCTCTATGTTGCCCAGGCTGACCTCTAATTCCTGGGCTCAAGTGATCCTCCTGCCTCATCCTCCCAAGGTGCTAGGGTTACAGGCATGAGCCACTATGCCGGGCCAGAAGGGGGATTTTTTTTTTAAGCCCTGAAAATAGCCCTGATCTGGGCACTTTTTTTTTTCTTTCGAGACAGAGTCTCACTGTCGCCAGGCTGGAATGCAGTGGCGCAATCTCGGCTCACTGCAACCTCCACCTCAGGTGCAAGTAATTCTTCTGCCTCAGCCTCCCAAGTAGCTGGGATTAGAGGTGCCCACCACCATATCCGTGAGCTGGACACTCTTAATATATACTGCTGAGAGTTACTATGAAGTTAGCAAAACATTGTTACATCAGAGCAGCATTGTCACCATAGACTAGTGAGTTAATAAAGTTTTAGATGAGAATTCCACCCATTGCTGTCAGGAATGGCTTCAGGGAGAGATACTTGCCCTACTTTGCCTAAAATCACCAACAACTGCTCTGATGAGAGTCCCTACAAACCTGCTAATAAGTGAGGATTTACGGGGTCTGGGGTTATTTTGTTTGCTTGTTTCACAACCTGGGAGATTCATAGATAAGAATAATAACTTTGTGTTCCCCTTTGGTATCTATGTAGAAAGCATTATGTTCCAGAGGGAAATATGTGTGCAGGGAAAGCGAGTCTGACCTGAGTGTATAGCAAACATAAATTCAGAAGCCAGTAGAGTTACTGTTTTCTGTGGCTGGCCAGATATTTATTTGAGGCAGTGGGTAGGCCTGAGGGAAATCCAAGAGCCTTGCCTTCTCCCGTAAAGTCAGGTTAAAATGGGCTGTGTGCCGTGGATCACTTGAGGTCAGGAATTCAAGACCAGCCTGACCAACACGGCAAAACCCTGGCTGGGCATGGCAGTGTACTCCATCTCATTTAAAAAAAAAAAGACTAAAACAAACATTGTGGGCAAATTGTAAAGGACAGCATACAGTTAGAAGTGTAGATTCCTGCCCCTGACTTGATCTTGGTGGTACGTAGGGATTTAAATGGTTCATTATCTTTTAGTTGAGTTTCAGTGGCACAGCCATCTGTCCTGCAGCTGCAGGGGACCAAACATGAATGCACAACTGCCTCCAGTCCCTGCAGTGATGCTAAAATGATTGTATTTGGCTCACAAGATAACTTTTCTTCTTGCTTTCCTAATCGTCAGGTATGAAGAGATTCATTTGCCACGATTTTCATTAAAGCAAGGGATGATCCCAAAACGTTATGTTATGCCTTGGAAAGAAAACATGATATTCAGGAATGTGAATCTGAAGGTATTTTCCCATAAGTATACATAAGAAAAAAAAATTAGGCTGTATGCGGTGGCTCATGCCTATAATCCTACCACTTTGGGAGACCAAGGCAGATGGATCACTTGAGGTCAGAAGTTTCAAACCAGCCTAGCCAACATGGTGAAACCCCGTCTCTACTAAAATATGAAAATTAGCTGGGCATGGTGGTGGGCGCCTGTAATCCCAGCTACTCAGGAGGGTGAGGCATGAGAATCGCTTGAACCCAGGTGGCAGAAGTTTCAGTGAGCCAAGATTGCACCACAGCACTCCAGCCTGGACAACAGAGTTAGACTCTGTCTCAAGAAACAAAAATAAAAAAAATATATATATATTTGGTATATCTATGATAGGCATACATAACTATACAAAAACTGTTTTGATGTGCTATCACATAAACTTGCAAACAAATGTTAAATAGTAATATCTGTTTTACCTAATTATATACCAAAGAATTTCAGAAACTCCACATCATGCTGTCTTGCACTTGTTAAATTATCATCGGAAGATGCCATTAATATTAAAGGTATACTACAGAGCATTTTTTTATGAAATAGAAGAGATAATGAAGTCCCGATACAATATGTACTACATATTCAGATAGGAATGGAAATGGTTTGGCTAGTTTTATAAACGACTTGCCCATTCAGTGCTCCTGTTCAATCAGTAGTTTTGTTTATTTATTTATTCCTTTTTTTCTTTTTGGAGACGGTATTGCTCTGTCTTCCAGGCTGGAGTGCAGTGGTATGATAACAGCTCACTGCAGACTGAATCTGCTGAGTTCAAGTGATCCTCCTGCCTCAGTCTTCCAAGTAGCTGAAATTGCAGATGCACATCACCACGCCTTGCTAGTCTTCTGATTTTTAATAGAGATGAGGTCTCACTGTTTTCCAGGTTGGTCTTGAACTTCTGAGCTCAAGTGGTCCTACTGCCTCAGCCTTCCAAAGTTCTAGAATTACAGGAGTTAGCCAACACACCGGACCTACTTATTTTATTTATTTATTTGGAGATAGGATCTCACTCTGTCACCCAGACAGGAGTGCAATGATACAATCATGACTCACTGCAGATGCAGCAACCTCTTGGGCTCAGGTGATCCTCCCACCTCAGCCTCCTGAGCAGCGGGAACTACAGGCACATGCTACCATGTCGAGGTAGTTTTTGTATTTTTTTGTAGAGATCAGATCTCTCTATGTGATCCAGGTGCGTCTCCTGGGCTAAAGCGATCCTCCTACCTTGGCCTCCCAAAGTGCTAGGATTACAGGCATAAATCACTGCACCTGGCTCCTGTCAGTAGTTTTAAAACAGCATGAAAACTACTATATGTAAAATGGTGCAGCCACTGTAGAAGACAGTGAGACCATTCTTCAAAAACTTAAACATAGAATTACCGTATGATTCAGCAATTCCAATTCTAGCTATATGCTCAAAATAATTGAAAGCAGGGATTCCAATAGGCTTGTTTTAAAACATTTTCTTGGCCAGGCGCGGTGGCTGACGCCTATAATCCCAGCACTTTGGGAGGCCAAGGTGGGTGGATCACAAGGTCAAGAGATCGAGACCATCCTGGTCAACAAGGTGCAACCCCGTCTCTACTAAAAATACAAAAATTAGCTGGGCATGGTGGCGCGCGCCTGTAGTCACAGCTACTCGGGAGGCTGAGGCAGGAGAATTGCTTGAACCCAGGAGGCAGAGGTTGCGGTGAGCCGAGATCGCGCCATTGCACTCCAGCCTGGGTAACAAGAGTGAAACTCCGTCTCAAAAAAAAGACCAGCCTGGCCAACATGGTGAAACCCCATCTCTACTAAAAATACAAAAATTAGCCAGGCATGGTGGCACATACCTGTAATCCAAGCTACTTGGGAGGCTGAGGAAGGAGAATCACTTGAACCCTGGAAGAAAAGTTGCAGTGAGCTGAGATCATGCCACTGCACTCCAGCCTAGATGACAGAGCGGGACTCTGTCTCAAAAAAAAAAAAAAAAAAAAAAAATCTAAATTCAGATTGACTGTTTACTTTTACTTTCTATAAGAGACCAAAATCTGGCCAGGCAAAGTGACTCATGCCTGTAATCTCAGCACTTTGGGAGGCCGAGGCAGGTGGATCACCAGATCAGAAGTTTGAGACCAGCCTGGCCAATATGGTGAAACCCCATCTCTACTAAAAATACAAAAAAAGTAGCCGGGCATGGTGGTGCACACATGTAGTCTCGGCTACTCAGGAGGCTGAGGCAGAAGAATCTCTTGAACCCAGGAGGTGGAGGTTGCAGTGAGCCAAGATCACGCCACTGCACTCCAGCCTAGGTGACAGTAGAGAAAAGGAAAAAAATGTAAATACAGATTGACCATTTACTTGTAAAAAGGTAAGTTGTTTCTTTAAGGAATAGGATACAGCCTGGGCAACATAATGAGATCATGTCTCCATAAAAAATAAATAAAATAAAATTAGCCAGGTGTGGTAGTATACACCTGTAGTCCCAGCTACTCAGAAGGCTGAGGAGGAGAATCACTTGAGCCCAGAAGGTTGAAGCTTCAATGAGCCATGATTGAAGCACTGCACTCCAGCCTGGGTGACAGAGCAAGACCCTGTCTCCAAAAAATTAATTAATTTAAAAAATTAAAATGAATAAGATAAAAAGTCACAATCAGCCTACCAGAGGAAATTTCAAGTTAGGATTTCTAGGAAAAAATGTGTTTGTATAACTCATTTGCAAACTTCAAATGGATAAGCAGTTAATGTTGAATAAGAACATATTCTGCCAGCTGGACATGATGGCTCACATCTGTAATCCCTGCACTTTGGAAGGCCAAGGCTGGGGGATCACCTAGGCTGGGAGTTTGAAACTAGCCTGAACAATATGGAGAAACCCCATTTCTACTAAAAATACAAAAAAAAAAAAAAAATTAGCCAGGCGTGGTGGCACCTGCCTGTAATCCCTGTTACTTGGGAGGCTGAGGCAGGAGAATTGCTTGAACCCAGAGGCAGAGGTACCAGTGAGCCAGATCACACCATTGCACTCCAGCTTGGGCAACAGAGCAAGACTCCATCCCAAAGATAAAAATAAAAATGGGCCGGGTGCAGTAGATTATGCCTGTAATCCCAGCACTTTGGGAGGCCGAGTCAGGTGGATAACCTGAGGTCAGGAGTTCAAGACCAGCCTCACCAACATGGAGAAACCCCATCTCTACTAAAAATACAAAACTTAGCGTGATGGTGCATGCCTATAATCCCAGCTATTCAGAAGGCTGAGGCAGGAGAATCTCTTGAACCTGGGAGGTGGAGGTTGCAGTGAGCTGAGATCATGCCATTGCACTCCAGCCTGGGCAACAAGAGCAAAACCCTGTCTCAAAAAAATATATAAATATATTTACTAAGACTTATTACAGTCTTAATATTAGTCTGTATTTCATGTAATTTAGTGGCATATCAAGTCATTTTCAGTGCCCTAAGTAGCTTCAGCATGGCAACAGTGTTGACTTTTTAGTTTACAACTATAGGTTATAAACTTTATGAGTTGAAATCAGGAAGGAAAAGCTTTGTTTTGATTGCATCAAAACACTTATTCTTGACCTTACATTCAGAACTATAATTCAGCATAATTTTTCAGAGCTACTTTACTTTTGCAATTTAGTTGACAGTGTTTCTACCAATGAAAATTAAATAAGTAAGTTAAGTGAAGTAATGTGCCCACACTGAGTAAATGCTAACTTAGGCTTTCCTTCCTTTTATTTATCCTCACCTTTTATTTTTCCATTAGGGGGTAGTAAAAACTCCATCTAACAACATTAAAAAATACAGCACAGAGGCTATATGCCATGGCTTATGCCTCTAATCCTCGTGCTTTGGGAGGCTGAGACAGGGGGATGGTTTGAGACCAGCCTGAGCAATGTAGAGAGATCCTGTCTATTAAAAAAAAAAAAAAAGCCAGGCAATATGGTGTGTGCTGTAGTCTCAGCTACTTGGAAGGCTGAGGCAGGAGGATTGCTTGAGCCTAGGAATTCCAGGCTGCAGTGAGCTATGATTGTACCACTGCACTCCAGCCTGGGTGACAGAGTGAGGCCCTGTCTGTGAAAAAATATATACACACACACACACACACACACATACGTGTGTGTGTGTGTGTGTGTATACATATATAAAGGACAAGCTTTTTCATTCACATATATTTTATTTGCTACTCAAAGAATCCTTTAATATTCCCATTTTTTATTTGAAAAATTTGGCCAGGCGCAGTGGCTCATGCCTGTAATCCCAGCACTTTGGGAGGCTCGAGGCAGGCAGTAACCTGAGGTCAAGAGTTCGAGATCAGCCTGACAAACATGGAGAAACCCCGTCTCTACTAAAAATACAAAAAAAAAAAAAAATTATCTGGGCATGGTGGCACATTCCTGTAATCCCACCTACTCCAGAGGCTGAGGCAGGAGAATCACTTGAACCTGGGAGGCAGAGGTTAGGATGAGCTGAGATCGTGCCATTGTACTACAGCCTGGGCAACAAGAGAGAAACTCCATCTAAAAAACCGAGAGAGAGAGAGAGAAAGAAAGAAAAAGAAAAAACTGAGTCTTCTGGGAGTAAATGACTTGAAAAGGTCACATTAAGTAGGGAAGCTAAAGTTCAACAATCTGCCTCCAAATATGTCGTCTTTATAGTCTGTATGGCTCATTCTGGTAGTCAGATCACACTGACTCACAAAGTATTGCTTTTAGAAAAGGATGTTCTGGGCTGGGCGCAGTGGCTCACGCCTATAATCCCAGCCTTTGGGAGGCCGAGGCAGGTGGATCACAAGGTCAAGAGATTGAGACCATCCTGGTCAACATGGTGAAACCCCATCTCTACTAAAAACACAAAAATTAGCTGGGCATGGTGTTGCATGCCTGTAGTCCCAGCTTCTCAGGAGGCTGAGGCAGGAGAATTCCTTGAACCCAGGAGGCAGAGGTTGCAGTGAGCCGAGATCGTGCCATTGCACTCCAGCCTGGGTAACAAGAGTGAAACTCTGTCTCAAAAAAAAGGAGCTGTTCCTCTGTTCAGCAGAGCTTCCTTCTCAACAGGATTAGTTAGAAAAACTAGCTTTTTGGAGAGAGGACAGGGTCTCAGTCTGTTGCCCAGGCTGAAGTGCAGTGGTGTGATCATAGCTCACTGAAGCCTTGATTTCCCAGGCTCAAGGGATTCTCTTGCCTTAGCCTCACAGACACGTGCCACCACACCCAGCTAATTTTTTAACTTTTTTTTTGAGACGGAATTTCGCTGTTGTTACTCAGACTGGAGTGCAATGGCACCATCTCGGCTCACCGCAACCTCCGCCTTCTGGGTTCAAGCAATTCACCTGCCTCAGCCTCCCGAGTAGCTGGGACTACAGGCGCGCACCACCATGCCCAGCTAATTTTTGTATTTTTAGTAGAGACGGGGTTTCACCATGTTGACCAGGATGGTCTCGATCTCTTGACCTCGTGATCCACCCGCCTCGGCCTCCCAAAGTGCTGGGATTATAGGCGTGAGCCGCCGCGCCCAGCCTAATTTTCTAACTTTTTGTATAGATGGGGTCTTGCTATGTTGCCCAGGCTGGTCTCAAACTCCTACACTAAAGCAATCTTCTTGTCTTGGCCTCCCAAAGTGCTGGGATTACAGGCATGAGCCACAGCTCCTGGTGAAATTTCCTCCTTAATCTAACAAGAAAATGATGTTTGATGTGATACACAGCAGATTTTTCTTTTCTCTTAGCAAGCAGAGATGTGTGGAATCCATACTGGCCCTTTAGAAGACTCTCTGTTTTTGAATCACAGTGAAAGGCTTTGCCATGGGGAAGATCATAAAGTCATCTTGAAAAAGGGCCCACCAGAAATAAAAATTGCAGATATGCCTTTGCATTCACCTCTCTCCAGATACCAGAGCACTGTGATTTCCCATGGCTTCAGGAGACAACTAGTCTGATGAAAGAAGAATAAAAAAATAAAATGCTTCAATCTCTGCTCTCTCTCTTACTGTCTCTGATAAATGTTTAAGTTCGTTATAAATTTGTATTTCACCTGCAAGATCAATTCATATAAAGGTCTTTTTTTTTTTTAATTGGATTTTAGGTTTTGGGGTACATGAGCAGAGCATGCAAGACAGTTGCGTAGGTACACACATGGCAGTGTGCTTTGCTTTTCTTCTCCCCTTCACCCACATTTGGCATTTCTCCCCAGGCTATCCCTCCCCACCGCCCCCTCCCCATATAAAGGTCTTAAGACAGTTATATAATTTATAGATTCTACAAACTTTATCAAGGAAACAGACTCTGAGATTGTATGAGATGACGTGGAGGAGGAAGGAAAACTGCCTTGCTGACATTGATTTCACACTAAGTACATAAGAATCAGCAGACTAGTCCAGTTCCACTGTCTAACCTCACCACATTCCTCTACCTTTCTGTCCTCTTCACTATATCTTTATTATTCATCCCCTCTGATCTTCAGTGTCAGATAAACCAAATAGAAACAGAGTTGCAGGATGTTGAATTTATTTGTTTATTTATTTATTGAAACAGAGTCTTGCTCTGTCACCCAGGGGCTCACTACAATCTCTGCATCCCAAGCAGCTGGGACTATAAATGCACACCACCATGCCTTGCTAATTTTTGTATTTTTTGTAGAGATGAGGTTTTGTCATGTTGTCGAGGCTGGTCTCAAACTCCTGAGCTCAAGTGATCCACCAGCCTAGACCACCTGAAGTGCTAGAATTACAGGTGCAAGCCACCGCACCTGGCAGAATGTAGAAGTATTTTTGCTACTTGCTGATTCTGCCTAACCTCCTCTTTTCTGACCCACCTCTCCAACACACATGTACCTAAGGTTCTGGATACTGGTAATTAATCACTGTGGTAATTAGAGGTGTTTGGCATACAACGGTTTGATACATCATACAATTTTACTGAGAGAGATGTCCTTTCTATATTGGTTTAGAGCATCCAAGTGTCAAATTTCCTACAGTAAATAATTTATTTGCATAATTTGGCTACATAACAACTACCATATGTAAATATGCCTACTGTATAAGACAGTCTGGCAGTTCCTCAAAAAGTTGAACATAGAATTACCATATGATTCAGCAATTCCACTTCTCAGAATATACTCAAAAGAATTGAAAGCAGGGCCAGGTGTTGTGGCTCACGTCTGTAATCCTAGCACTTTGGGAGGTCGAGGCAGGTGGATCACTTGAGGTCAGGAGTTGGAGAACAGCCTGACCAACATGGTGAAACTTTGTTTCTACTAAAAATACTAAAGTTAGCTGGGTGTGGTGGCAGGCACTTATAATCCCAGCTGCTAGGAAGGCTGAGGCAGGAGAATCACTTGAACCCGGGAGGTGGAGGTTGCAGTGAGCCAAGATCACACCATTGCACTCCAGCCTGGGTGACAGACTCTATCTCAAATAAATAAATAAATAAATAAATAAAACACCAAAGCCACATGATGATCTCAGTAGGCACTGAAAAAGCATGTAAATCTAAAATTTTACGTTCTTTCATGATAGAAACTAGGAACCAAAGGAAACTTCTTCAACCTGATAAAGCTCATCCATGAAAAACCCACAGCAAAAAATTAAAAAACAAAACAAAAAAACCCACAGCTAATATCATAACTAATGGTGAAGAAAGACTGGATGATTTTCTCCTAAGATCAGCAACAAGACAGAGATGCCTGCTCTCCAATTCTACATTTTATAGACTCAGCTTCTTTTTTTTTTTTTCGAGATGCAGTCTCAGTCTGTCACCAGGCTGGAGGGCAGTGGTGCGACCTCAGCTCACTGCAACCTCTGCCTCCCGGGTTCAAGCAATTCCCCTGCCTCAGCCTCCCAAGTAGCTGGGATTACAGGCGTGTGCTACCACGCTGGGCTAATTTTTTGTATTTTAGTAGAGACAGGGTTTCATCAGGTTGGCCAGGATGGTCTTGATCTCCTGACCTCATGATCCGCCCACCTTGATCTCGCAAAGTGCTGGAATTACAGGCATGAGCCACCACACCCAGCCTCAATTTAGCTTCTTAAATTTCATGAGCCAACCTCTGCTAGCTTCAGACTTTTCTTCTGCAGCTTCCTCACCTTTCAGCTTTCATAGACTTGCAGAGTGTTAGGGCCTTGCTCTGGATTAGGCTTTGGCTTAAGAAAATTTTGTGGCTGGTTTGATCTTCTATGTGCATCACTAAAACTTTCCCCATGTCAGCGATATGACTGTTTCACTTATCAATATCATGCATGTATTCCCCAGAGAAGCTTTTTTAATTTCCTTGAAAAATTTTCCTTTGCATTCAAAACCTGGCTGTTTGATGCAGAAGGCTTTTTTTTTTTTTTTTTTTTAGCCTATCTTGGCTTTCAACATTTCTTCACGAAGCTTAACCATTTCTAGCTTTCAATTTTGATATAGTTTGATTATATGTCCCTGTCCAAATCTTATGTTGAAATGTAATCCCCAGTCTTGGAGGTGGGGCCTGGTGGGAGGTGTTTGGCTCATGGGGGCTGGTCCCTCGTGAATGGCTTGGGCCATCCCCTTAGTGATAAGTGAACTTTCACTCTGAGTTCACATAAGATGTGGTCCTTTAAGTGTGTGGCATCTCCCCTCACCTCAACTTTCTCTTGTTGCTTTCACTGGGTGATATGCCTGCTCCCACTTTGCCTTCCACCATGAGTAAAAGCTTCCTGAGGCCTTCCCAAAAGCCAAGCAATGGTGACGCCATGCTTCTACAGCCTGCCTAACCATTAGCCCATGTAACCTCTTTTCGTTATAAATTACCCAATCTCAGGTATTCCTTTATAGCAATGTGACAACCGACTAATATCGATTTAAAGTGGAAGATGTGTGATGCTTCCTTTCTCTTGAACACTTAGAAGCCATTGTAGTGTTCTTAATTGGACTCATTTCAATATTGTTGTGTCTCAGGGAACAGGGAAATACAAGGAGAGGGGTAGAAACAGGGGAATGGGGCCAGGCGCGGTGGCTCACGCCTGTAATCCCAGCACTTTGAGAGGCCGAGGCGGGTGGATCATGAGGTCAAGAGATCGGGACCAACCTGGTCAACATGGTGAAACCCCGTCTCTACTAAAAATACAAAAAATTATCTGGGCATGGTGGTGCGTGCCTGTAATCCCAGCTGCTCAGGAGGCTGAGGCAGGAGAATTGCCTGAACCCAGGAGGCGGAGGTTGCGGTGAGCCGAGATTGCGCCATTGCACTCCAGCCTGGGTAACAAAGGGGAAACTCCGTCTCAAAAAAAAAAAGAAATGGGGGAATGGCCAGTCGGTGGAGCAGTCAGAACACACACCTTTTTTTCTCAAAAAAGTCAGTTCCTCTGGGAAGAAAGTAGGAGCTGTGTGTGTTATGGCCTTCTTCTCCTCTCAGGCAAAATCTTGGGATGATTTTTAAAAGGCACACATCTCTCCACATGACACCCTACTCCAGGAGCTGAGCACTCGATGGAGTAGGAGGATAGGGTAATTGGGCCTTCTTGCTTCTCCCAGCATGGAACCACCACCTCACAACCTGGGCAAATGTAACTGCGGCCTCAGTATTCTTGGTGGCTCTGTGCCCAATGTAGAGGGCTTCCATCCCATGGGTTGTGGCAGGGTAGAAGACGAGAGTCCTCACTTCTTGGTCACACTTGCCTGGTGCTTAGCCTGAGAAGCAGGTAGGAAGAACGATGAGAAATACTGACATCCTGTCCCTCATGGGTAGGTGGCCCTCTGACTAGAAATGAGAGAGGAGAAGCCCTATGTTCAAGTTCATCTAGAGATTCAAGTTCTCTAGAGAACATAAAGTACAGACCAAAGAATGAGAAGAAATACTAGACTAATTCTGTCTTCTTTTTTTTTTTTTTTTGAGACGGAGTTTCGCTCTTGTTACCCAGGCTGGAGTGCAATGGCCCCATCTCAGTTCACCGCAACCTCCACCTCCTGGGTTCAAGCAATTCCCCTGCCTCAGCCTCCTGATTAGCTGGGACTACAGGCGCGCACCACCATGCCCAGCTAATTTTTGTATTTTAAGTAGAGACGGGGTTTCACCTTGTTGACCAGGATGGTCTCGATCTCTTGACCTTGTGATCCACCCGCCTCGGCCTCCCAAAGTGCTGGGATTATAGGCGTGAGCCACCGCACCCGGCCTTTTTTTTTCTTTTTTTAGACAGAGTCTCACTCTGTGTCCCAAACTGAAGTGCAGTGTCTCTTGGCTCACTGAAACCTCTGCCTCCTGGGTTCAAGAGAGTCCGCTGCCTTGGGCTCCCAAGTAGCAGGGATTACAGGTACCTGCCACCATGCCCAGCTAATTTTTGTATTTTTAGTAAAGACAGGGTTTCACCATATTGGCCAGGCTGGTCTCGAGCTACTCACCTTGTGATTCACCCTCCTGGGCCTCCCAAAGTGCTGGGATTACAGGCATGAGCCACCACGCCGGCCTAATTCTGTCTTCTTATGTGGCAAGTACTAAAGCCTAAGTAAAGGTATGTGAGAAAAGACAAACTGTGAGCTATACTTTATAACTATGCCATCTGTCACCCAATTCAGTCCAAGACTTGAGAAATAACCGGGTGTACCTCACAGAGGAGTTATTTTATGCATCACATTTAAGGAACAAAAAGCTGTTAGTCCTGAATTTCTAAAAGCTATTCAGGATAAATAGATTTTTACTTCCTATAATCCTCTAATACTACCTTACCTCTAAAATAGACCTGAACCAATTAACCCACTTATCTTTAAGAGGAAGCGTTATCAGCACTCTGTGTCTATTAAGAATCTTTCTGTAGACTCCAGAGTACTCAATCTAGAAATATACATTTCTACACAGGAAAGAATTTACCATAAGAGACAAAAAGGCTTTTACTGAGAAAAAAGACCCTCAGTCCTCTTAAGCTTCTAAGGATCCCTTCCCCCTAGACTTCTACATTGCATTTCAATAGAAGTACAGGCTGGCAGACCCAGGCGCCACCCTTAATTGCACCCCCATGGA